CTGTATTCCACTAGCTAGATATCCATTACCTCTGTACTCCACTAGCTAGATATCCATTACCTCTGTATTCCACTAGCTAGATACCCATTACCACTGTATTCCACTAGCTAGATATCCATACCTCTGTATTCCACTAGCTAGATATCCATTACCTCTGTATTCCACTAGCTAGATATCCATTACCTCTGTATTCCACTAGCTAGATAATCCATTACCTCTGTATTCCACTAGCTAGATATCCATTACCTCTGTATTCCACTAGCTAGATATCCATTACCTCTGTATTCCACTAGCTAGATATCCATTACCTCTGTATTCCACTAGCTAGATATCCATTACCTCTGTATTCACTAGCTAGATATCTATTACCTCTGTATTCCACTAGCTAGATATCTATTACCTCTGTACTCCACTAGCTAGATATCCATTACCTCTGTATTCCACTAGCTAGATATCCATTACCTCTGTATTCCACTAGCTAGATACCCATTACCTCTGTATTCCACTAGCTAGATACCCATTACCTCTGTATTCCACCTAGATAATCCATTACCTCTGTAGTCCCACTAGCTAGATATCCATTACCTCTGTATTCCACTAGCTAGATATCCATTACCTCTGTATTCCACTAGCTAGATATCCATTACCTCTGTATTCCACTAGCTAGATATCCATTACCTCTGTATTCCACTAGCTAGATATCCATTACCTCTGTATTCCACTACTAGATATCCATTACCTCTGTATTCCCACTAGCTAAATATCCATTACCTCTGTATCCACTAGCAGTATCCATTCCCCTGTATTCCTCTAGATATCCATTACCTCTGTACTCCACTAGCTAGATATCCATTACCTCTGTACTCCACTAGCTAGATATCCATTACCTCTGTACTCCACTAGCTAGATATCCATTACCTCTGTACTCCACTAGTCTAGATATCCATTACTCTGTATCCACTAGCTGATATCCATTACCTCTGTATTCCACTAGCTAGATATCCATTACCTCTGTATTCCACTAGCTAGATATCCATTACCTCTGTATTCCACTAACTAGATATCCATTACCTCTGTATTCCACTAGCTAGATATCCATTACCTCTGTATTCCACTAGCTAGATACCCATTACCTCTGTATTCCCTAGCTAGATATCCATTACCTCGTATTCCACTAGCTAGATATCCATTACCTCTGTATTCCACTAACTAGATATCCATTACCTCTGTATTCCACTAGCTAGATATCCATTACCTCTGTATTCCACTAGCTAGATACCCATTACCTCTGTATTCCACTAGCTAGATATCCATTACCTCTGTATTCCACTAGCTAGATATCCATTACCTCTGTATTCCACTAGCTAGATAGCCATTACCTCTGTATTCCACTAGCTAGATATCCATTACCTCTGTATTCCACTAGCTAGATATCCATTACCTCTGTATTCCACTAGCTAGATATCCATTACCTCTGTATTCCACTAACTAGATATCCATTACCTCTGTATTCCACTAGCTAGATATCCATTACCTCTGTATTCCCTAGCTAGATATCCATTACCTCTGTACTCCACTAGCTAGATATCCATTACCTCTGTATTCCACTAGCTAGATACCCATTACCACTGTATTCCACTAGCTAGATATCCATTACCTCTGTATTCCACTAGCTAGATATCCATTACCTCTGTATTCCACTAGCTAGATATCCATTACCTCTGTATTCCACTAGCTAGGATATCCATTACCTCTGTATTCCACTAGCTAGATATCCATTACCTCTGTATTCCACTAGCTAGATATCCATTACCTCTGTATTCCACTAGCTAGATATCCATTACCTCTGTATTCCACTAGCTAGATATCCATTACCTCTGTATTCCACTAGCTAGATATCTATTACCTCTGTATTCCACTAGCTAGATATCTATTACCTCTGTACTCCACTAGCTAGATATCCATTACCTCTGTATTCCACTAGCTAGATATCCATTACCTCTGTATTCCACTAGCTAGATACCCATTACCTCTGTATTCCACTAGCTAGATACCCATTACCTCTGTATTCCACTAGCTAGATATCCATTACCTCTGTATTCCACTAGCTAGATATCCATTACCTCTGTATTCCACTAGCTAGATATCCATTACCTCTGTATTCCACTAGCTAGATATCCATTACCTCTGTATTCCACTAGCTAGATATCCATTACCTCTGTATTCCACTAGCTAGATATCCATTACCTCTGTATTCCACTAGCTAGATATCCATTACCTCTGTATTCCACTAGCTAGATATCCATTACCTCTGTATTCCACTAGCTAGATATCCATTACCTCTGTACTCCACTAGCTAGATATCCATTACCTCTGTATTCCACTAGCTAGATATCCATTACCTCTGTATTCCACTAGCTAGATATCCATTACCTCTGTATTCCACTAGCTAGATATCCATTACCTCTGTATTCCACTAGCTAGATATCCATTACCTCTGTATTCCACTAGCTAGATATCCATTACCTCTGTATTCCACTAGCTAGATATCCATTACCTCTGTATTCCACTAGCTAGATATCCATTACCTCTGTATTCCACTAGCTAGATATCCATTACCTCTGTATTCCACTAGCTAGATATCCATTACCCTCTGTATTCCACTAGCTAGATATCCATTACCTCTGTATTCCACTAGCTAGATATCCATTACCTCTGTATTCCACTAGCTAGATATCCATTACCTCTGTATTCCACTAGCTAGATATCCATGACCTCTGTATTCCACTAACTAGATATCCATTACCTCTGTATTCCACTAGCTAGATATCCATTACCTCTGTATTCCACTAACTAGATATCCATTACCTCTGTATTCCACTAGCTAGATATCCATTACCTCTGTATTCCACTAGCTAGATATCCATTACCTCTGTACTCCACTAGCTAGATATCCATTACCTCTGTATCCCTAGCTAGATATCCATTACCACTGTATTCCACTAGCTAGATATCCATTACCACTGTATTCCACTAGCTAGATATCCATTACCTCTGTATTCCACTAGCTAGATATCCATTACCTCTGTATTCCACTAGCTAGATATCCATTACCTCTGTATTCCACTAGCTAGATATCCATTACCTCTGTATTCCACTAGCTAGATATCCATTACCTCTGTATTCCACTAGCTAGATATCCATTACCTCTGTATTTCCACTAGCTAGATATCCATTACCTCTGTATTCCACTAGCTAGATATCTATTACCTCTGTATTCCACTAGCTAGATATCTATTACCTCTGTACTCCACTAGCTAGATATCCATTACCTCTGTATTCCACTAGCTAGATATCCATTACCTCTGTATTCCACTAGCTAGATACCCATTACCTCTGTATTCCACTAGCTAGATACCCATTACCTCTGTATTCCACTAGCTAGATATCCATTACCTCTGTATTCCACTAGCTAGATATCCATTACCTCTGTATTCCACTAGCTAGATATCCATTACCTCTGTATTCCACTAGCTAGATATCCATTACCTCTGTATTCCACTAGCTAGATATCCATTACCTCTGTATTCCACTAGCTAGATATCCATTACCTCTGTATTCCACTAGCTAGATATCCATTACCTCTGTATTCCACTAGCTAGATATCCATTACCTCTGTATTCCACTAGCTAGATATCCATTACCTCTGTATTCCACTAGCTAGATATCCATTACCTCTGTATTCCACTAGCTAGATATCCATTACCTCTGTATTCCACTAGCTAGATATCCATTACCTCTGTACTCCACTAGCTAGATATCCATTACCTCTGTACTCCACTAGCTAGATATCCATTACCTCTGTATTCCACTAGCTAGATATCCATTACCTCTGTACTCCACTAGCTAGATATCCATTACCTCTGTATCCACTAGCTAGATATCCATTACCTCTGTATTCCACTAGCTAGATATCCATTACCTCTGTATTCCACTAGCTAGATATCCATTACCTCTGTATTCCACTAGCTAGATATCCATTACCTCTGTATTCCACTAGCTAGATATCCATTACCTCTGTATTCCACTAGCTAGATACCCATTACCTCTGTATTCCACTAGCTAGATATCCATTACCTCTGTATTCCACTAGCTAGATATCCATTACCTCTGTATTCCACTAGCTAGATATCCATTACCTCTGTATTCCACTAGCTAGATATCCATTACCTCTGTATTCCACTAGCTAGATATCCATTACCTCTGTATTCCACTAGCTGATATCCATTACCTCTGTATTCCACTAGCTAGATATCCATTACCTCTGTATTCCACTAGCTAGATATCCATTACCTCTGTATTCCACTAGCTAGATATCCATTACCTCTGTATTCCACTAGCTAGATATCCATTACCTCTGTACTCCACTAGCTAGATATCCATTACCTCTGTATTCCACTAGCTAGATATCCATTACCTCTGTACTCCACTAGCTAGATATCCATTACCTCTGTATTCCACTAGCTAGATATCCATTACCTCTGTACTCCACTAGCTAGATATCCATTACCTCTGTATTCCACTAGCTAGATATCCATTACCTCTGTATTCCACTAGCTAGATATCCATTACCTCTGTATTCCACTAGCTAGATATCCATTACCTCTGTATTCCACTAGCTAGATATCCATTACCTCTGTATTCCACTAACTAGATATCCATTACCTCTGTATTCCACTAGCTAGATATCCATTACCTCTGTATTCCACTAGCTAGATATCTATTACCTCTGTATTCCACTAGCTAGATATCCATTACCTCTGTATTCCACTAGCTAGATATCCATTACCTCTGTATTCCACTAACTAGATATCCATTACCTCTGTATTCCACTAGCTAGATATCCATTACCTCTGTATTCCACTAGCTAGATATCCATTACCTCTGTATTCCACTAGCTAGATATCCATTACCTCTGTATTCCACTAGCTAGATATCCATTACCTCTGTACTCCACTAGCTAGATATCCATTACCTCTGTATTCCATGTAATCCTGGAGAATGTCCAGCATCCTTGTCATCTGGGAGAACAGCAGGATACGATGACCCCTGAACACCGATGAGGAAAAGTAATGTGTTAATTTACAGTATATTTACAGTAAAGGAGTTAATGGCATGACATCATGGAAGATATGGATAAGATCTAACATTTAATTGTGCTTAGTGTTAAACAGTATCTCCCATAGTGCTTAGTGTTATACAGTATCCCCCTTAGTGTTATATCTCCCATAGTGTTATATCTCCCTTAGTGTTATATCTCCCTTAGTGTTATATCTCCCATAGTGCTTAGTGTTATATCTCCCATAGTGTTATATCTCCCATAGTGTTATATCCCCCTTAGTGTTATATCTCCCTTAGTGTTATATCTCCCTTAGTGTTATATCTCCCTTAGTGTTATATCTCCCTTAGTGTTATATCTCCCTTAGTGTTATATCTCCCTTAGTGTTATATCGCCCATAGTGTTATATCGCCCATAGTGTTATATCGCCCTTAGTGTTATATCGCCCTTAGTGTTATATCTCCCAGTGTTATATCTCCCTTAGTGTTATATCTCCCATAGTGATATATCTCCCATAGTGTTATATCTCCCATAGTGTCATATCTCCCTTAGTGTCATATCTCCCTTAGTGTCATATCTCCCTTAGTGTCATATCTCCCTTAGTGTTATATCTCCCTTAGTGTTATATCTCCCTTAGTGTTATATCTCCCTTAGTGTTATATCTCCCTTAGTGTCATATCTCCCTTAGTGTCATATCTCCCATAGTGTTATATCTCCCATAGTGCTTAGTGTTATATCTCCCTTAGTGTTATATCTCCCTTAGTGTTATATCTCCCATAGTGCTTAGTGTTATATCTCCCTTAGTGTTATATCTCCCTTAGTGTTATATCTCCCTTAGTGTTATATCTCCCTTAGTGTTATATCTCCCTTAGTGTTATATCTCCCATAGTGTTATATCTCCCATAGTGCTTAGTGTTATATCTCCCTTAGTGTTATATCTCCCTTAGTGTTATATCTCCCTTAGTGTTATATCTCCCTTAGTGTCATATCTCCCTTAGTGTCATATCTCCCATAGTGTTATATCTCCCATAGTGTTATATCTCCCATAGTGTTATATCTCCCTTAGTGTTACATCTCCCTTAGTGTTATATCTCCCATAGTGCTTAGTGTTATATCTCCCTTAGTGTTATATCTCCCTTAGTGTTATATCTCCCTTAGTGTTATATCTCCCATAGTGTTATATCTCCCATAGTGCTTAGTGTTATATCTCCCTTAGTGTTATATCTCCCTTAGTGTTATATCTCCCATAGTGCTTAGTGTTATATCTCCCTTAGTGTCATATCTCCCTTAGTGTTATATCTCCCTTAGTGTTATATCTCCCTTAGTGTTATATCTCCCATAGTGCTTAGTGTTATATCTCCCATAGTGTTATATCTCCCATAGTGCTTAGTGTCATATCTCCCTTAGTGTTATATCTCCCATAGTGCTTAGTGTTATATCTCTATCAGAGAGAGACTGACCCTTGGTGCAGGTATGCCAGCATACTGTCCAGCAGACAGAGTTTCCCACTAGCCTGGATCAGATGCTCTCCCATCTCAAACGGCTCTGGTTCCACACCTAGAGAGGAAAGGCAGACTAACATCAGTTTTTCAGTTAGTGGCACCAGCCCATGATTTGGTCGCACCAAAAATAATTTACCCCGCCACGCAATATAACTATTTTGTATCACCTTCTAAAGTCATTCACAGAGCTTTATTCACTACTGTAATAGACTACTGAGATGGTATTGAAGAAATATGTTGTTTCATCATTCATTCATTCTGTGATTCAAAATATTTTAATGTGCAACCTAATCCAGTGATTGTCATGCATTTTGTGTTGACCATTAAGCTACCGCTGTTATATTTTACTGTTAAAATAGGGCTCCAGAATGTTCTGACATGTTTCAATAGATTTGATCGATTGATTTATGTTATTATAGTGTCATGCATCTTCAAGATGCCCAGCCCACATAGGCTTATGAGACACTATTTGTTGTATACAAATAAAATGATCATACTTACACTACCGTTCAAAAGTTTGGGGTCACTTAGAAATGTCCTTGTTTGGAATGCTGACCTTCTAGGCAGAGTTGCAATGAAAAAGCCATATCTCAGACTGCCCATCCTAATCTTTTATTTTTATTGGCCAGTCTGACATATGGCTTTTTCTTTGCAACTCTGCCTAGAAGGTCAGCATCCCGGAGTCGCCTCTTCACTGTTGACGTTGAGACTGGTGTTTTGCGGGTACTATTTAATGAAGCTGCCGGTTGAGGACCTGTGAGGCGTCTGTTTCTCAAACTAGACACTCTAATATAGTCCCATGTAGCTCAGTTGGTAGAGCATGGCGCTTGCAACGTCAGGGTTGTGGGTTCGATTCCCACGGGGGACCAGTATGAAAATGTATGCACTCACTAACTGTAAGTCGCTCTGGATAAGAGCGTCTGCTAAATGTAAATGTAAAATGTAATGTATTTGTCCTCTTGCTCAGTTGTGCGCCGGGGCCTCCCACTCCTCTTTCTATTCTGGTTAGAGCCAGTTTGCGCTGTTCTGTGAAGAGAGTAGTACACAGCGTTGTACGAGATCTTCAGTTTCTTGGCAATTTCTCGCATGGAATAACCTTCATTTCTCAGAACAAGAATAGACTGACGAGTTTCAGAAGAAAGTTATTTGTTTCTGGGCATTTTGGCCTGTTATAAAACCCACAATTGCTGATGCTCCAGATACTCAACTAGTCTCAAGAAGGCCAGTTTTATTGCTTCTTTAATCAGCACAACAGTTTTCAGCTGTGCTAACATAATTGCAAAAGGGTTTTCTAATTAGCAAACACAACGTGCCATTGGAACACAGGACTGATGGTTGCTGATAATGGGCCTCTGTACGCCTATGTAGATATTCCATAAAAAATCTGTCGTTTCCAGCTACAATAACCATTTACAACATTAACAATGTCTACACTGTATTTCTGATCCATTTGATGTTATTTTAAAATGGACAAAAAAAATGGCTTTTCTTTCGAAAACAAGGACATTTCTAAGTGACCCCAAACTTTTGCACGGTAGTGTATATACACTGAACAAAAATATAAAATCAACATGTAAAGTGGTGATCCCATTTTTCATGAGCTGAAATAAAAGATCCCAGATATTTTCCATACGCACAAAAAGCTTATTTCGCACAAATTGTGCGCACAAATTTGTTTACTTCCCTGTTAGTGAGCATTTCTCCTTTGCTAAGATAATTCATCCACCTGACAGGTGTGGCATATCAATAAGCTGATTAAACAGCATGGTCATTACACAGGTGCACCTTGTGCTGGGACAATAAAAGACCACTCTACAATGTGCGGTTTTGTCACAAAACACAATGCCACAGATGTCTCAAGTTTTTAGGGAGCATACAATTGGCATGCTGGCTGCAGGAGTGTCCACCAGAGCTGTTGAATGTTCATTTCTCTACTAAAACGTTGTGTTTTAGAGAATTTAGCAGTACGTCAAACTGGCCTCACAACCGCAGACCATGTGTAACCATGCCAGCCCAGGACCTCCACATCCAGTTTCTTCATCTGCGGGATCGTTTGAGACCAGCCACCCGGACAGCTGATGAAACTGTGTCTTTGCAACCGAAGAATTTCTGCACAAACTGTCAGAAACCGTCTCAGGGAAGCTCATCTGCGTGCTCGTCGTCCTCACCAGATCGGTGTCGTAACCAACTTCAGTGGTCAAATGCTCACCTTCGATGGCCACTGGTACGCTGGTATCACGGATGAATCCCGGTTTCAACTGTACCGGGCAGATGGCGTCTTGTGGGCGAGCGATTTGCTGATGTCAACTGTTGTGAACAGAGTGCCCCATGGTGGCAGTGGGGTTATGATATGGGCAGGCATAAGCTACGGACAATGAACACAATTGTATTTTATCGATGTCAATTTGAATGCACAGAGATACAGTGATGAGATCCTGAGGTCCATTGTCGTGCCATTCATCCGCCGCCATCACCTCATGTTTCAGCATGATAATGCACGACCCCATGTCGCAAGGATCTGTACACAATTCCTGGAAGCTGAAAATGTCCCAGTTCTTCCAAGGCCTGAATACTCACCATACATGTCACCCATTGAGCATGTTTGGGATGCTCTGGATCGACGTGTACGACAGCGTGTTCCAGTTCCCGCCAATATCCAGCAACTTCACACAGCCATTGAAGAGGAGTGGGACAACATTCCACAGGCCACAATCAACAGCCTGATCAACTCTATGCGAAGGAGAGGTGTCGCGCTGCATGAGGCAAATGGTGGTCACACCAGATACTCACTGGTTTTCTGATCCACGCCTCTACTTTTTTTTACAGGTACACTGTATATACACAAAAGTATGATGATTCGGCTATTTCAGCCACACCCGTTGCTGACAGGTGTAGAAAATCGAGCACACAGCCATGCAATCTCCATAGACAAACATTGGCAGTAGAATGGCCGTACTGAAGAGCTCAGTGACTTTCAACGTGGCACCGTCATAGGATGCCACCTTTCCAACAAGTAAGTTCGTAAAATGTCTGCCCTGCTAGAGATGCCCCGGTCAACTGTAAGTGCTGTTATTGTGAAGTGGAAACGTCTGGGAGCAACAACGGCTCAGCCGCAAAATGGTAGGCCACACAAGCTCACAGAACAGGACCGCCGAGTGCTGAAGCGCGTAGAGAGTAAAACTCGTCTGTCCTCGGGTTGCAACACTCTGAATTCCAAACTGCCTCTGGAAGCAACGTCAGCACAAGAACTGTTCGTCGGGAGCTTCATGAAATGGGTTTCCATGGCCGCGCAGTGGCACACAAGCCTAATATCACCATGCCCAATGCCAAGCGTCGGCTGGAGTGGTGTAAAGCTGACTCTTGGACTCTGGAGCAGTGGAAACGCGTTCTTTGGAGTGATGAATCATGCTTCACCATCTGGCAGTCCGACGGACAAATCTGGGTTTGGCGGATGCCAGGAGAACGCTACCTGCCCCAATGTTTGGTCGAGGAGGAATAATGGTCTGGGGCTGTTTTTCATGGTTTGGGCTAGGCCTCTTAGTTCCAGTGAAGGGAAATCTTAATGCTACAGCATACAATGACATTCTAGACGATTCTGTGCTTCCAACTTTGTGGCAACAGTTTGGGGAAGGCCCTTTCCTGTTTCAGCATGACAATGCCCCCGTGCACAAAGCAAGGTCCATACAGAAATGGTTTGTCGAGATCGGTATGGAATAACTTGACTGGCTTGCACAGAGCCCTGACCTCAACCCCATCAAAACACCTTTGGGATTAATTGGAACGCCGACTGCGAGCCAGGCCTAATCGCCCAACATCAGTGCCTGACGTCACTAATGCTCTTGTGGCTGAATGGAAGCAAGTCCCTGCAGCAATGTTCCAACATCTAGTGGAAAGCCTTCCCAGAAGAGTGGAGGTTGTTATAGCAGCAAAGGGGGGGGACCAACTCCATATTAATACCCACGATGTTGGAATGAGATGTTTGACGAGCAGGTGTCCACATACCTTTGGTCATGTAGTGCATCTGTGACTAACAGATGCTTATCTGTATTCCCAGTCATGTGACATCCATAGATTAGGGCCTAATGAATGCATTTAAATTGACCGATTTCCTTCTATGAACAGTAACTCAGTAAAATCTTTGAAATTGTTGCATGTTGCATTTAGATTTTTGTTCAGTGTATATGTACACACGTACATGAATTTGCCTGCATCTTTATGTGCACCAAATTAATATCATAAGCTAATTTATTTAGGGCTAATTCTTCACGTGAGTGGAAATTCAAAAATCAGTTGCTAGATCGCTATCTCTAAATATATCACCCACTGCTAGTAGCCATGTGTCCATGTAAACGTAGCAGTTGCAGCCTCCCGGCCAATCAGGCCTATGCAATCGCTCAGAGCTGAGAATAAAAAATTATACCTACAGAAATCTGATAACCTCCTTTCTTCAACTGTGACAACAGGATAGCTCTGCTTTCCCGCAAATATGATTTTTAAATGTTATACAATTAGAAACCTTTTCTCCCAGAGTATTTTTTTCCCCGGGAAAGGAGAGAGAGTGGCTGGACATAGCAGCAGGCCCCAGCGAAACAGGTACAGGGGCAGGCAGGAGAGAGAGTGGCTGGACATAGCAGCAGGCCCCAGCGAAACAGGTACAGGGGCAGGCAGGAGAGAGAGTGGCTGGACATAGCAGCAGGCCCCAGCGAACAGGTACAGGGGCAGGCAGGAGAGAGAGTGGCTGGACATAGCAGCAGGCCCCAGCGAAACAGGTACAGGGGCAGGCAGGAGAGAGAGTGGCTGGACATAGCAGCAGGCCCCAGCGAAACAGGTACAGGGGCAGGCAGGAGAGAGAGTGGCTGGACATAGCAGCAGGCCCCAGCGAAACAGGTACAGGGGCAGGCAGGAGAGAGAGTGGCTGGACATAGCAGCAGGCCCAGCGAAACAGGTACAGGGGCAGGCAGGAGAGAGAGTGGCTGGACATAGCAGCAGGCCCCAGCGAAACAGGTACAGGGGCAGGCAGGAGAGAGAGTGGCTGGACATAGCAGCAGGCCCCAGCGAAACAGGTACAGGGGCAGGCAGGAGAGAGAGTGGCTGGACATAGCAGCAGGCCCAGCGAAACAGGTACAGGGGCAGGCAGGAGGAGAGAGTGGCTGGACATAGCAGCAGGCCCCAGCGAAACAGGTACAGGGGCAGGCAGGAGAGAGAGGTGGCTGGACATAGCAGCAGGCCCCAGCGAAACAGGTACAGGGGCAGGCAGGAGAGAGAGTGGCTGGACATAGCAGCAGGCCCCAGCGAAACAGGTACAGGGGCAGGCAGGAGAGAGAGTGGCTGGACATAGCAGCAGGCCCCAGCGAAACAGGTACAGGGGCAGGCAGACATTTCATTACAGGAACCATGAGGATAATGTGCTTTACTGGTGACCATGTAGAATGTGCAGCTCGCACTGAGCCGACCAATTAAAAAAATATACCTCGCACAGCCAAGTCAAAAGGGTTGCAAAATGCGACTAAATGGTCGCAGTCTGGAGCCCTGAAAGGACAGGAGATGAAAGCTTGACACAAACAATAACCACCTCCAGCAGTAAAGGCTCGGGTTCATGCTCAGCGCTGCCTTCAAGCCCAAACAGGTAGGGGTGGGCCACACAGCTCTAAACCAATAGGATCTCACCATCAAACAGGTAGGGGTGGTCCACACAGCTCTAAACCAATAGGATCTCACCATCAAACAGGTAGGGATGGGCCACACAGCTCTAAACCAATAGGATCTCACCATCAAACAGGTAGGGATGGGCCACACAGCTCTAAACCAATAGGATCTCACCATCAAACAGGTAGGGATGGGCTACACAGCTCTAAACCAATAGGATCTCACCATCAAACAGGTAGGGGTGGTCCACACAGCTCTAAACCAATAGGATCTCACCATCAAACAGGTAGGGATGGGCCACACAGCTCTAAACCAATAGGATCTCACCATCAAACAGGTAGGGATGGGCTACACAGCTCTAAACCAATAGGATTCACCATCAAACAGTAGGGGGGTCCAACACTCAAACAATAGGATCTCACTCAAACAGGGGGGCACAGCTCTAAACAATAGGATCTCACATCAAACAGGTAGGGGTGGTCCACACAGCTCTAAACCAATAGGATCTCACCATCAAACAGGTAGGGATGGGCCACACAGCTCTAACCCAATAGGATCTCACCATCAAACAGGTAGGGATGGGCTACACAGCTCTAAACCAATAGGATCTCACCATCAAACAGGTAGGGGTGGTCCACACACTTCCTGAGCTGCATCAGTATATTAAGCAGTCTGGTCTTGTTGCCCTGCTCATTCCCAAAGGCATCTAGAAACACAACAGCAGTTAGCTACGGTCAGTTGCTTCCCAATGGAATAGGTTCAGTTTAAGTTGCTGATCTCTTACCAACTCCATTGCTGTCATTGGCAAGCCAAATCCAAACTGTTTGGCATTACCATTCCATAAAGACAAGTTGGCAAGAGAGCAGAAACAGACAGCCAACCAGGGCTAGTATTTCAGAAACAGACAGCCAACCAGGGCTAGTATTTCAGAAACAGACAGCCAACCAGGGCTAGTATTTCAGAAACAGACAGCCAACCAGGGCTAGTATTTCAGAAACAGACAGCCAACCAGGGCTAGTATTTCAGAAACAGACAGCCAACCAGGGCTAGTATTTCAGAAACAGACAGCCAACCAGGGCTAGTATTTCAGAAACAGCCAACCAGGGCTAGTATTTCAGAAACAGACAGCCAACCAGGGCTAGTATTTCAGAAACAGACAGCCAACCAGGGCTAGTATTTCAGAAACAGACAGCCAACCAGGGCTAGTATTTCAGTCTCACACAGGTCCTTCATGAGTATAGCCTTATAATATCTCTTCTGCAAGGCAGACAGGCCGTGGTACATCAGGATCTCCGTCTTCATGGGGAGGTCAGCTGCTACCTCCGCCTTTACCCTCCTCAGCAGGAAGGGCTGCAGCACACTCTGGAGAGCACTGGCTGGAGAGAGATACACAGAGAACACTGCTGTCAGACATGTCGGGTTCACAGAGATTCAGTCTTTATCATGATGATGGAGCTGCCCGCTTGGTTTCAATGGGACTTCCTGGATAAATAAAAAGGTTCAATCAAATAATAAAAAGTACACATACACTTAGGGTTGTGGCGGTCAGGACATTTCGTCAGCCGGTGATTGGTCAAGCAAATAACTGCCGGTCTCACGGTAACTGACCGTTAATTAACATAAACACATTTAGCATCTCCTGGCTTCCACACACAGCCTACAAGCCACTGATGCAGACCTTTGGAACATCTACATTTTAAAAAGTCTAATAAATCCATGTAATATAGCCTACACCTTCACAATAAATCCATTATTTATTTTAGACAGGTCTAAAGAAAAAAGATATGAAGAAAATGTAGTCTATTTCAGAAGAACAGAATAGCATACTGAGTCGTCCTTATGTTAGGTCCTGATTTTTTACATTTACATTTTAGTCATTTAGCAGACGCTCTTATCCAGAGCGACTTGCAGTTAGTGAATGCATAAATTTTTCATACTGGCCCCCCGTGGGAAACGAACCCACAACCCTGGCGTTGCAAGCGCCATGCTCTACCAACTGAGCTACAGGAGGCCTGATCTGGCTATGCCATATGGCTGTGGGCTACACTCATTTAGCAGACAAGATTTGCTTAGAATTCCGTGGCGGTATTTATAGTATTTTATAGTATGAAGAATACAACTGAACAAAGCTGAATAAAATAGAAAGGATATTTTCTCCAAACGATTTGAGGGAGTGTGCACATGTGGCTATTCTGTGTTGAGCGGTTAACAATGAAACAGGTCCTCCTATATGCTTAATTAAGAGTTATTAATGCAACTTTAGTTGTGATAATGTTGGCCTATATGTTTTGATTTTTAATACATTGTAAGGCTGCATGATGAGACTAATGATGATTTGAAAAAAGTCTCTTGAAAGGCATGAGCTCTGCTTTGTTTTTTGCGCAGGCTGTACACACTTCATCAGTCTCTCATTCACAATTTGACAAGCACTTGATAATGCCTCGAATTTCACGGCACATCCACTTTGTGGCAGTAATGCACCCTAAAACAATCCATGCCTTTTGCGGCCCAGAGTGCTGCGCTGTGCCCTTCTCCCTGACCGTGCTGCGCAATCCGAAACGTCTCTCACTCATACGGCTCTCCGTCACTTTATGGGGTCTTTCTCACTGGCTACAAGTAAAAACAATTTTTTTTTTCCTTTTTTTTTGTCATTTAGCAGACGCTCTTATCCAGAGCGACTTACAGGAGCAATTAGGGTTAAGTGCCTTGCTCAAGGGCACATCGACAGATTTTTCACCTAGTCGGCTCGGGGATTAGAACCAGCGACCTTTCGGTTACTGGCACAACGCTCTTAACCACTAAGCTACCTGCCGCCCCAGTTAAGACAGACACATCGGGGACGCAACTGCGCACGTCCTTATCCAATTCCGAGGTACATATTGCAGATGTTGGAAGAACTGTCCACATTTACTTTTCGTCAGCCAACAAGATGAGTAGGCCTAACGAACAGCAAAAGGACTAGCCTATGTCAATCTACTGATGGGTTCTTACTTATAAACTAGAAATATCCTTAATCATGTCACAGGGGGAGAGAGAGGAATACAGGACGTGTAAGTACTGGCAGAACATGTTATTGTTAATTATCAAGTATCCTATGGAAATGAGGAGCGCCATAGTCTGGTTTCTACACCAGAAGTTGATGGTTATCAGTAGGAGGAATGTATATGGTGGACGCAATCACATGGTTGCAGTCACTGATACGGGTGGAGAGCTGTGGATCAGTGAGGAGTGAGGTCAGGTCAGGTCACATTAAGGGAGAAGGAGCAGTTTATTGTCTGCATCACTTAACTTCCTGCCTAGCAATAAACATGTAATGTTTAGAGGGAAAGGAGGATACTTCACCCAAATTGGTATATATATTTACATTTTAGTCATTGTGGAAACAGGTCTATTTTTTTTTTTTTTTTTTTTTTTTAGGGGGTAGATCAGCTTTAATATTGCAGATAGATTGTAGCTTCCATCAATGTAATTGTCTGCATCACTTCCAATCCCCCATATGGTTTTTTTTAGGGGGTAGATCAGCTTTAAATATTGCAGATAGATTGTAGCTTCCATCAATCTAATTGTCTGCATCACTTCCAATCCCCCGTGGTTTTTTTCTCGCCTATATACACTGCTCAAAAAGATAAAGGGAACACTTAAACAACACAATGTAACTCCAAGTCAATCACACTTCTGTGAAATCAAACTGTCCACTTAGGAAGCAACACTGATTGACAATACATTTCACATGCTGTTGTGCAAATGGAATAGACAACAGGTGGAAATTATAGGCAATTAGCAAGACACCCCCAATAAAGGAGTGGTTCTGCAGGTGGTGACCACAGACCACTTCTCAGTTCCTATGCTTCCTGGCTGATGTTTTGGTCACTTTTGAATGCTGGCGGTGCTTTCACTCTAGTGGTAGCATGAGACGGAGTCTACAACCCACACAAGTGGCTCAGGTAGTGCAGCTCATCCAGGATGGCACATCAATGCGAGCTGTGGCAAGAAGGTTTGCTGTGTCTGTCAGCGTAGTGTCCAGAGCATGGAGGCGCTACCAGGAGACAGGCCAGTACATCAGGAGACATGGAGGAGGCCGTAGGAGGGCAACAACCCAGCAGCAGGACCGCTATCTCCGCCTTTGTGCAAGGAGGAGCAGGAGGAGCACTGCCAGAGCCCTGCAAAATCACCTCCAGCAGGCCACAAATGTGCATGTGTCTGCTCAAACGGTCAGAAACAGACTCCATGAGGGTGGTATGAGGGCCCGACGTCCACAGGTGGGGGTTGTGCTTACAGCCCAACACCGTGCAGGACGTTTGGCATTTGCCAGAGAACACCAAGATTGGCAAATTCGCCACTGGCGCCCTGTGCTCTTCACAGATGAAAGCAGGTTCACACTGAGCACATGTGACAGACGTGACAGAGTCTGGAGACGCCGTGGAGAACGTTCTGCTGCCTGCAACATCCTCCAGCATGACCGGTTTGGCGGTGGGTCAGTCATGGTGTGGGGTGGCATTTCTTTGGGGGGCCGCACAGCCCTCCAGAGGTAGCCTGACTGCCATTAGGTACCGAGATGAGATCCTCAGACCCCTTGTGAGACCATATGCTGGTGCGGTTGGCCCTGGGTTCCTCCTAATGCAAGACAATGCTAGACCTCATGTGGCTGGAGTGTGTCAGCAGTTCCTGCAAGAGGAAGGCATTGATGCTATGGACTGGCCCGCCCGTTCCACCAGACCTGAATCCAGTTGAGCACATCTGGGACATCATGTCTCGCTCCATCCACCAACGCCACGTTGCACCACAGACTGTCCAGGAGTTGGCGGATGCTTTAGTCCAGGTCTGGGAGGAGATCCCTCAGGAGACCACCCGCCACCTCATCAGGAGCATGCCCAGGCGTTGTAGGGAGGTCATACAGGCACGTGGAGGCCACACACACTACTGAGCCTCATTTTGACTTGTTTTAAGGACATTACATCAAAGTTGGATCAGCCTGTAGTGTGGTTTTCCACTTTAATTTTGAGGGTGACTCCAAATCCAGACCTCCATGGGTTGATAAATTTGATTTCCATTGATAATTTTTGTGTGATTTTGTTGTCAGCACATTCAACTATGTAAAGAAAAAATTATTTAATAAGATTATTTCATTCATTCAGATCTAGGATGTGTTATTTTAGTGTTCCCTTTATTTTTTTGAGCAGTGAATATATATATATATATATATACATATACACACACACACACACACATACATATATATATATATATAATATATGCCATTTAGCAGACGCTTTTATCCAAAGCGACTTACAGTGATGCGTGCATACATATATTTATTTTGTGTATGGGTGGTCCCGGGGCTCGAACCCACTACCTTGGCGTTACAAGCGCCGTGCTCTACCAGCTGAGCTACAGAGTGTGTATGGATGTATACATACATCCATACACACATCCTTTTTTAAATGATATTTCCCTTCATTACTTTCCAACCCCACCACCCCTTCCCCAATTGGAGTAAATTATTGAACAACAACGCTTAGGCCTCTACTTCCAGCCCATACATACTATATACATTTTATGGACACAGTCAAATTCTACAATAATTATATATTGTTTGTTTTTACTCCTGAACTTCCTCAGCTACTTGATTGGAGTCCACCTGTGGTAAATTCAACTGATTGGAAAAGACTCTTCCTAGAGCTGGCCGCCCGGCCAAACTGAGCAATCGGGGGAGAAGGGCCTTGGTCAGGGAGGTGACCAAGAACCTGATGGTCACTCTGACAGAGCTCCAGAGTTCCTTTGTGGAGATGGGAGAATCTTCCAGAAGGACAACCATCTCCACCTTTATGGTAGAGTGGCCAGACGGAAGCCATTCCTCAGTAAAAGGCACATGACAGCCCGCTTGGAGTTTGCCAAAAGGCACCTAAAGACTCTCTGACCATGAGAAACAAGATTCTCTGGTCTGATGAAAACAAGATTGAACTCTTTGGCCTGAATACCAAGCGTCACGTCTGAAAGAAACCTGGCACCATCCCTACGGTGAAGCACGGTGGCAGCTTCATGCTGTGGGGATGTTTTTTTGCGGCAGGGACTGGGAGACTAGTCAGGATCGTGGGAAAGATGAACGGAGCAAAGTACAGAGAGATACTTCATGAAACCTGTTCCAGAACGGTCAGGACCTCAGACTGGGGCGAAGGTTCACCTTCCAACAGGACAATAACCCTAAGCACACAGCTAAGGCAATGCAGGAGTGGCTTAGGGACAAGTCTCTGAATGTCCTTGAGTGGCCCATCCAGAGCCCGGACTTGAACCCGATCGAACATCTCTGGAGAGACCTGAAAATAGCTGTGCAGCGACGCTCCCCATCCAACCTGACAGAGCTTGAGAGGATCTGCAGAGAAGAATGGGAGAAACTCCCCAAATACAGGTGTGCCAAGCTTGTAGCGTCATACCCAAGAAGTCTCTAGGTTGTAATCGCTGCCAAAGGTGCTTCAACAAAGTACTGAGTAAAGGGTCTGAATACTTATGAAAATTTGATATTTCAGTTTTTTATTTTTAATACATTTGCAAACATTTCTAAAAAAAACTGTTTTTGCTTTGTCATTTTGGGGTATTGCGTGTAGATTGATGAGGGGAAAAAACTATTTAATCAATTTTAGAATAAGGCTGGAAAAAGTCAAGGGGTCTGAATACTTTCCGAATGCACATAATCCATATCTCAATTGTCCCAAGGCTTAAAAATCCTTCTTTAACCTGTCTCCTCCCCTTCATCTACACTGATTGAAATGGATTTAACAAGTGACATGAATAAGGGATCATAGCTTTCACCTGGATTAGTCAGTCTATGTCATGGAAACAGCATGTGTTCTTACATTGCACTGTACACTACCGGTCAAACGTTTTAGAACACATTTTTACATTTACATTTTAGTCATTTTAGCAGACGCTCTTATCCAGAGCAACTTACAGGAGCAATTAGGGTTAAGTGCCTTGCTCAAGGGCACAGACAGATTTTTCACCTGCCGCCCCTACTCATTCAAGGGCTTTTCTTTATTTGTACTATTTTCTACATTGTAGAATAATAGTGAAGACATCAACACTATGAAATAACACAATTGGAATCATGTAGTAACCAAAAAAGTGTTAAACAAGCTGGTTTGAGATTCTGGGAGAATTTCTTTACATACACTTAGGTTGGAGTCATTAAAACTCATTTTTCAACCACTCCACAAATGTCTTGTTAACAAACTATAGTTTTGTCAAGTCGGTTAGGACATCTACTTTGTGCATGACACAAGTAATTTTTCCAACAATTGTTTACAGACAGATTATTTCACTTATAATTCACTGTATCACAATTCCAGTGGGTCAGAAGTTTACATAAACTAAGTTGACTGCCTTTAAACAGCTTGGAAAATTCCAGAAAATGATGTCATGGCTTTAGAAGCTTCTGATAGGCTAATTGACATCATTTGAGTCAATTGGAGGTGTACCTGTGGATGTATTTCAAGGCCTACCTTCAAACTCAGTGCCTCTTTACTTGACATTATGGGAAAATCTAAAGAAATCAGCCAAGACCTCAGAAGAAAAATCTGTCTGGTTCATCCTTGGGAGCAATTTCCAAACGCCTGAAGGTACCACGTTCATCTGTACAAACAATAGTACGCACGTATAAACACCATGAAACCACGCAGCCGTCATACCGCTCAGGAAGGAGACGCGTTCTGTCTCCTAGAGATGAACGTACTTTGGTGCGAAAAGTGCAAATCAATCCCAGAATAACAGCAAAGGACCTTGTGAAGATGCTGGAGGAAACAGGTACAAAAGTATCTATATCCACAGTAAAACGAGTCCTATATCGACATAACCTCGCAAAAGTATTGGTTTCTTGCACATAAATATCAGAAGTCTACTTCCTAAGTTTGAGTTATTCACTGCGTTAGCACACTCTGCCAACCCTGATGTTCTAGCAGTGTCTGAATCCTGGCTCAGGAAGGCCACCAAAAATTCTGAAATTTCCATCCCCAACTATAACATTTTCCGTCTAGATAGAACTGCCAAAGGGGGTGGAGTTGCAATCTACTGTAGAGATAGCCTGCAGAGCTCTATCATACTATCCAGGTCTGTGCCCAAACAGTTTGAGCTTCTACTTCTAAAAATCCACCTTTCCAGAAATAAGTCTCTCACTGTTGCCGCTTGCTACAGACCCCCCTCAGCCCCCAGCTGTGCCCTGGACACCATATGTGAATTGATTGCCCCCCATTTATCCTCTGAGTTTGTACTGCTTGGTGACCTAAATTGGGATATGCTTAATACCCCAGCCATCCTACAATCCAAGCTAGATGCCCTCAACCTCACGCAAATTATCAACGAACCTACCAGGTACAACCCTAAATCCTTAAACATGGGTACCCTCATAGATATCATCCTGACTAACATACCCTCTAAATACACCTCAGCTGTCTTCAACCAGGATCTCAGCGATCACTGCCTTATTGCCTGCGTCCGTAACGGGTCTGCGGTCAAACGACCACCCCTCATCACTGTCAAACGCTCCCTAAAACACTTTAGCGAGGAGGCCTTCCTAATTGACCTGGCCCAGGTATCCTGGATGGATATAGATCTCATTCCGTCAGTAGAGGATGCCTGGTTGTTCCTTAAAAGTAATTTCCTCTCAATCTTAAATAAACATGCCCCATTCAAAAAATACAGAACTAAGAACCGATATAGCCCCTGGTTCTCCTCAGACTTGACTGCCCTTGACCAGCACAAAAACATCCTGTGGCGTACAGCATTAGCATCAAATAGCCCCCGCGATATGCAACTTTTCAGGGAAGTTAGGAACCAATATACACAAGCAGTCAGGAAAGCAAAGGCTAACTTTTTCAAACAGAAATTTGCATCCTGTAGCACTAACTCCAAAAAGTTTTGGGACACTGTAAAGTCCATGGAGAATAAGAGCACTTCCTCCCAGCTGCCCACTGCACTGAGGCTAGGAAACACTATCACCACCGATAAATCTACAATAATCAAGAATTTCAACAAGCATTTTGCTACAGCTGGCCATGCTTTCCATCTGGCTACCACTAACCCGGCCACCAACTCTGCACCCTCTGCTGCAACTTGCCCATGCCCCCCCCGCTTCTCCTTCACACAAATTCAGACAGCTGATGTTTTGAAAGCGCTGCAAAATCTGGACCCCTACAAATCAGCTGGGCTAGACAATCTGGACCCTTTCTTTCTAAAACTAGCCGCCGAAATTGTCGCAACCCCTATTACTAGTCTGTTCAACCTCTCTTTCATAACGTCTGAGATCCCCAGAGATTGGAAAGCTGCCGCGGTCATCCCCCTCTTCAAAGGGGGTGACACTCTAGATCCAAACTGCTACAGACCTATATCCATCCTGCCCTGCCTTTCGAAAGTATTCGAAAGCCAAGTTAACAAACAGATCACCGACCATTTCGAATACCACCGTACCTTCTCCGCTATGCAATCCGGTTTCCGAGCTGGTCACGGGTGCACTTCAGCCACGCTCAAGGTCCTAAACGATATTATAACCACGATTGATAATAGACAGTACTGTGCAGCCGTCTTCATCGACCTGGCCAAGGCTTTCGACTCTGTCAACCACCGCATTCTTATTGGCAGACTAAATAGCCTTGGTTTCTCAAATGACTGCCTCGCCTGGTTCACCAACTACTTCTCAGATAGAGTTCAGTGTGTCAAATCGGAGGGCCTGTTGTCTGGACCTATGGCAGTCTCTATGGGGGTGCCACAGGGTTCAATTCTTGGGCCGACACTTTTCTCCGTGTATATCAATGATGTCGCTCTTGCTGCTGGTGACTCTCAGATCCACCTCTACGCAGACGACACCATTTTGTATACATCTGGCCCTTCATTGGACACTGTGTTAACAAACCTCCAAACGAGCTTCAATGCCATACAACACTCCTTCAGTAGCCTCCAACTGCTCTTAAACACTAGTAAAACTAAATGCATGCTTTTCAATCGAACGCTGCTAGCACCCGCCCACCCGACTAGAATCACCACTCTCGACGGGTCTGACCTAGAGTATGTGGACAACTACAAATATCTAGGTGTCTGGTTAGACTGTAAACTCAACTTCCAGACTCACATAAAGAATCTCCAATCCAAAGTTAAATCTAGAATCGGCTTCCTATTTCGCAACAAAGCCTCCTTCACTCATGCTGCCAAACATGCCCTCGTAAAACTGACTATCCTACCGATCCTTGACTTCGGCGATGTCATTTACAAAATAGCCTCCAACACTCTACTCAGCAAATTGGATGTAGTCTATCACAGTGCCATCCGTTTTGTCTCCAAAGCCCCATACACTACCCACCACTGTGACCTGTACGCTCTTGTTGGCTGGTCCTCACTACATGTTCGTCGTCAAACCCACTGGCTCCAGGCCATCTATAAATCACTGCTAGGCAAATCCCCGCCTTATCTTAGCTCATTGGTCACCATAGCAGCACCCACCCGTAGTCTGCGCTCCAGCAGGTATATCTCACTGGTCATTCCCAAAGCCAACACCTCCTTTGGCCGCCATTCCTTCCAGTTCTCTGCTGCCAATGACTGGAACGAATTGCAAAAATCTCTGAAGCTGGAGACTCTTATCTCCCTCAATAACTTTAAGCATCAGTTGTCAGAGCACCTTACCGATCACTGCACCTGTACACAGCCCATCTGAAATTAGCCCACCCAACTACCTCATCCCTATATTGTTATTTATTTTGCTCTTTTGCACCCCAGTATCTCTATTTGCACATCATCTCTTGCACATCTAGCATTCCAGTGTTAATACTATTGTAATTATTCTGCACTATAGCCTATTTATTGCCTTACCTCCATAACTTGCTACATTTGCACACACTGTATATATATTTTCTGTTGTATTTCTGACTTTATGTTTTTTTTACCCCATATGTAACTCTGTGTTGTTTTTATTGCACTACTTTGCTTTATCTTGGCCAGGTCGCAGTTGTAAATGAGAACCTGTTCTCAACTGGCTTCCTGGTTAAATAAAGGTGAAATAAAAAAATAAAAAAAACCTGAAAAGCCGCTCAGTAAGGAAGAAGCCACTGCTCCAAAACCGCCATAAAAAAGCCAGAGTTCAAGTAACATACACATCTCAACATCAACTGTTCAGAGGGGACTGTGTGAATCAGGCCTTCATGGTCGAATTGCTGCAAAGAAACCACTACTAAAGGACACCAATAATAAGAAGAGACTTGCTTGGGCCAAGAAACACGAGCAATGGACATTAGACCGGTGGAAATGTGTCCTTTGGTCTGGAGTCCAAATTGGAGATTTGTGGTTCCAACCGCTGTGTCTTTGTGAGACGCGGTGTGGGTGAACGGATGATCTCTGCATGTGTAGTTCCCACCGTAATGCATGAAGGAGGAGGTGTTATGGTGTGGAGGTGCTTTGCTGGTGACACTGTCTGTGATTTATTTAGCATTCAAGGCACACTTAACCAGCATGGCTACCACAGCATTCTGCAGCGATACGCCATCCCATCAGGTTTGGGCTTAGTGGGATTATCATATGTTTTTCAACAGGACAATGACCCAACACACCTCCAGGCTGTGTAAGGGCTATTTTACCAAGAAAGAGAGTGATGGAGTGCTGCATCAGATGACCTGGCCTCCACAATCCCCCGACCTCTACCAAATTGAGATGGTTTGGGATGAGTCGGACCGCAGAGTGAAGGAAAAGCAGCCAACAAGTGCTCAGCGTATGTGGGAACTCCTTCAAGACTGTTGGAAAAGCATTCCAGGTGAAGCTGGTTGAGAGAATGCCAAGAGTGTGCAAAGCTGTCAAGGAAAAGGGTGGCTATTTCAAGAATCTGAAATATATTTTGATTTGTTTAACACTTTTTGGTTACTACATGATTCCATATGTGTTATTTCATAGTTTTGATGTCTTCACTATTATTCTACAATGGAGAAAACAGTAAAAATAAAGAAAAACCCTTGAATGAGTAGGTGTTCTAAAACTTTTGACCGGTAGTGTATACAGTGAGGGAAAAAAGTATTTGATCCCCTGATGATTTTGTACATTTGCCCACTGACAAAGAAATGATCCGTGTATAATTTTAATGGTAGGTTTATTTGAACAGTGAGAGACAGAATAACAACAAAAAAATCCAGAAAAACGCATGTCAAAAATGTTATAAATTGATTTGCATTTTAATGAGGGAAATAAGTATTTGACCCCCTCTCAATCAGAAAGATTTCTGGCTCCCAGGTGTCTTTTATACAGGTAACGAGCTGAGATTAGGAGCACACTCTTAAAGGGAGTGCTCCTAATCTCAGCTTGTTACCTGTATAAAAGACACCTGTCCACAGAAGCAATCAATCAATCAGATTTCAAACTCTCCACCATGGCCAAGACCAAAGAGCTCTCCAAGGATGTCAGGGACAAGATTGTAGACCTACACAAGGCTGGAAAGGGCTACAAGACCATCGCCAAGCAGCTTGGTGAGAAGGGGACAACAGTTAGAGCGATTATTCACAAATGGAAGAAACACAAAATAACTGTCAATCTCCCTCGGCCTGGGGCTCCATGCAAGATCTCACCTCATGGAGTTGCAATGATCATGAGAACGGTGAGGAATCAGCCCAGAACTACACGGGAGGATCTTGTCAATGATCTCAAGGCAGCTGGGACCATAGTCACCAAGAAAACAATTGGTAACACACTATGCCGTGAAGGACTGAAATCCTGCAGCGCCCGCAAGGTCCCCCTGCTCAAGAAAGCACATATACATGCCCATCTGAAGTTTGCCAATGAACATCTGAATGATTCAGAGGAGTACTGGGTGAAAGTGTTGTGGTCAGATGAGACCAAAATGGAGCTCTTTGGCATCAACTCAACTCGCCGTGTTTGGAGGAGGAGGAATGCTGCCTATGACCCCAAGAACACCATCCCCACCGTCAAACATGGAGGTGGAAACATTATGCTTTGGGGGTGTTTTTCTGCTAAGGGGACAGGACAACTTCACCGCATCAAAGGGACGATGGACGGGGCCATGTACCGTCAAATCTTGGGTGAGAACCTCCTTCCCTCAGCCAGGGCATTGAAAATGGGTCGTGGATGGGTATTCCAGCATGACAATGACCCAAAACACATGGCCAAGGCAACAAAGGAGTGGCACAAGAAGAAGCACATTAAGGTCCTGGAGTGGCCTAGCCAGTCTCCAGACCTTAATCCCATAGAAAATCTGTGGAGGGAGCTGAAGGTTCGAGTTGCCAAACGTCAGCCTCGAAACCTTAATGACTTGGAGAAGATCTGCAAAGAGGAGTGGGACAAAATCCCTCCTGAGATGTGTGCAAACCTGGTGACCAACTACAAGAAACGTCTGACCTCTGTGATTGCCAACAAGGGTTTTGCCACCAAGTACTAAGTCATGTTTTGCAGAGGGCTCAAATACTTATTTCCCTCATTAAAATGCAAATAAATTCATAACATTTTTTACATGCGTTTTTCTGGATTTTTCTGTTGTTATTCTGTCTCTCACTGTTCAAATAAACCTACCATTAAAATGATAGACTGATCATTTCTTTGTCAGTGGGCAAACGTACAAAATCAGCAGGGGATCAAATACTTTTTTCCCTCACTGTATAAGATAGCATACTTTTTGATAATGTGATGAGTAAATTTGATAGTCACAATTTAGGCTAATAACTTATTTTAATACGACAAATCATTGTAACTGACTATCAATAAAAACGACATTGTCTGGTCCATATAATAGGCCTACGAGACGGGGAAACACAAATACAATGACGCCCATCTGACCTGGAGGAGGAAATTATTGTCCAAAAACAAAACTTTCAAGTGGCACTGACCCAACAACGATAGAGTGAATGTGCGCACTTCACCGGGGGATGGCCGATGCTCTCCGCTGGTGCCAATAAGATAGGCTATACTGTTCGCTCAATTAAGTTGAGAATTTTGCTAACTAAAAGACTGATTAGAGTCTCTTTATTTTCTTGTCTTTACAGCAATAGCCATTTGCTTACAAACGATGCTTTTCCGTGATTATATTTTGAAATACTGCGATATGTCTGGCTGGGCCTCTACTGTTCACTGACAGTCGCAACTCAACAATCATCCATTTTGTATTTGCCACGTGCGCTACCCGGAGCCATGCCGACTGCAGGCTATGCTACTTTTAATGATTTTATTTATTTATGTATAGACCGGAGTAGGCTAATTAGACTATAGGGGAAGCTTAGCCTCCAGGTGTTCAGACCTCCAGTTGTATAATAGTGTCCTACCCAGAGTTGGTTGTGTCTGGACCTGGCTGTAAGTGCTAGTGAAGTCCTCAGTCTGGTCTGTGGGGAAGAGACTGGGCTGGATGAATGATAGGAGGCTGTAGAGCTCCGTCAGGTTGTTCTGGATAGGAGTTCCTGTCAGCAGCACTCTGAAATCCAGAGAGAACTACAAGAGAGAGAGTGAAAGAGGTGGTAGGCTTGGAGATGGTAGGAGAAGGAATGTAGGCTTGGTGATGGTAGGAGAAGGAATGCAGGCTTGGTGATGGTAGGAGAAGGAATGCAGGCTTGGTGATGGTAGGAGAAGGAATGTAGGCTTGGTGATGGTAGGAGAGGGAATGCAGGCTTGGTGATGGTAGGAGAAGGAATGCAGGCTTGGTGATGGTAGGAGAAGGAATGTAGGCTTGGTGATGGTAGGAGAAGGAATGTAAGCTTGGTGCTATAGATGTAGTAGAATGTAGGTAGTAAGGGAAGTAGGTGCAGTACCTTTATCAGATTACATCTAGTAGTATTAGTAGTAGTATTATTATTATTAGTAGAAGTAGTAGTATTAGTAGTATTAATAGTAGTAGTAGTAATAGTAGTAGTATTATTAGTATTAGTAGTAGTAGTAGTAGTAGTAGTATTAGTAGTAGTATTAGTAGTAGTAATAGTAGTAGTAGTAGTAATAGTAGTAGTAGTAGTATTAGTATTAGTAGTAGTAGTAGTAGTAGTAGTAGTAGTAGTATTATTATATATTATATAGTAGTTAGTAGTAGTATATGTATAGTAGTAGTAGTTAGTAGTAGTATTAGTAGTAGTATCAGTATTTAGTATAGTAGTATAGTATAGTAGTAGTAGTAGTAATAGTAGTATTATTAGTAGTAATAGTAGTAGTATGTAGTAGTAGTAGTATTATTAGTAGTCGTTTATTATAGTAGTATCGTAGTAGTAGTACGTAGTCAGTATGTCGTCAGTAGTGTATCGTATTGTGTAGTAGTAGTCAGTCTTGTTAGTATTAGTAGTAGTTTATTAGTGTAGTCAGTAGTAGTAGTGTACGTAGTATGTAGTAGTCGTCTTAGTACGTATTTTAGTGTATTAGTCGTAGTACGATACTTACTTCGTCGTCTGTACGTTCGTCGTCGTCGTCCTTCGTCCCGTGTCCTTCGTTGTCGTCTTCGTCGTCTTCGTCGTCGTCGTAGTCGTCGTTCGTCTTCAATTCTTCTTCGTCGTCCGTTCGTCGTCTTCGTCGTACCTCCATCAGGGTTTTGTGCAACAGGGAGTTGTGGTTCTTCAGTCTGTGAGCCTCATCAACTACCAAGACCTTCCACTTCCTCCTGCAGAACAGAGACGTGTTAGTTCTGGATGCTTGACTGACTGTCGTTTTAAATGCTGATAGTGGAATAGTGATTGCAGACTCACCTTTTCAGGAATGAGGCATCTTTGACACAGAGCTGACAATGAGAGAAATTAGAAAACAACATGTTCAGTGTAGAGAAAGACAATATTGGATTACAGGGGGAAAGTATATCAACTTGCTACAGACGTTAGACCGCATTTCCCATCAATTAGCATCATCACCTCGTATGTAGTTAGCAGAACATGGTAGGGTGTGTTGTACCTCATATGTAGTTAGCAGAACATGGTAGGGTGTGTTGTACCTCGTATGTAGTTAGCAGAACATGGTAGGGTGTGTTGTACCTCATATGTAGTTAGCAGAACATGGTAGGGTGTGTTGTACCTCGTATGTAGTTAGCAGAACATGGTAGGGTGTGTTGTACCTCATATGTAGTTAGCAGAACATGGTAGGGTGTGTTGTCCATGTCCCTCTGCAGTTCTGCTCTCTTGTCTTTGTCTCCAGAGTAACACAGCACCTTGAGACAGGGGGATAAGCTGGGAAGACAACAGACAGCACCTTGAGACAGGGGGATAAGCTGGGAAGACAACAGACAGTCAGCTTTAGCGCCCTGCACTCATTCTGCATTAGTAGGACATTCATGTTTTGCTTTCCATAACAACAGGTTCAGACTAAATGTCTGAATTCTCAAGATTAGACCAATAGTGATGAGGTGATGAATGTGGAGAGAGAGAGTCTCCGCCTAGTAGTTAAATGAAACCATGGTAAGAACAGGAAATAGTTGCAGTGTCGGAGAGAAGTGTACAGTGCATTATGTAACATAACACTATGTCTATGTCCCCTATTACCTGTGCACTATTAGTTTATAGGGATCTGATCTGCTCTACTGTAGTGCACTACATAGGGAATAGGGGCCACTTGTGTTGAAACCTGTTGAAGGCTGTTGAAACCTGTTGAAGGCTGTTGAAACCGGTTGAAACCTGGTGAAACCTAAAGCCTGTTGAAACCGGTTGAAACCTGTTGAAGGCTGTTGAAACCGGTTGAAACCTGTTGCGTTATCTGACATAAGACAATGGTTGTTCTCCTCACCATTCCATCTCGCTCCTCCAGTTGTCCATGACAGACAGTGGGCTGACGACCAGGAACGGCCCGTCCTGCCGCAGGGCCCCTCTCATGTACAGTAGCAGAGAGATGGTCTGAGTGAAGGGCCAAACAGACAAGACAACATCAATACAATCCATATTATTGCCTTGTAATACTGAGTAAAGAAAATACATCTGAACCGTTATTCCAATAGGTAAGGATAGGTATTAAAAGGTGCTAGTATCCCTATGGATGTCCTCCAGAACTAATATTCTATGTGTCCCAAATGGCAACCTATTCCCTATATAGTGCACTACTTTAGACCAGAGAATGGCACCCTATTCCCTATATAGTGCACTACTTTTGGCCAGAGCTCTAAGCTGCCATTTGGGACAAACCCAGCCGCTCACCTGGCAGGTCTTGCCCAGGCCCATCTCATCTCCTAGGATACATCCCTGCTGGTTGGCCAGGCACTGGGTGAGCCACTGCACTCCGTCCAGCTGATAGGCTCTCAACTGAATCCCTGAGGGAAGCAACACATTTGATTGGCTGGACGCCAGTCAGTCTAATATCGGAACCAAAACGCTGTTGGGAGAGATAAGTCCAAGTAGCTAGCAAGATTCTTTAAGACCTCATATTCAATCCTGAATAGAATTATGTAACCGTTTTATGTTAAGTAGTGAAGTTACTAACAGTGTTGGGGATGCTACTCCAAGTTACCAATTACTTCACACTAGAAGTTAAGCTACACTAAAGCTACCCTTTAAAAATATAGTTTACTTAACTAAAGTTACTTTGAAAATGATTCTAAATATGAAATGTCATAGAATACAAATGGCAATGCAGATCACACTAGTCAGTTCATCACACTAGAGTCAGTTAACAGAATGTGTAATGTATCCTATTTCAACAGTTAGGCAGGTCTGATTTCGAATTTTCAGATTGCAAGAATTTCCAGTAGTTAGCGACACTGCTACATGGCGACAAAAAGTAGCTAATTAACTACTGAAAACACTACCAATGATGTGATTTCAGTTCAACTACCACCAAGCTATTGCAAAATGTAGTTTAATTACTAGTTGAACACTGTCAGTGCTTACTAACAAGTTAGATTGTTAGCTAGCTACTACAGATCCAGTTCCTGTGTGTTGGACATGTTTAAACCATGTCTCTGTTGAGCTGGCGGCAAATGACTGAACCAGTCTCTGTCGTGGGCTAACCATTAACTTACATTTACTTTGCTCACATTCCCCACCACAAACCTTGCAAACCCCACTTCTGCAAATCTTTCTCAGTCAGACTGCTCTTGGTTTCTTCCGGTACGCTCTGTGGGAAGCTAGCCATATTTCCAAAAGCAGAGGAAAGTCGCAGAGAAACAACAAGGAAGAAAGTTTAGCGCCAAACAAACAACACTGTTTACTTCCTGATCTGATCACGTCACACAGAGGAGGCGCGGATTCTTCTTCTTCGATTAGGTTGAACGGCGGTTGGCCTCCAATAAACGTTGCATTACCGCCACCAACTAGACTGGAGTATAAATCATGTATACTTCGCTTGAAAAAAGGAAAATAAATCAACATATACCCTACCATCCAGTGCTTAATTTGAGCAGGATCCTGCCATAATAGGATCCAGGCCCCTCTCAGTTTTGGACTGTTTCGTTCGGAACCTATTTGCCAGGATCCGGTACCTTTCGTGGCATGAAACAATTTTCACTGTTTGCGATGTAAAAATTAAAATAAAAGCGGTCAGAGTTAATTCGAGTTGCCTCCTCATTAATTCTCCTGCCCCCTGAAAAAAAAAATATCCTAATGTGAAAATGTAGATTTCCAGCCCACGCCTGATATTCGGGCTGGGCCTAGCCAGGGTTTATGATTTGCGCAACATTGTAACCTAGAGACCAACTCATGGCAGTTGCTGTGGTGCTAGAGAGAGAAGCTTGCCTGTATCTATAAATAAATAAAATAATTCAGAATACCACACCAGGAGTAGGCCTATCATTTAGCCACACAGGATCAATAGCTTATATTATTTTTTAAATAGCGCAACTGTGGATTGTGTGTAGCCCAATCACAAGGCCTTGCCTAGAGTCGAACACTTGTCAAATATGTCAGTGAAGAAGGCACAGTGATGCTGAAACGTTGGTGTTTTACCGAATAAATTACTGGGCATTTACAGTTTTTCTCAATTGCTAAAACACTAAACCCTATTGTCTGAACCAAATGCTCAGTTGCCTGAACCCACTGATTGAATCAATCACTCTTTTGGCAAAACCATAAGCACTTTTCACCTGTTTAGACATAACTTGCCAACACATTTTCATTGTGATGCACCCGTGCTGCATAATGGTGAGCACAGGTGACAAAAGTCAAACACATTTAGAGCACAGGTGTCACCACTTGAACACAACAACTCAAAATTGATCACACTTGTGGCTAATGATGTGAGGGAACATATACAGTAAGCCAGTTCAGAGAGCACTGGTTTGTGAGGCCCTACAATGGATAGAAATCTGAGAGGAAGAGTTCGTGTGAGAGGAGGTCGAGGTGGTCAGCGAAGACAAAGAACAGTAATATCTGATGAAATCAGAGCTACTGTGATTGACCATGTTCTTGTCCATGGTATGAGCATGAGGGAGGCTGGACAAAGGGTACAACCAAACATCAGTAGATTCACTGTGTCCACCATAATCCGAAGATTTAGAGAAGAGAACAGGTAATTACCTTTTTTTGACATTATAGTACAGTATGTAAATGTTGACAGCAATTACTGTATGACATACTATATACTGTACCACAGTATACTGTAAGTAAATATATGTTTCAGTACATCACTGTACCAATGTACTGTAGTATTGTAATGGAGGGTTGGTCTAACTGTTTGTAGGCCTAGTATTCCATGTATATTTTTTGTAACTCCATGTTCTCTTTTTGTAGAATTGAAAGACTGCCACATGGGGGTGGGAGGACAGGTATGTGCTCCCCACACCAAGAGACCCTAATTGTTGATATGGTCCGTGAGAACAATGCCATTAAACTGAGCGAAATTCAGCAGAAGATCATTGAGGACCATTTAAATTGAGGGTATCAACAGTGTCAGCCTCTCTACTGTTGATCGTGTCCTCAAGCGCAACAGACTGCGCATGAAACAGCTATACAGAGTGCCCTTTGATCGCAACTCAGACAGAGTCAAAGAGCAAAGATTCCAGTATGTACAGGTTGGCATATATCCAGACACATTCAATGTTGATTACTCTAAGTAGTGATTTACTGTAGTGGCCTAAATCACTTTTTCCGTATCACTTACAAAACTATATCTATTTCTACAGAGGGTTTTTCAACTGGATGCAATGGAAAGACCCCATCAATACATCTACATGGATGAAGCTGGGTTTAATCTCACCAAAAGGAGAAGGAGAGGCCGTAATGTGATTGGCCATCGGGCCATTGTTGGTGTTCCTGGGCAGCGTGGTGGCAATGTCACATTATGTGCTGCCATCAGCAATCATGGGGTTGTCCACCATCATGCCAACCTGGGGCCCTACAACACTCACCAGCTCCTCATTTTCCTCAATCACATGCGAGATGCTTTGTTAGGGCAGCAGGATGAGCATCCCATCTATGTTGTTGTTTGGGACAATGTGAGTTTTCACAGAGCCCTCCAGGTTAGAGAGTGGTACAATATGAACCAAGGTTTTATCAATCTTTGCCTTCCACCGTACTCCCCTTTCCTAAACCCCATTGAGGAATTCTTCTCCTCATGGCGGTGGAAGGTATATGAACGCCAACCTTACACCAGGGTAAATCTCCTGCAAGCCATGGGACTTGCCTGTGGTGACATAGGTGTGGAGGCATGCCAAGCCTGGATACGGCATGCCAGGGTTTTTTTCCCCCGTTGCCTGGCCAGACAAAATGTGGCCTGTGATGTGGATGAAGTCCTGTGGCCTGACCCAGTACGGAGACATGATGCTGTGGCTGAGTAATGCACTTATTTGTATATTTTTGTACTTTATTTTTACATGGGCTTACTGTACACAAGTGGCAAACGCATAAGATTTCTGTTTGTTTTTACAAGTGCTACATGTAAATGCACAAGATTTCTGTTTTGTCTTTTTGTACAAGTGTTAAATGCACAGGTTTTTTTTGTTTTGCAACATGCATTTAGCCTACAGTGAACAATAAACATTTATTTCTCCAGCTTCATGTCCTGAGCATTGTGTTTTCTATTTTTCTACGTAGTGTTTAGTGACTGTTCAGTAGTGTTTTTTATTTTGATTGACTCGGGGCACGATTTGACAACATAGTTCAGTTTTGAGCACAGATTGAACTGTTTTGAGGTGAAAGTTTGGTTTTGCAAGAAGAGTCTGAGGTTTTGTGAATGTAGCTTGAAAATTGGGTTTTGTGTTCACAGTTAAGAGAAAAGGAGAGCAGCTTTCAAGAAATGTGTCTTAGCAATCGAGAGAGAGAGAGAGAGAAGGAGAGAGAGAGAGAGAGAGAGAGAGAGAGAGAGAACGCGTATATATAGAGTCTTCACCTGCGGGATCGTCTGAGACCAGCCACCCAGACAGCTGTCGAAACTGTGGGTTTGCACAACCAAATAATTTCTGCATAAACTGTCAGAAACCGTTTCAGGGAAGCTCATCTGCGTGCTCGTCGTCCTCACCAGGGTCTTGACCTGACTGCAGTTCGGTGTCATAACCGACTTCGATGGCCACTGGCACACTGGAGAAGTGTGCTCTTCATGGATGAATCCCGGTTTCAACGGTACTGGGTAGACAGCGTGTGCGGTTTGCTGATGTCAACGTTGTGAACAGAGTGCCCCATGGTGGCGGTGGGGTTATGGTATGGGCAGGCATAAGCTACGGACAACGAGCACAATTGCATTTTGTCAATGGCATTTTGAATGCACAGAGATACCATGACAAGATCCTGAGGCCCATTGTAGAGCCATTCATCTGCCACCAAGGATCTGTACACAATTCCTGGAAGCTGAGAATGTCCCAGTTCTTCCATGGCCTGCCTACTCACCAAACCTGTCACCTATTAGATCAAAGATTAGCTCAGATTATGATAAATGCTCAACATTTTACCTCACTCCCTCAGCCAGTCTCCTCTCTTTGGGTCTTGCTGACAGGATCATCATCCTGTTTAAAGGGCCTGGCTTCAAACCCTAGGAATATCAAGGGGCACTTAGATCATCAAATTCACATCACTCATTTATATTATTCATATTAGCCTTCAATAACCATCCACACAGCCTTACCATTGTTCTTCGCTTGTGCCACCTCTGCTCAATCTCAGTGCAACTATGGACGGGGGAACCGCACCGATCCCAAATTGAGAGGTGTTGTCTGGTAGAGACCCAGCAGCACAGGACCAGCGGCAGAGGGCCTGGATGACAGGGCGTGAGTCCTTTAACAGAAGGTGTGAAGGTAATGAAAGGATAAAACAACCATTCTCAGCAATAACAGTGATGTTCAAATGTAGGTAAGTCAACAAACCAAGAACAATGGAAACTCAGAGAAAAAGAATCATCAAACTAGTTTCTGGGGAGCCTTTCCAAAATGTACACCTTAAGTGAATTATTTACAATACACTGTGTGGGAAATTATTCTCTTATATTTTAGATGTGCTGTTAGCTTAATAAGAAAGCATTAATGATTAAACATAATAGGTTTGTGCTGTACTGATATAGTTTGGTCAACATAACAAGCTGTGATTAATGTGAGGAACCGTTAGGGAGTAGGGTGAGATAAGGCTTGTGTCTCACACAGACACAAACACTGCCTCTTTGTTAAACCGCTCAAGGACATGTGTTCTGCTACAAAGATGTCTGAGGTTGCTGACTCTCTGGACAAGCTGCAGATAACAACTTATGCCTGGCAACAGTGAAGCGCCAAGGGGCTGGGACCAGCCTGTGCGCCAACGATAGGCTGAGTAAGTCTAAACCACGCTCAGTCTCTACTCTGATAGGCCAGCAGGGAGCGGGAACTATCTCTGTCAGAGTATTTAAAGAAGAACTCATAACAATGGACCAGTTCTCTGTCTGCCCTGCGTGGTATTTCAGTGGACCTGTATATACAAACATCATATTTACCATTGAAGTGTTTTGCATTAATTAAAATACTAGTCTATTTTAGAAGATGTGTATTGACCTCTTTTTGTTCCAATACCAGATTTGAATTGACGCAACTTATCAACTGTTAAACTGGACTATGTCGACTACACTATCTAGCTAATCAATTTCCAAGTAGCCTTGCCAAGCCATTATTTTTAGACACTTATGAATCCCCAGGAACTTGTTTGTAACAGCCAGAACAGTAAAGCTTTGTGCTTGTTGTATTCATCCTACTCTCAAACTGTTTGGCTTCTCAGATCATGCTGATCTCTCCTGTCACATGATCTTTGTTGGAAACTGAGAAATACAAATCAAACAACTTAACCTTTTTGTAAAAATTACTGCATATCAATATCAAAATCAAGGGGAACTGACCCAATAACAAATGGGTCGTTTTAAACCCACTAGATGATAATAACGAATAATATTATGTAAAGTATAGCTAGCGAGATAACTAGCTAGTTAAGGATCCCCACCCTCGTAGTTGTCGATGTAACTCGATATATTCATCTTAAATCCCTTTCCTTTTTTTTCTTTTTGAAGCAACAGCTGATGCTCTACATGCACACAGCAGCTTCCACACTGACCTCTAGAGGCTGCAGCTTCCACACTGACCTCTAGAGGCTGCAGCTTCCACACTGACCTCTAGAGGCTGCAGCTTCCACACTGTGACCTCTAAAGGCTGCAGCTTCCACACTGTGACCTCTAGAGGCTGCAGCTTCCACACTGACCTCTAGAGGCTGCAGCTTCCACACTGTGACCTCTAGAGGCTGCAGCTTCCACACTGACTTCTAGAGGCTGCAGCTTCCACACTGACCTCTAAAGGCTGCAGCTTCCACACTGACCTCTAGAGGCTGCAGCTTCCACACTGGACTTCTAGAGGCTGCAGCTTCCACACTGACCTCTAGAGGCTGCAGCTTCCACACTGACCTCTAAGGCGCAGCTTCCACACTGACCTCTAAAGGCTGCAGCTTCCACACTGGACTTCTAGAGGCTGCAGCTTCCACACTGACCTCTAGAGGCTGCAGCTTCCACACGTGACCTCTAGAGGCTGCAGCTTCTCCACACTGACCTCTAGAGGCTGCAGCTTCCACACTGACCTCTAAAGGCTGCAGCTTCCACACTGACCTCTAGAGGCTGCAGCTTCCACACTGTGACCTCTAGAGGCTGCAGCTTCCACACTGACCTCTAGAGGCTGCAGCTTCCACACTGACCTCTAGAGGCTGCAGCTTCCACACTGTGACCTCTAGAGGCTGCAGCTTCCACACTGTGACCTCTATAGGCTGCAGCTTCACCGACCTCTAGAGGCTGCGTGTCCCACTGACTCTAAGGCTGCAGCTTCCACACTGACCTCTAAAGGCTGCAGCTTCCACACTGTGACCTCTAGAGGCTGCAGCTCCACATGACCTCTAGAGGCTGCAGCTTCCACACTGACCTCTAGAGGCTGCAGCTTCCACACTGACCTCTAGAGGCTGCAGCTTCCACACTGACCTCTAGAGGCTGCAGCTTCCACACTGACCTCTAAAGGCTGCAGCTTCCACACTGTGAACCTCTAGAGGCTTGCAGCTTCCACACTGTGACCTCTAGAGGCTGCAGCTTCCACACTGTGACCTCTAGAGGCTGCAGCTTCCACACTGTGACTTCTAGAGGCTGCAGCTTCCACACTGTGACCTCTAGAGGCTGCAGCTTCCACACTGTGACCTCTAGAGGCTGCAGCTTCCACACTGTGACCTCTAGAGGCTGAAGCTTCCACACTGTGACTTCTAGAGGCTGCAGCTTCCACACTGTGACCTCTAGAGGCTGCAGCTCCACACTGTGACTTCTAGAGGGCTGCAGCTTCCACACTGTGTCCTCTATAGGCTGCAGCTTCCACACTGTGACTTCTAGAGGCTGCAGCTTCCACACTGTGACCTCTAGAGGCTGCAGCTTCCACACTGTGACCTCTAGAGGCTGCAGCTTCCACACTGTGACTTCTAGAGGCTGCAGCTTCCACACTGTGACCTCTAGAGGCTGCAGCTTCCACACTGTGACCTCTAGAGGCTGCAGCTTCCACACTGTGACCTCTAGAGGCTGCAGCTTCCACACTGTGACCTCTAGAGGCTGTTTCCATTGTGCCCTTAGATTCATTCCTGGTGATGGTTCTAGAACTCACCATTGTGTTTTGTGTCAAAAGGTGGTTGGGCCTCTCTGTATGTAAGAAGAGAGCAGCATTCCCTTCTGTTTATTTACAAAGCGCTCCTGCAGAAACTTCCGATGTATCTGACAACACTAATCAATGTCAAAGCAATAGAATACAGTACAAGAGCACCATATTGGATAGTGCTAGAAGTTCCAAGGGTGGCTTCTGATTTAGGGAGAGCTGCTTTGGGGTTTTATGCTCCACAGATGTGGAATGTGTTGCAGGGGAGGCTCAGGCCTGAATGTGTTGCAGGAGAGGCTCAGGCCTGAATGTGTTGCAGGAGAGGCTCAGGCCTGAATGTGTTGCAGGAGAGGCTCAGGCCTGAATGTGTTGCAGGGGAGGCTCAGGCCTGAATGTGTTGCAGGGGAGGCTCAGGCCTGAATGTGTTGCAGGGGAGGCTCAGGCCTGAATGTGTTGCAGGGGAGGCTCAGGCCTGAATGTGTTGCAGGGGAGGCTCAGGCCTGAATGTGTTGCAGGGGAGGCTCAGGCCTGAATGTGTTGCAGGGGAGGCTCAGGCCTGAATGTGTTGCAGGGGAGGCTCAGGCCTGAATGCCTGTTGCCCTTTAGGGAATTTAAAACATAACTGGGGAATGCTCTAAGTGAAGATTGTGTTAGTTTTTTATGATCATATTTTGTAATTTAGTATTTTATTGTGTTTTATATTGATGTGGTCCTCTGTAGCTCAATTGGTAGAGCATGGCGCTTGTAACGCCAGGGTAGTGGGTTCAATCCCCGGGACCACCCATATGTAAAAATGTATGCACACATAACTGTAAGTCACTTTGGATAAAAGCGTCTGCTAAATGGCATATTATTATTATTATTATTATGTGTGTGTTTGTATTGTGCAGGGACTTGGTCTCAATATGACACCCTGTTAAAATAAAGGTTAATAACATTAACAGTTTATGTGAGTGTTAAATAATGTATGTATCAGTGGTAAAGCACAACAAATACAGGCACACTGTAGCTCTCATAGTCAAGGTAGGTCTGTTGATATGGATTTGTTGCAGCCTCCATTACATACAACGTACACTAGATGGGATCCTTGCACTGCATGTCATTTTGTAGTCGTATTGTTGTTTTCCTGTATAGTCCGGAAGTATAGAGTTCCCCGCCCCGGTTGCAGTTGCACAGCGCCCGCCAGTATCCCAAGATTCCGCTGTTTCTGCTTTGACCTCGCCGATAACGGAGTGGATAGTGTAAGTAGTGTTGTATACTCTGCGTGGTGGATGATGGCCGCTTCAAAGCCCGTTGAGCCGCAGTCCGGGAGCAGTCTCCCCCGCTGGCAGCTGGCCCTCCTGATCGGTACCCCCATAGTACTGGGTGTAGGAGCTGTTTACATGTGGAACCGCAGCAAGACGAAGGACTCACCGGGGAAACGGGATGGGGAACGGACAACTCCAGAAGGCAGCGCTAGCCCCATCCAGGGCCAAGACGGCGCAGCTAACCGAGCTAGTCGTGAGCAGGAGGACATGGTATGAATCTCAGGCTCTCCTAGATATAACTCTGCTTTGGTTCAGTTTTCCTGCCCAGAGTGGTACTAGCTATAACACTAAATCCTTGTTCCTTGAGTATAATTTGTTCGGTACCGAAATACATTCAAGGACATGTCAATGAATCCCACCTACATTTAGCAGATGGCCGCAAACTATCTAGGTAACTAGCTAGAATGGTAAAAAAAACTAACGTTAACTAGCTACCTAAATAACAATTTCAATGAAGTAAACTAATTGGGTTACACAGTCATATTTGTCGTGGTATGAGCAAACATGTCAAATAGGACGGGGTAACAGTTAGACGCCAGGCAAGGTGAACTGCGAGCCAAGCACGTTTTACTAATGCTACAGTGCCTTCAGAATGTAGTAATACCCCTTGACTTATTCCACTTTGTTGTTACAGCCTGATTTCAACATGGATTAAATATGTTTTCTCACCCATTTACACCCAACAATCCATAAGGACAAAGTGAAAAAAATGTTTTTAGCAAATTCTTTGAAAATGAAATATAAAAATATCAAATTTACCTAACTATTCACACCCCTGAGTCAAAGAACAATGAGCCAGATATTTCACTGGATGTATAAATGTGAAGCATCCGGTTGCGTTTCCACTCACTACCAAATATGGTGATGAGAGGAAGCCCAGTAGCCGGAAGTGGGAGAAGATATATCAAGATGGATTTCTCCCTACATTCTACAAATTTCCTCATTGATTAAACATTTGATCTCCATACAGTTTTCTGTTTCCAAAACTAGAATCTGTAACAAACAGTGGACTGCGTTTTGTAGACTTTAGCCTTTGCCAAAGTTTTTTTTAATGGCATTCTTTGGAAGGAGCGCCAGGGCGAATTGAATTATTGCCACGTGCTCTTCACAGAGTAGGAGTTCCTTAACGGAAATATGCAAATAAATGCTAGAACGCACCAATAGGATCTCACTAGCTCGTGGTTGGCTCTGCCCACCTCCTTGCTTGTTCTAATTGGCTCCCATTGGAAACGACAGGCTCTGGTCTATCTTGAGTTAGTTATACTAATCTTTGCCTGAGTCAATACTTTGTGGAAGCACCTTTGGCAGCGATTACAGCTGTGAGTCTTTCTGGGTAAGTCTCTAAGAGCTTTCCACACCTGGATTGTGCCACTTTTGGCCATTATTCTTCAAGCTCTGTCAAATTGGTTGTTGATCATTGCTAGACAACCATTTTCAGGTTTTGCCATAGATTTCCAAGTAGATTGAAGTCAAAACTGTAACTCGGCCACTCAGGAACATTCACTGTCTACTTGGTAACCAACTCCAGTGTAGATTTGGCCTTGTGTTTTAGATTATTGTCCTGCTGAAAGGTGAAGTCATCTCCCAGTGTCTGGTGGAAAGCAGACTGAACCAGGTTTTCTTTGAGGATTCTGCCATTCTTTTAATTTTTTTATCCTGAAAACCTCCCCAGTCCTTAACGATGACAAGCAGACCCATAACATGATGCAGCCACCACTATGCTTGAAATGGAGGGTGGTACTCAGTATTGGATTGGATTTGCCCCAAACATAACACTTTGTATTCAAGACAAAAAGTGGATGCCTTGTTGGAAACAGGTTGCATGTTTTGGAATATTTGTATTCTGTACAGGCTTCCTTCTTTTCACTCTGTCATTTAGGTTAGTATTTTGGAATAACTACAATGTTGTTGATCCAGCCTCAGTTTTCTCCTATCACAGCCATTAAACTCTGTAACTGTTTTAAAGTCACCATTGGCCTCATGGTGAAATCCCTTAGCGGTTTCCTTCTTCTCCGGCAAATGAGTTAGGAAGGATGCCTGTATCTTTGTAGTGACTGGGTGTATTGATACACCATCCAAAGTGTAACTAATAACTTCACCATGCTCAAAGGGATATTCAATGTCTGCTATTTACATTTTTACCCATCTACCAATAGGTGCCCTTCTTTGGAAAACCTCCCTGGTCTTTGTGGTTGAATCTGTTTTGAAATTCACTGCTTGACTGAGGGACCATACAGATAATTGTATTCATTAAAAATTATGTTAAACACTTTTTTTGCACACCGAGTGAATCCATGCAACTTTATTATGACTTGTTAAGCACATTTTTACTCCTGAACTTATTTAGCGGTTGAATACTTATTGACTCGAGACATATCAGCTTTTCATTTTTTTATTAATTTGTAACAATTTCCAAAAATAAAATTCCTCTTTGACATTATGGGGTGTTGTGTTTAGGCCAGTGACAAAAACATCTAAATTTTATCAATTTTAAATTCAGGCTGTAACGCAACAAAATGTGGGAAAAGTCAAGGGGTGTGAATATTTTCCGAAGGCATTGTAGCTAGCTGTCACCTTGCGTTTCCATTCGTTTACTCATTAGCTAACAAGTCAATCACCACACACTACAGCTAGTCAGAACACCTGTTCATTGGAACATATTGATTGATTGAATGGCCTCTGTGATTCCCCTTGTTCCCAAGGTCGGTAAGGGGACAGATCTTAATTGGTTCAGACAGGGAAGGGTTTGCCAGTCAAACAAAAAGTCTGATCCTAAATCTGCATTTAAGGGTAGATGCATAGTTCTGAAATCTTGTTGTGCTACTTGCTAGCACACATTCACACAACCCAATCAATGTCCACAGTCAGTGTTGTGTAGAAACCTTCCAATGCACTGCCTCACTCCACTTTGAGGTCATTTGTAACCTGCTAGCTAGCTACACCCAACATCAGCCCACAGTTCAAAGTCTCTCCTCATTTGAATGAATTCACCCACAGAAGTGATCTGTCTGTGATGAGCCTAAAGCCTAGCTATCCAGGTGAGCTGCCAATGAGTAAGGCACACAATCATACCATTATTGTGGATAGTCAGATTAATATAATAGTTTAAAACATTTGCATGGTTTGCAAGAAGGATTTCCCTAATAATCCTGTTTCCATGGACACATCTGAAATCAGGCTGCATGTTGGGACTTCGCCAATCAAAGTAAACGTTCTACCACAGCGACCTTGTTCTTTTTGGGAAGCTTTTTTGATTTTATAAAATGTGTATGTGAAAACTATTTATAAGATTCATACTTTGTTCCGAACTCACTTCACTGGCGCCAAAGAGGGAGGCTCGCTGGGCTGGTGTCACACGCAGATCAAACACACCATTGGGACTCTGATTTCAGGTGTTTCCTACTCTTTGGGAATATTGTTCAGAAAACCAGTTGTTTTAATCGGCGTACGCTTACTTCCATTATGACCTTATGCCAATTCAGATGAAGAGTAAGGTGTTTAAATTACTACTGCCGTAAGAATGTTTAATATCCAATTAATAGTGTGCATGTAAACTTACTCAGGTTAGCAGGGGGACCATGAAGCCCACTCCCCCCTAGTGTCTTTAGGCCTATTTTCAAGCCAACGAGCCACTCAACCCGTCTGTCTAGCCCCTCCCTCTCTTGGACACGGGGGATTACACCATCTGAGTGGGATCTCTTTTCCAACTGAGCAGTCAGGCTGGATGGATGGTTAGGGACGGAGTAGGGGGACAGTCTGGATGGATGGATGGTTAGGATGGAGTAGGGGGACAGTCTGGATGGATGGATGGTTAGGATGGAGTAGGGGGACAGTCTGGCTGGATGGATGTTTAGGATGGAGTAGGGGGACAGTCTGGCTGGATGGATGGTTAGGGACGGAGTAGGGGGACAGTCTGGCTGGATGGATGGTTAGGGACGGAGTAGGGGGACAGTCAGTCTGGCTGGATGGATGGTTAGGATGGAGTAGGGGGACAGTGGCTGGATGGATGGTTAGGGATGGAGTAGGGGGACAGTCTGGCTGGATGGATGGTTAGGGATGGAGTAGGGGGACAGTCTGGCTGGATGGATGGTTAGGATGGAGTAGGGGGACAGTCTGGCTGGATGGATGGTTAGGATGGAGTAGGGGGACAGTCAGGCTGGATGGATAGGATGGAGTAGGGGGACAGTCTGGCTGGATGGATGGTTAGGGATGGAGTAGGGGGACAGTCTGGATGGATGGTTAGGATGGAGTAGGGGGACAGTCAGTCTGGATGGATGGTTAGGATGGAGTTGGGGGACAGTCTGGCTGGATGGATGGTTAGGGACGGAGTAGGGGGACAGTCTGGATGGATGTTAGGGACGGAGTAGGGGGACAGTCTGGCTGGATGGATGGTTAGGGATGGAGTAGGGGGACAGTCTGGCTGGATGGATGGTTAGGATGGAGTAGGGGGGACAGTCTGGCTGGATGGATGGTTAGGATGGAGTAGGGGGACAGTCAGGCTGGATGGATAGGATGGAGTAGGGGGACAGTCTGGATGGATGGTTAGAGATGGAGTAGGGGGACAGTCTGGCTGGATGGATGGTTAGGGACGGAGTAGGGGGACAGTCTGGCTGGATGGATGGTTAGAGATGGAGTAGGGGGACAGTCTGGCTGGATGGATGGTTAGAGATGGAGTAGGGGGACAGTCTGGCTGGATGGATGGTTAGGATGGAGTAGGGGGACAGTCTGGCTGGATGGATGGTTAGGGACGGAGTAGGGGGACAGTCTGGCTGGATGGATGGTTAGGATGGAGTAGGGGGACAGTCTGGCTGGATGGATGGTTAGGATGGAGTAGGGGGACAGTCTGGATGGATGGTTAGAGATGGAGTAGGGGGACAGTCTGGCTGGATGGATGGTTAGGGACGGAGTAGGGGGACAGTCTGGCTGGATGGATGGTTAGGATGGAGTAGGGGGACAGTCTGGATGGATGGTTAGAGATGGAGTAGGGGGACAGTCTGGCTGGATGGATGGTTAGGGACGGAGTAGGGGGACAGTCTGGCTGGATGGATGGTTAGGGACGGAGTAGGGGGACAATCTGGCAGGATGGATGGTTAGGATGGAGTAGGGGGACAGTCTGGCTGGATGGATGGTTTGGATGGAGTAGGGGGACAGTCTGGATGGATGGTTAGGGATGGAGTAGAGCGACAGTCTGGCTGGATGGATGGTTAGGGATGGAGTAGGGGGACAGTCTGGCTGGATGGATGGTTAGGGATGGAGTAGGGGGACAGTCTGGCTGGATGGATGGTTAGGATGGAGTAGAGGGACAGTCTGGATGGATGGTTAGGATGGAGTAGGGGGACAGTCTGGCTGGATGGTTAGGATGGAGTAGGGGGACAGTCAGTCTGGCTGGATGGATGGTTAGGGACGGAGTAGGGGGACAGTCAGTCTGGATGGATGGTTAGGATGGAGTAGGGGGACAGTCTGGCTGGATGGATGGTTAGGGATGGAGTAGGGGGACAGTCTGGATGGATGGTTAGGGATGGAGTAGGGGGACAGTCTGGATGGATGGTTAGGGATGGAGTAGGGGGACAGTCTGGATGGATGGTTAGAGATGGAGTAGGGGGACAGTCTGGATGGATGGTTAGAGATGGAGTAGGGGGACAGTCTGGATGGATGGTTAGGATGGAGTAGGGGGACAGTCTGGATGGATGGTTAGAGATGGAGTAGGGGGACAGTCTGGCTGGATGGATGGTTAGGATGGAGTAGGGGGACAGTCTGGCTGGATGGATGGTTAGGATGGAGTAGGGGGACAGTCAGTGGCTGGATGGATGGTTAGGATGGAGTAGGGGGACAGTCAGTGGCTGGATGGATGGTTAGGATGGAGTAGGGGGACAGTCAGTCTGGATGGATGGATGGATGGTTAGGATGGAGTAGGGGGACAGTCAGTGGCTGGATGGATGGTTAGGATGGAGTAGGGGGACAGTCAGTGGCTGGATGGATGGTTAGGATGGAGTAGGGGGACAGTCAGTGGATGGATGGATGGTTACAACAACTACAACATCCCAATCCTAATAACACTAACTCTGTCTCCCTCCCTTCCATCCTATAGTCCTCTGGACCGAGCCCAGGGTGATACTAACTCTGTCTCTCTCCCTTCCATCCTATAGTCCTCTGGACCGGGCCCAGGGTGATACTAACTCTGTCTCTCTCCCTTCCATCCTATAGTCCTCTGGACCGGGCCCAGGGTGATACTAACTCTGTCTCCCTCCCTTCCATCCTATAGTCCTCTGGACCGAGCCCAGGGTGATACTAACTCTGTCTCTCTCCCTTCCATCCTATAGTCCTCTGGACCGGGCCCAGGGTGATACTAACTCTGTCTCCCTCCCTTCCATCCTGTAGAGTCCTCTGGACCGGGCCCAGGGTGCCACTAACTCTGTCTCCCTCCCATCCTGTAGAGTCCTCTGGACCGGGCCCAGGGTGCTAAGAACAAGGGCAACAAGTACTTCAAGGCTGGGAAGTATGAGCAGGCCATCCAGTGTTACACAGAGGCCATCGGTCTGTGTCCTAGAGAGAACCAGACAGACCTGTCCACCTTTTACCAGAACAGAGCTGCTGCCTACGAACAGCAGGTAACTATCACCACGGCAACCATTCATTATGATGCTCTGGATGTGTTCATGTGGGTTTATAGCAGTGGAGGCTGGTGAGGGGAGTGCAGGCATAGTAACAGCTGGAATGGAATGCCGTTTCATTCATTCCATACCAGACATTACAATGAGCCCGTCGTCTGGTTGAAGGTGTCATCAACCAACACCGGTTTCCAGTGGAGAACTATTGTATGCATATGTTCCTGTGTTAACATTAACAACATGGCTGTGACCTCCAGATGAAGTGGACCGAGGTGGTGCAGGACTGTACCAGGGTTAGGGTTTCATGTGGTGGTGTACCCAGGGTTAGGGTTTCATGTGGTGGTGTACCCAGGGTTAGGGTTTCATGTGGTACTGTACCAGGGTTAGGGTTTCATGTGGTGGTGTACCCAGGGTTTCATGTGGTGGTGTACCCAGGGTTAGGGTTTCATGTGGTACTGTACCAGGGTTAGGGTTTCATGTGGTGGTGTACCCAGGGTTTCATGTGGTGGTGTACCCAGGGTTAGGGTTTCATGTGGTGGTGTACCCAGGGTTAGGGTTTCATGTGGTGGTGTACCCAGGGTTAGGGTTTCATGTGGTGGTGTACCCAGGGTTAGGGTTTCATGTGGTGGTGTACCCAGGGTTAGGGTTTCATGTGGTGGTGTACCCAGGGTTAGGGTTTCATGTGGTGGTGTACCCAGGGTTAGGGTTTCATGTGGTGGTGTACCCAGGGTTAGGGTTTCATGTGGTACTGTACCAGGGTTAGGGTTTCATGTGGTGGTGTACCCAGGGTTTCATATGGTACTGTACCAGGGTTAGGGTTTCATATGGTACTGTACCAGGGTTAGGGTTTCATGTGGTGGTGTACCCAGGGTTAGGGTTTCATGTGGTGGTGTACCCAGGGTTAGGGTTTCATGTGGTACTGTACCAGGGTTAGGGTTTCATGTGGTGGTGTACCCAGGGTTTCATGTGGTGGTGTACCCAGGGTTAGGGTTTCATGTGGTACTGTACCAGGGTTAGGGTTTCATGTGGTGGTGTACCCAGGGTTTCATGTGGTGGTGTACCCAGGGTTAGGGTTTCATGTGGTGGTGTACCCAGGGTTAGGGTTTCATGTGGTGGTGTACCCAGGGTTAGGGTTTCATGTGGTGGTGTACCCAGGGTTAGGGTTTCATGTGGTGGTGTACCCAGGGTTAGGGTTTCATGTGGTGGTGTACCCAGGGTTAGGGTTTCATGTGGTGGTGTACCCAGGGTTAGGGTTTCATGTGGTACTGTACCAGGGTTAGGGTTTCATGTGGTGGTGTACCCAGGGTTTCATATGGTACTGTACCAGGGTTAGGGTTTCATATGGTACTGTACCAGGGTTAGGGTTTCATGTGGTGGTGTACCCAGGGTTAGGGTTTCATGTGGTACTGTACCAGGGTTAGGGTTTTCATGTGGTGGTGTACCCAGGGTTTCATGTGGTGGTGTACCCAGGGTTAGGGTTTCATGTGGTGGTGTACCCAGGGTTAGGGTTTCATGTGGTGGTGTACCCAGGGTTAGGGTTTCATGTGGTGGTGTACCCAGGGTTAGGGTTTCATGTGGTGGTGTACCCAGGTTAGGGTTTCATGTGGTGGTGTACCCAGGGTTAGGGTTTCATGTGGTGGTGTACCCAGGGTTAGGGTTTCATGTGGTGGTGTACCCAGGGTTTCATGTGGTGGTGTACCCAGGGTTAGGGTTTCATGTGGTGGTGTACCCAGGGTTAGGGTTTCATGTGGTGGTGTACCCAGGGTTAGGGTTTCATGTGGTACTGTACCAGGGTTAGGGTTTCATGTGGTGGTGTACCCAGGTTTCATGTGGTGGGTTGTACCCAGGGTTAGGGTTTCATGTGGTGGTGTACCCAGGGTTAGGGTTTCATGTGGTTGGTGTACCCAGGGTTAGGGTTTCATGTAGTGGGTGTACCCAGGGTTAGGGTTTCATGTGGTGGTGTACCCCAGGGTTAGGGTTTCATGTGGTGGTGTACCCAGGGTTAGGGTTTAATGTGGTGGTGTACCCAGGGTTAGGGTTTCATGTGGTGGTGTACCAGGGTTAGGGTTTCATGTGGTGGTGTACCCAGGGTTAGGGTTTCATGTGGTAGTGTACCCAGGGTTAGGGTTTCATGTGGTGGTGTACCCAGGGTTAGGGTTTCATGTGGTGGTGTACCCAGGGGTTAGGGTTTCATGTGGTGGTGTACCCAGGGTTAGGGTTTCATGTGGTGGTGTACCCAGGGTTAGGGTTTCATGTGGTGGTGTACCCAGGGTTAGGGTTTCATGTGGTGGTGTAACCAGGGTTAGGGTTTCATGTGGTGGTGTACCCAGGGTTAGGGTTTCATGTGGTGGTGTAACCCAGTGGTTAGGTTTCATGTGGTACTGTACCAGGGTAGGGTTTCATGTGGTGTGTACCCAGGTTTCATGTGGTGTGTACCCAGGTTTCATGTGGTGGTGTACCCAGGGTTAGGGTTTCATGTGGTGGTGTACCCAGGGTTAGGGTTTCATGTGGTGGTGTACCCAGGTTAGGGTTTCATGTGGTGGTGACCCAGGGTTAGGGTTTCATGGTGGTGTGTACCCAGGTTTTCATGTGGTGGTGTACCCAGGGTTTCATGTGGGTGTGTACCCAGGTTAGGGTTTCATTGGTGGTGTACCCAGGGTTTCATGTTGTTGGTGTACCCAGGGTTAGGTTTCATGTGGTGGTGTACCCATGGTTAGGTTTCAGTGTGGTGTACCCAGGTTAGGGTTTCATGTGGTGGTGTACCCAGGTTAGGGTTTCATGTGGTTGTACCCAGGGTTAGGGTTTCATGTGGTTACTGTACCAGGGTTAGGGTTTCATGTGGTGGTGTACCCAGGGTTTCATGTGGTGGTGTACCCAGGGTTTCATGTGTTGGTGTACCCAGGGTTAGGGTTTCATGTGGTGGTGTACCCAGGGTTTCATGTGGTGGTGTACCCAGGGTTAGGGTTTCATGTGGTGGTGTACCCAGGGTTAGGGTTTCATGTGGTGGTGTACCCAGGGTTAGGGTTTCATGTGGTGGTGTACCCAGGGTTTAGGGTTTCATGTGGTGGTGTACCCAGGGTTAGGGTTTCATGTGGTGGTGTACCCAGGGTTTCATGTGGTGGTGTACCCAGGGTTAGGGTTTCATGTGGTGGTGTACCCAGGGTTAGGGTTTCATGTGGTGGTGTACCCAGGGTTTCATGTGGTGGTGTACCCAGGGTTTCATGTGGTGGTGTACCCAGGGTTTCATGTGGGTGGTGTACCCAGGGTTTCATGTGGTGGTGTACCCAGGGTTTCATGTGGTGGTGTACCCAGGGTTAGGGTTTCATGTGGTGGTGTACCCAGGGTTAGGGTTTCATGTGGTGGTGTACCCAGGGTTAGGGTTTCATGTGGTGGTGTACCCAGGGTTAGGGTTTCATTGGGTGGTGTACCCAGGTTAGGGTTTCATGTGTGGTGTACCCGGGTTAGGGTTCATGTGTGGTGTACCCAGGTTAGGGTTTCATGTGGTGGTGTACCCAGGGTTAGGGTTTCATTGGTGGTGTACCCAGGGTTAGGGTTTCATGTGGTGGTGTACCCAGGGTTAGGGTTTCATGTGGTGGTGTACCCAGGGGTTAGGTTTCATGTGGTAATGTGTTAACATCAACGTCTGTGTTTCCAGATGAAGTGGACCGGTGGTGCAGACTGTTCCCAGGCTGTAGAGATGAACCCTCGCTATATCAAGGCCCTGTTCGGAGGGCCAAGGCCCTGGGAGACTGGACACAACAAGGATGTCTGGAAGGTATGCAAACACACACACACCACACACACACACCACACACACACCCCACACACACACCACACACACACACCACACTGATACAGGAGTACCTGGAAGTACACACACACACACACACACCACACACACACACACACACACACACACACACACACACACACACACACACACACACACACACACACTGGATAACAAGGAGTACCTGGAAGGTACACACACACACACACACACACACACACACACACACACTGGACAACAAGAAGGAGGCCTGGAGGATAGGTCTCAGATCACAGCTGTCCTCTAAAGGCATATGATACGACAACAAGGCTAATAGAAGTGATCTGGTGTTTTTGTGTTATAAAATGTTCCTGTAGATGTGACGGCGGTATGTATCCTGGAGGCCTTTCAGAACCAGCAGAGTATGCTCCTAGCAGACAAAGTCCTCAAACTGCTGGGGAAGGAGAAGGCCAAAGACAAATACAAGGTGAGAGGATCTCCCAGCTCCCAGCTTTCCTGCTGCTCCTTATTGAACTTAGATGCTGTTTGATTACAACTAGTTGAATGTTGGTGCATTACCACTGTCAAGCTTTGCACCAGTGTTTGTTTGGTATGGTCCATTACCACTGTCAAGCTTTGCACAAGTGTTTGTTTGGTACGGTACATTAACACTGTCAAGCTTTGCACCAATGTACCACTTGCCGTGCTGTAGCAGAGAGAACAGTCTATGACTTGGGTGGCTGGAGTCTTAGACAATTTTTAGGGCCTTCCTCTGACACCGCCTGGTATAGAGGTCCTGGATGGCAGGGAGCTCGGCCCCAGTGATTTAATGGGCCATACACACTACCCTCTGTAGTACCTTGCGGTCGGATACCAAACATGATTATTACACAAGCGCACCTTGTGCTGGGGACAATAAAAGGCCACTCTAAAATGTGCAGTTTTGTCACACAACACAATGCCACTGATGTCTCAAGTTTTGAGGGAGCGTGCAATTGGCATGCTGACTGCAGGAAGATAATTTCAGCACAGTTTTGATTGGGACAGCGCCATAGCGCTGCTTTGAGACAATCGTGGGGACTCGTTTCTGAATCTCCGTTTGGATATTGGTTAGGCTACAATTAGGCTGTGGAAAGGTTAGCTGGGATGAGTGTTGCCAATGATCATCTTGTTTAGTTGGCTCATTTCTTAGCACCGATCAGAACAGTTTGCTAGCGTGTTACGTAGTTTATCAAGTGGATTATTTTTTTATCAAGTGAAGCCTCTTGACTTGTCTTAATCAATGTGATTTTGCTTCACTGAATCTCTGTCTGTATAGGCTATTTGGTTCATTGGTTTCTGGCTGGGCAAATAAGTGGAGGTGGAATAGCTGATTTAGTACTGATCAGAAACATTTAGCATGATAGACCTTCATTTGATTTGGGCTACATTCTATCAGTTTTGCTAGATCGCGTAAAGGCAACTCCAGAAACCCACAGAGGTTGGGAAATATGAACGAGACATGCTTTTGAAAATAGGATTAATATTATTTTCTATTTGTATCATGATGAAGGTAAGACCCTACGCCTGTTCCCTAACAAAGCGGAGGGAGGGTAGGAAAGAGATGAAACGTGGGCTTGGGCTCGGTTTTAAAATATATCTTTTTTTACAGTGAGGGAAAAAAGTATTTGATCCCCTGCTGATTTTGTACGTTTGCCCACTGACAAAGACATGATCAGTCTATAATTTTAATGGTAGGTTTATTTGAACAGTGAGAGACAGAATAACTACAAAAATATCCAGAAAAATGCATGTCAAAAATGTTATAAATTGATTAGCATTTTAATGAGGGAAATAAGTATTTGACCCCCTCTCAATCAGAAAGATTTCTGGGTCCCAGGTGTCTTTTATACAGGTAACGAGCTGAGATTAGGAGCACACTCTTAAAGGGAGTGCTCCTAATCTCAGTTTGTTACCTGTATAAAAGACACCTGTCCACAGAAGCAATCAATCAATCAGATTCCAAACTCTCCACCATGGCCAAGACCAAAGAGCTCTCCAAGGATGTCAGGGACAAGATTGTAGACCTACACAAGGCTGAAATGGGCTACAAGAACATCGCCAAGCAGCTTGGTGAGAAGGTGACAACAGTTGGTCCGATTATTTGCAAATGGAAGAAACACAAAATAACTGTCATTCTCCCTCGGCCTGGGGCTCCATGCAAGATCTCACCTCGTGGAGTTGCAATGATCATGAGAACGGTGAGGAATCAGCCCAGAACTACACGGGAGGATCTTGTCAATGATCTCAAGGCAGCTGGGACCATAGTCACCAAGAAGACAATTGATAACACACTACGCTGTGAAGGACTGAAATCCTGCAGCGCCCGCAAGGTCCCGCTGCTCAAGAAAGCACATATACAGGCCCGTCTGAAGTTTGCCAATGAACATCTGAATGATTCAGAGGAGAACTGGGTGAAAGTGTTGTGGTCAGATGAGACCAAAATGGAGCTCTTTGGCATCAACTCAACTCGCCGTGTTTGGAGGAGGAGGAATGCTGCCTATGACCCCAAGAACACCATCCCCACCGTCAAACATGGAGGTGGAAACATTATGCTTTGGGGGTGTTTTTCTGCTAAGGGGACAGGACAACTTCACCGCATCAAGGGACGATGGACGGGGCCATGTACCGTCAAATCTTGGGTGAGAACCACCTCCCCTCAGCCAGGGCATTGAAAATGGGTTGTGGATGGGTAGTCCAGCATGACAATGACCCAAAACACACGGCCAAGGCAACAAAGGAGTGGCTCAAGAAGAAGCACATTAAGGTCCTGGAGTGGCCTAGCCAGTCTCCAGACCTTAATCCCATAGAAAATGTGTGGAGGGAGCTGAAGGTTCGAGTTGCCAAACGTCAGCCTCGTAACCTTAATGACTTGGAGAAGATCTGCAAAGAGGACTGGGACAAAATCCCTCCTGAGATGTGGGCAAACCTGGTGGCCAACTACAAGAAACGTCTGGTTTTGCCACCAAGTACTAAGTCATGTTTTGCAGAGGGGGTCAAATACTTATTTCCCTCATTAAACTGCAAATCAATTCATAAAATTTTTCACATGTGTTTTTCTGGATTTTTTTTATTTTTATTCTGTCTCTCACTGTTCAAATAAACCTATCATTAAAATTATAGACTGATCATGTCTTTGTCAGTGGGCAAACGTACAAAATCAGCAGGGGATCAAATACTTTTTTCCCTCACTGTACATGACAGCGGTTCCACACGTTCCCGTGACACAAGTTGTGTGGAAATAATATTTGTTATATTTTATTCTGTTATAGTCCGTTATATTCTTACTATAAAATATGTGTGTTGACTGATCGGGTAGGTGTGTCCTGTCTGTTTAATGAACAAAATAACTAACTATTGATTTCATTTGGATGGTGCAGCAATGGCTGCATAGACCCTAACATAGGCCTAATTCAACTCAAAATATTCTGTTCTAGTCTTTTGAAAATACATTTAATTAGTCTTTATAATATTTCTTGCCTAAATGAATGAATAATGGATTTGTTTTTGATGGTGTATATTCTCAATGGATTTATTAAAATAGACACCCAACCACATCTGCATACCACTACTACCACTCATCCCCGGCAGGCCCACCGGAGGTATAAAAGGTGGGCCTGTTTGTAAGGGGGTCATATAAACATTGCCCTATTCATTTTTAAAAATGCAAAATACCGTAAATACTTTGTAAAACCAGTACAAGTCTCACCCTCCCTCTTCTCGCTCTATTTCCATCTCTTCTCTCTCCAGAACCGTGACCCCCTGATGCCTTCTCCTCAGTTCATCAAGTCCTACTTCAGCTCCTTCACCGATGACATAATCAGCCAGCCGCTCCAGAAGGGCGAGAAGAAGGACGAGGACAAGGACAACGAGGGAGAGGCCGCAGAGGTCACAGAAAGGTCAGAAGTCACTGTGTGATGTCACTTTCTGTATGTTGGCTTTGGATGGAGAGGCCAGCCTAACTACTAGGGTCAATCTATCTGCCAGCCTAACTACTAGGGTCAATCTCTATCTGCCAGCCTAACTATTAGGGTCAATCTCTATCTGCCAGCCTAACTACTAGGGTCAATCTATCTGCCAGCCTAACTACTAGGGTCAATCTCTATCTGCCAGCCTAACTATTAGGGTCAATCTCTATCTGCCACCTAACTACTAGGGTCAATCTCTATCTTGCCAGCCTAACTACTAGGGTCAATCTCTATCTGCCAGCCTAACTACTAGGGTCAATCTCTATCTGCCAGCCTAACTACTAGGGTCAATCTCTATCTGCCCAGCCTAACTACTAGGGCTCAATCTCTATCTGCCAGCCTAACTACTAGGGTCAATCTCTATCTGCCAGCCTAACTACTAGGGCTCAATCTCTATCTGCCAGCCTAACTACTAGGGTCAATCTCTATCTGCCAGCCTAACTACTAGGGTCAATCTCTATCTGCCAGCCTAACTACTAGGGTCAATCTCTATCTGCCAGCCTAACTACTAGGGCTCAATCTCTATCTGCCAGCCTAACTACTAGGCTCAATCTCTATCTGCCAGCCTAACCACTAGGGTCAATCTCTATCTGCCAGCCTAACTATTAGGGTCAATCTCTATCTGCCAGCCTAACTACTAGGGTCAATCTCTATCTGCCAGCCTAACTACTAGGGTCAATCTCTATCTGCCAGCCTAACTACTAGGGTCAATCTCTATCTGCCAGCCTAACTACTAGGGTCAATCTCTATCTGCCAGCCTAACTACTAGGGTCAATCTCTATCTGCCAGCCTAACTACTAGGGTCAATCTCTATCTGCCAGCCTAACTATTAGGGCTCAATCTCTATCTGCCAGCCTAACTACTAGGGTCAATCTCTATCTGCCAGCCTAACTACTAGGGTCAATCTCTATCTGCCAGCCTAACTACTAGGGTCAATCTCTATCTGCCAGCCTAACTACTAGGGTCAATCTCTATCTGCCAGCCTAACTACTAGGGTTCAATCTCTATCTGCCAGCCTAACTACTAGGGTTCAATCTCTATCTGCCAGCCTAACTACTAGGGCTCAATCTCTATCTGCCAGCCTAACTACTAGGGTCAATCTCTATCTGCCAGCCTAACTACTAGGGTCAATCTCTATCTGCCAGCCTAACTACTAGGGTCAATCTCTATCTGCCAGCCTAACTACTAGGCTCAATCCTATCTGCCACCTAACTACTAGGGCTCAATCTCTATCTGCCAGCCTAACTACTAGGGTCAATCTCTATCTGCCAGCCTAACTACTAGGGTCAATCTCTATCTGCCAGCCTAACTACTAGGGTCAATCTCTATCTGCCAGCCTAACTACTAGGGTCAATCTCTATCTGCCAGCCTAACTACTAGGGTCAATCTCTATCTGCCAGCCTAACTACTAGGGTCAATCTCTATCTGCCAGCCTAACTACTAGGGTCAATCTCTATCTGCCAGCCTAACTACTAGGGTCAATCTCTATCTGCCAGCCTAACCACTAGGGTCAATCTCTATCTGCCAGCCTAACTACTAGGGCTCAATCTTTATCTGCCAGCCTAACTACTAGGGTCAATCTCTATCTGCCAGCCTAACTACTAGGGCTCAATCTCTATCTGCCAGCCTAACTACTAGGGTCAATCTCTATCTGCCAGCCTAACTACTAGGGTCAATCTCTATCTGCTCGGCTGCTTCTCAACCGTATTGGAGGAGAAGGTCCACAGAACCTCCCCTCAGGCCTTCTTGTCCAATGGGGTTTGAGAAGAAGGCGAGAACAGAGGATACTAGGAATTGAGGAAAGATACATTTTGAAAGAGCCTAATATGTAGCCCATATCCCTCTGCCCCCCCTGCTCTCCTGTCCCCCTGTCCCTCTGTCCCCCCTGCTCTCCTGTCCCTCTGTCCCCCCTGCTCTCCTGCCCCCCCTGCTCTCCTGTCCCTCTGTCCCCCCCATCCCTCTGTCCCCCCCTGCTCTCCTGTCCCTCTGTCCCCCCTGCTCTCCTGTCCCCCTGCTCTCCTGTCCCTCTGTCCCCCCCATCCCTCTGTCCCCCCTGCTCTCCTGTCCCTCTGTCCCCCCTGCTCTCCTGTCCCTCTGTCCCCCCTTGCTCTCCTGCCCCCCCTGCTCTCCTGCCCCCCCTGCTCTCCTGTCCCTCTGTCCCCCTGCTCTCCTGTCCCTCTGCCCCCCCTGCTCTCCTGTCCCTCTGTCCCCCCTGCTCTCCTGTCCCCCCTGCTCTCCTGTCCCTCTGTCCCCCCTGCTCTCCTGTCCCCCTGCTCTCCTGTCCCTCTTGTCCCCCCTGCTCTCCTGTCCCCCCTGCTCTCCTGTCCCTCTGTCCCCCCTGCTCTCCTGTCCCCCCCTGCTCTCCTGTCCCTCTGTCCCCCCTGCTCTCCTGTCCCCCTGCTCTCCTGTCCCCCTGCTCTCCTGTCCCCCCCTGCTCTCCTGTCCCCCCTGCTCTCCTGTCCCCCCTGCTCTCCTGTCCCCCTGCTCTCCCTGTCCCTATGTCCCCCCCTGCTCTCCTGTCCCCCCTGCTCTCCTGTCCCCCTGCTCTCCTGTCCCTCTGTCCCCCCTGCTCTCCTGTCCCCCCTGCTCTCCTGTCCCTCTGTCCCCCCTGCTCTCCTGTCCCCCTGCTCTCCTGTCCCCCCTGCTCTCCTGTCCCCTCCCCCTGCTCTCCTGTCCCCCCCCCCCTGCTCTCCTGTCCCTCTGTCCCCCTGCTCTCCTGTCCCCCCTGCTCTCCTGTCCCCCTGCTCTCCTGTCCCCCCTGCTCTCCTGTCCCCCTGCTCTCCTGTCCCTCTGTCCCCCCTGCTCTCCTGTCCCCCTGCTCTCCTGTCCCCCCTGCTCTCCTGTCCCTCTGTCCCCCCTGCTCTCCTGTCCCCCCTGCTCTCCTGTCCCCCCTGCTCTCCTGTCCCCCTGCTCTCCTGTCCCCCTGCTCTCCTGTCCCCCTGCTCTCCTGTCCCCCCCTGCTCTCCTGTCCCCCTGCTCTCCTGTCCCTCTGTCCCCCCTGCTCTCCTGTCCCCCCTGCTCTCCTGTCTCCCCTGCTCTCCTGTCCCCCCTGCTCTCCTGTCCCCCCTGCTCTCCTGTCCCTCTGTCCCCCCTGCTCTCCTGTCCCCCTGCTCTCCTGTCCCCCCTGCTCTCCTGTCCCCCCCTGCTCTCCTGTCCCCCCTGCTCTCCTGTCCCCCCGCTCTCCTGTCCCTATGTCCCCCTGCTCTCCTGTCCCCCCTGCTCTCCTGTCCCCCTGCTCTCCTGTCCCTCTGTCCCCCCTGCTCTCCTGTCCCCCCCTGCTCTCCTGTCCCTCTGTCCCCCCTGCTCTCCTGTCCCCCTGCTCTCCTGTCCCTATGTCCCCCTGCTCTCCTGTCCCCCCTGCTCTCCTGTCCCCCTGCTCTACTGTCCCCCTGCTCTCCTGTCCCTCTGTCCCCCCCTGCTCTCCTGTCCCCCTGCTCTCCTGTCCCCCCTGCTCTCCTGTCCCTCTGTCCCCCCTGCTCTCCTGTCCCCCCTGCTCTCCTGTCCCCCCTGCTCTCCTGTCCCTCTGTCCCCCCTGCTCTCCTGTCCCCCCTGCTCTCCTGTCCCTCTGTCCCCCCTGCTCTCCTGTCCCCCCTGCTCTCCTGTCCCCCCTGCTCTCCTGTCCCTCTGTCCCCCCCTGCTCTCCTGTCCCCCCTGCTCTCCTGTCCCCCCTGCTCTCCTGTCCCTCTGTCCCCCTGCTCTCCTGTCCCCCCTGCTCTCCTGCCCCCCCCTGCTCTCCTGTCCCCCCTGCTCTCCTGTCCCTCTGTCCCCCCTGCTCTCCTGTCCCCCCTGCTCTCCTGTCCCTCTGTCCCCCTGCTCTCCTGTCCCTCTGTCCATAGCCCTGGTTATCTGAAGGCCAAGCAGTACATTAACCCTATCCCTCTGTGTGTAGTTCTGGTTACCTGAAGGCCAACCAGTACATTAACCCTATCCCTCTGTGTGTAGTTCTGGTTATCTGAAGGCCAAGCAGTACATTAACCCTATCCCTCTGTGTGTAGTTCTGGTTATCTGAAGGCCGACCAGTACATTAACCCTATCCCTCTGTGTGTAGTTCTGGTTACCTGAAGGCCAAGCAGTACATTAACCCTATCCCTCTGTGTGTAGCTCTGGTTATCTGAAGGCCAACCAGTACATTAACCCTATCCCTCTGTGTGTAGTTCTGGTTACCTGAAGGCCAAGCAGTACATTAACCCTATCCCTCTGTGTGTAGTTCTGGTTACCTGAAGGCCAACCAGTACATTAACCCTATCCCTCTGTGTGTAGTTCTGGTTATCTGAAGGCCAAGCAGTACATTAACCCATCCCTCTGTGTGTAGTTCTGGTTACCTGAAGGCCAAGCAGTACATTAACCCTATCCCTCTGTGTGTAGTTCTGGTTTATCTGAAGGCCGACCAGTACATTAACCCCTATCCCTCTGTGTGTAGTTCTGGTTATCTGAAGGCCGACCAGTACATTAACCCTATCCCTCTGTGTGTAGTTTCTGGTTATCTGAAGGCCAAACCAGTACATTAACCCTATCCCTCTGTGTGTAGTTCTGGTTACCTGAAGGCCAAGCAGTACATTAACCCTATCCCTCTGTGTGAGTTCTGGTTACCTGAAGGCCAGCAGTACATTAACCCTATCCCTCTGTGTGTAGTTCTGGTTACCTGAAGGCCAAGCAGTACATTAACCCTATCCCTCTGTGTGTAGTTCTGGTTATCTGAAGGCCAAGCAGTACATTAACCCTATCCCTCTGTGTGTAGTTCTGGTTATCTGAAGGCCAAGCAGTACATTAACCCTATCCCTCTGTGTGTAGTTCTGGTTATCTGAAGGCCAACCAGTACATTAACCCTATCCCTCTGTGTGTAGTTCTGGTTACCTGAAGGCCAACCAGTACATTAACCCTATCCCTCTGTGTGTAGTTCTGGTTACCTGAAGGCCAACCAGTACATTAACCCTATCCCTCTTTGTGTAGCTCTGGTTACCTGAAGGCCAACCAGTACATTAACCCTATCCCTCTGTGTGTAGTTCTGGTTACCTGAAGGCCAAGCAGTACATTAACCCTATCCCTCTGTGTGTAGTTCTGGTTACCTGAAGGCCAACCAGTACATTAACCCTATCCCTCTGTGTGTAGCTCTGGTTACCTGAAGGCCAAGCAGTACATTAACCCTAACCCTCTGTGTGTAGTTCTGGTTACCTGAAGGCCAAGCAGTACATTAACCCTATCCCTCTGTGTGTAGTTCTGGTTACCTGAAGGCCAACCAGTACATTAACCCTATCCCTCTGTGTGTAGTTCTGGTTACCTGAAGGCCAAGCAGTACATGGAGGAGGAGAACTATGATAAGATTATCAGTGAGTGCACTAAGGAGGTGGAGTCTGGGGGCCGGTACACTGCTGAGGCCCTGTTGCTACGGGCAACCTTCTACCTCCTGATTGGCAACGCCACCGGTGCCCAGCCAGACCTGGACCGGGTCATTAACATGGAGGACTCCAACGTCAAGGTAGTGTGTTTCAAGGTCAAGGTAGTTTTATTTGTCACATGCACAAGTACAGCGAAATACTAGCCCTACCCAACAGTGCAGTATTTCATATCAAAATAGTATAACTACACTGAACAAAAACATAAACGCAACATGCAACAATTTCAAAGATTTTACTGAGTTACAGTTCTTATAAGGAAATCAGTCAATTGAAATTAATTCATTAGGATCTAATCTATGAATTTCACATGACTTGGAATACAGATATGTATCTGTTGGTCAAAGATACAGTGGGGAAAAAAAGTATTTAGTCAGCCACCAATTGTGCAAGTTCTCCCACTTAAAAAGATGAGAGGCCTGTAATTTTCATCATAGGTACACGTCAACTATGACAGACAAAATGAGAAGAAAAAAAATTCAGAAAGTCACATTGTAGGATTTTTAATGAATTTATTTGCAAATTATGGTGGAAAATAAGTATTTGGTCACCTACAAACAAGCAAGATTTCTGGCTCTCACAGACCTGTAACTTCTTCTTTAAGAGGCTCCTCTGTCCTCCACTCGTTACCTGTATTAATGGCACCTGTTTGAACTTGTTATCAGTATAAAAGACACCTGTCCACAACCTCAAACAGTCACACTCCAAACTCCACTATGGCCAAGACCAAAGAGCTGTCAAAGGACACCAGAAACAAAATTGTAGACCTGCACCAGGCTGGGAAGACTGAATCTGCAATAGGTAAGCAGCTTGGTTTGAAGAAATCAACTGTGGGAGCAATTATTAGGAAATGGAAGACATACAAGACCACTGATAATCTCCCTCGATCTGGGGCTCCACGCAAGATCTCACCCCGTGGGGTCAAAATGATCACAAGAACGGTGAGCAAAAATCCCAGAACCACACGGGGGGACCTAGTGAATGACCTGCAGAGAGCTGGGACCAAAGTAACAAAGCCTACCATCAGTAACACACTACGCCGCCAGGGACTCAAATCCTGCAGTGCCAGACGTGTCCAGGCCCGTCTGAAGTTTGCTAGAGTGCATTTGGATGATCCAGAAGAGGATTGGGAGAATGTCATATGGTCAGATGAAACCAAAATAGAACATTTTGGTAAAAACTCAACTCGTCGTGTTTGGAGGACAAAGAATGCTGAGTTGCATCCAAAGAACACCATTCCTACTGTGAAGCATGGGGGTGGAAACATCATGCTTTGGGGCTGTTTTTCTGCAAAGGGACCAGGATGACTGATCCGTGTAAAGGAAAGAATGAATGGGGCCATGTATCGTGAGATTTTGAGTGAAAACCTCCTTCCATCAGCAAGGGCATTGAAGATGAAACGTGGCTGGGTCTTTCAGCATGACAATGATCCCAAACACACCGCCCGGGCAACGAAGGAGTGGCTTTGTAAGAAGCATTTCAAGGTCCTGGAGTGGCCTAGCCAGTCTCCAGATCTCAACCCCATAGAAAATCTTTGGAGGGAGTTGAAAGTCTGTGTTGCCCAGCGACAGCCCCTAAACATCACTGCTCTAGAGGAGATCTGCATGGAGGAATGGGCCAAAATACCAGCAACAGTGTGTGAAAACCTTGTGAAGACTTACAGAAAACGTTTGACCTGTGTCATTGCCAACAAAGGGTATATAACAAAGTATTGAGAAACTTTTTGTTATTGACCAAATACTTATTTTCCACCATAATTTGCAAATAAATTCATTAAAAATCCTACAATGTGATTTTCTGGATTTTTTTTCCTCATTTTGTCTGTCATAGTTGACGTGTACCTATGATGAAAATTACAGGCCTCTCATCTTTTTAAGTGGGAGAACTTGCACAATTGGTGGCTGACTAAATACTTTTTTTCCCCACTGTATCTTAAAAATAAAGGTAGGGGCGTGGATCAGAAAACCAGTCAGTATCTGGTGTGACTAGTTTGAGAAACAGACGCCTCACAGGTCCTCAACTGGCAGCTTCATTAAATAGTACCCGCAAAACACCAGTCTCAACGTCAACAGTGAAGAGGCGACTCCGGGATGCTGACCTTCTAGGCAGAGTTGCAAAGAAAAAGCCAAATCTCAGACTGGCCTATAAAATGAAAAGATTAAGATGGGCAGTCTGAGATATGGCTTTTTCTTTGCAACTCTGCCTAGAAGGTCAGCATCTGGGTTGTTGCCCTCCTACGGCCTCCTCCACGGACATGTCTAAGTGACCCCTAACTTTTGAACGGTAGTGAACTGCTCTCCATACTGACATGGTCTGTCTGTCTCCACCCTGAGCGTTGATTCATCATGCAGAGGCCGTAGAGAAGACAGATTTAGACATTGCATATCATTTTAACAGTTCCATTTCACGCCACGCTACGACCTGCTGTTCATATAAATAATTTATTGTAATTTACCAGTTTCTTGCAGTTAGTTATCCCAGGAAAAAGGAGTGGGTTTTGGGCGGTAAATCTGGGTAGCCGGGTTCCTGCCATTCAACCCTAAACAGCTCCAGTAATACCAGGTAGATGTACTGTATGTGATAACAGATCTTCTCTGTCCTGTCTCTGTCCTGTCTCTGTCTCTGTCTCTGTCCTGTCTCTGTCCTGTCTCTGTCCTGTCTCTGTCCTGTCTCTGTCTCTGTCCTGTAGCTGAGGGCCAATGCTCTGATCAAGCGTGGCAGCATGTACATGCAGCAGCAACAGCCTATGATGTCAACGCAGGACTTCAACATGGCCGCTGAGATCGACACGCGCAACGCAGACGTCTACCACCACCGGGGACAGGTACGGATGTCTCTATCAATATCCATTATGGCTGTGCCCAAATGGTTCCCTACTCCCTACATGGTGTACTACCCCATATGGCTCTGGTTAAAGGTAGGACACTCTACAGTGCCTTGTAAGGTATTCATCCCCCTTGGCGTTTTTCCTATTTTGTTGCATTCCAACCTGTAATTTAAATGGATTTTTATTTGGATTTCATGTAATGGACTCACCAATAGTCCAAATAGGTGAAGTGAAATGAAAAAAATATTTTTTTTCAAAAAATGCTACAAAATAAATAACAGAGAAGTGGTGCGTGCATATGTATTCACCCCCTTTGCTATGAAGCCCCTAAATAAGATCTGGTGCAACCAATTACCTTCAGAAGTCACATAATTAGTTAGATTGCACACAGGTGGACTTTATTTAAGTGTCACATGATCTGTCACATGATCTCAGTATATATACACCTGTTCTGAAAGACCCCGGAGTCTGCAACACCACTAAGCAAGGGGCACCACCAAGCAAGCGGCACCATGAAGACCAAGGAGCTCTCCAAACAGGTCAGGGGCAAAGTTGTGGAGAAGTACAGATCAGGGTTGGGTTATAAAAAAAATATCAAACTTTGAACATCCCACGGAGCACCATTTAAATCCATTATTAAAAAATGGAAATAATATGGCACCACAACAAACCTGCCAAGAGAGGGCCACCCACCAAAACTCACGGACCAGGCAAGGAGGGCATTAATCAGAGAGGCAACAAAGAGACCAAAGATAACCCTGAAGGAGCTGCAAAGCTCCACAGCGGAGATTGGAGTATCTGTCCATAGGACCACTTTAAGCCGTACACTCCACAGAGCTGGGCTTTACGGAAGAGTGGACAGAAAAAAGCCATTGCTTAAAGAAAAAAATAAGCTAACACATTTGGTGTTCGTCAAAAGGCATGTGGGAGACTCCCCAAACATATGGAAGAAGGTACTCTGGTCAGATGAGACTAAAATTGAGCTTTTTGGCCATCAAGGAAAACACTATGTCTGGCGCAAACCCAACACCTCTCATCACCCCGAGAACACCATCACCACAGTGAAGCATGGTGGTGGCAGCTTCATGCTGTGGGGATGTTTTTCATCGGCAGGGACTGGGAAACTGGTCATTATTGAAAGAATGATGGATGGCGCTAAATACAGGGAAATTCTTGAGGGAAACCTGTTTCAGTCTTCCAGAGATTTGAGACTGGGACGGAGGTTCACCTTCCAGCAGGACAATGACCCTAAGCATACTGCTAAAGCGACACTCGTGTGGTTTAAGGGGTAACATTTAAATGTCTTGGAATGGCCTAGTCAAAGCACAGACCTCAATCCAATTGAGAATCAGTGGGATGACTTAAAGATTGCTGTACACCAGCGGAACCCATCCAACATGAAGGAGCTGGAGCAGTTTGCCTTAATAATAATAATAATAATAATAATAGTATGCCATTTAGCAGACGCTTTTATCCAAAGCGACTTATAGTAATGTGCGCATACATTTTTACGTATGGGTGGTCCCAGGGATCGAACCCACTACCCTGGCGTTACAAGTGCCATGCTCTACCAATTGAGCTACAGAGAAGAATGGGCAAAAATCCCAGTGGCTAGATGTGCCAAGCTTATAGAGACATACCCCAAGAGACTTGCAGCTGTAATTGCTGCCAAAGGTGGCTCTACAAAGTATCGACTTTGGGGGGCGGGGTGAATAGTTATGCACGCTCAAGTTTTCTGTTTTTTTGTCTTATTTCTTGTTTGTTTCACACAAAAATATTTTGCATCTTCAAAGTGGTAGGCATGTTGTGTAAATCAAATGATACAAACCCCCCAAAAATCTATTTTGATTGCAGGTTGTAAGGCAACAAAATAGGAAAAATGCCAAGGGGGGTGATTACTTTCACAAGCCACTGTAAATAGAGAAAAGGGTGCCATTTGGGACTCTTGTCTATGTTGCTATCAGAAGGTTACATTAAGTCACATGTCATTACCCTAACAGACTGAACCGTTTCCTGTTTCCCCTTCAGTTGAAGATCCTTCTGGACCAGGTGGAGGAGGCTGTGGGAGACTTTGATGAGTGCATCCTGCTCAGACCTGACTCTGCTCTGGCACAGGCTCAGAAATGCTTTGCCCTGGTGAGTTAGGATCAGGAGACACCACTCTACACAGTGTTTTACGAGGGTCAGAGCTCACCAATATGTTATTTAGTCAACTGTTACGCTGATAGATGCATGTTTCTATCAGGTCATCTGCCCTCTATGGTTAGTGTACTTTTGGGATGTGTTATTGTTGTTAAGGTTAAACCTAGAGTCTGTCTCTTGTGTCCTCAGTACAGACAGTCTGTGTCCTCAGTACAGACAGTCTGTGTGTCTCTCGTGTCCTCAGTACAGACAGTCTGTGTGTCTCTCGTGTCCTCAGTACAGACAGTCTGTGTGTCTCTCGTGTCCTCAGTACAGACAGTCTGTGTGTCTCTTGTGTCCTCAGTACAGACAGTCTGTGTGTCTCTTGTGTCCTCAGTACAGACAGTCTGTGTGTCTCTTGTGTCCTCAGGACAGACAGTCTGTGTCCTCAGTACAGACAGTCTGTGTGTCTCTTGTGTCCTCAGTACAGACAGTCTGTGTGTCTCTTGTGTCCTCGGTACAGACAGTCTGTGTGTCTCTTGTGTCCTCGGTACAGACTGTCAGTCTGTCTCTCGTGTCCTCGGTACAGACTGTCTGTGTGTCTCTCGTGTCCTCGGTACAGACTGTCAGTTTGTCTCTTGTGTCCTCAGTATAGACAGTCTGTGTGTCTCTTGTGTCCTCAGTATAGACAGTCTGTGTGTCTCTTGTGTCCTCAGTACAGACTGTCTGTGTGTCTCTCGTGTCCTCAGTACAGACAGTCTGTGTGTCTCTCGTGTCCTCAGTACAGACAGTCTGTGTGTCTCTCGTGTCCTCAGTACAGACAGTCTGTGTGTCTCTTGTGTCCTCAGTACAGACAGTCTGTGTGTCTCTTGTGTCCTCAGTACAGACAGTCTGTGTGTCTCTTGTGTCCTCAGGACAGACAGTCTATGTCCTCAGTACAGACAGTCTGTGTGTCTCTTGTGTCCTCAGTACAGACAGTCTGTGTGTCTCTTGTGTCCTCGGTACAGACAGTCTGTGTGTCTCTTGTGTCCTCGGTACAGACTGTCAGTCTGTCTCTCGTGTCCTCGGTACAGACTGTCTGTGTGTCTCTCGTGTCCTCGGTACAGACTGTCAGTTTGTCTCTTGTGTCCTCAGTATAGACAGTCTGTGTGTCTCTTGTGTCCTCAGTATAGACAGTCTGTGTGTCTCTTGTGTCCTCAGTACAGACAGTCTGTGTGTCTCTCGTGTCCTCAGTACAGACTGTCAGTCTGTCTCTTGTGTCCTCAGTACAGACAGTCTGTGTGTCTCTCGTGTCCTCAGTACAGTCAGTCTGTCTCTCATGTCCTCAGTACAGACAGTCTGTGTGTCTCTTGTGTCCTCGGTACAGACTGTCAGTTTGTCTCTCGTGTCCTCAGTACTACCTTACAATACACAAAATAGGCTTCTGATTGGCACATTGTTTTTTTTGACTCCACTGTCTGAAGTTGGAGCTGAGCCAATCAGAGAGCTTGGGCTAGGTGTAAGAATCTCTGCTCCGGCCTGCCCCGCCCCCGATAGTCCTAGCACTATGTTCCTCCTTCCAGCTGGATGGCAGCTCTCCACTTCGTCTGTTGATGCCACTGATGTGTGAGGAAAAAGCGTAGGGAAAATGGAGAACCAAATGTTTGCCAAATACATTTTCCAAAATGTTATGTTAGTCAAGCACATAACCACTATTTTGTAGTTTGATCTCCCCAACGGTGTTAGGCGTGCGCGCATTTACATTTTAGTCATTTAGCAGACGCTCTTATCCAGAGCGACTTACAGTTAGTGAGTGCATACATTTTTCATACTGGCCCCCCGTGGGAATCGAACCCACAACCCTGGCGTTGCAAGCGCCATGCTCTACCAACTGAGCTACAAGGAGTTCAGTGCTTGGATGGAAACCGACATGGCAGAGAGCTGTTCCCCCAATACCTTCCTACACCGAGCGTTATATCAGACTGTTAGAGATGAGCAGGCCTTTGTTAATGGAATCAGTTGTGGGTCTGTTCTCTTCAGACAGCTGGAGGTCAACAGAAGGCTGCTAATGATGTCATAATAGTCAGGTAACCAATGACAACGAGGCATGTTGAATGAATGGTAGTCTCCCGAACAACATGAGCAAGAAGCCAGTTTAGGTTTTCACTAGACCCCTAATAATTAGAATAATCATTAACCCAGAAAATGGTGAAAGTGTCATTGAGACCACCAACTTCATTTAGGATCTAACACAAGACTACTGTGCTGGCTACATTGTGTGATATCGTTTAAGACTAGGTTTCAGGAAATGGCAGTTACAGGGTTTTTTTTATGCTAAATTCTCCAACTTCCCGACCTACATGTACATATTACCTCAACTACCTCAACTAACATGTGCTCAGCACATTGACTCGGTGCCGGTACCCCCTGTATATAGCCTCCCTACTGTTATTACACATTGACTCGGTGCCGGTACCCCCTGTATATAGCCTCCCTACTGTTATTTCCCATTGAATTGTACCGGTACCCCCTGTAGATATAGCCTCCCTACTGTTATTTCCATTGACTCTGTACGGGACCCCCTGTATATAGCATCCTACGTTATTTCCCCTTGACTCTGTACCGGTACCCCCTGTAATATAGCTCCCTACTGTTATTTCCCATGGACTCCTGCACCGGTACCCCCATGTTATATAGCCTCCTACTGTTATTTCCCATTGACTCTGTACGGTTACCCCCTGTATATAGCCTCCTATGTTTTTCCCATTGACTCTGTACCGGTTACCCCCTGTATATATAGCCTCCCTACTGTTATTTCCCATTGACTCTGCACCGGTACCCCCCTGTATATAGCCTCCCTACTGTTATTTTACTGCTGCTCTAATTATTTGTTATTTATAAAAAATAAAAATAAATGTACTCCATTTTTTACTTAACACTTCTTCTTAAAACTGCATTGTTGGTTAAGGGCTTGTAAGTAAGCATTTCACTGTAAGGTCTACACCTGTTGTATTCGGCGCATGTGACAAATACAATTTGATTTGATTAGTCACCTGTCTGCCGTATTTAACCCAACCCCTCTGAATCCGAGAGGTGCGGGGGGGCTGCCTTAATCCACGTCCACGTCATCAGCGGCTTGGGAGTAGCAGTTGGGGGTTAACTGCCTTGCTCTAGGGAAGAACGGCAGGTTTTTCCACCTTGCCGGTTCGGTGATTCGAACCAGCAACGTTTCGGTTACTGGCCCATCGCTCTTAACCGCTAGGCTACCTGCATGGAGCATAGCTCTCTAAGGTTGGTGCAGTATGGAGCATACTAAATGTGATTATAGTTTAACCAGCTAGTCTGTGTGTCCTCCCCCCCCAGTACAGACAGGCGTACACTGGCAACAGCCAGTCCCAGGTGCAGACGGCCATGGACGGCTTTGAGGACGTCATCAGGAGATTCCCTAAGTGTGCCGAGGGATACGCTCTGTACGCTCAGGTAAACATCACGTCTCACACACGTACTGCAAGTCTCGCCTGTCCTGCACACTATCGTAACCTGACGTCTTGCCTGGAGTATGACTGGTTGTCTCAAAACTAACTTTAGTATGTGAATCACCCTGAAATATTTCTCCTGTGTGTCTGTTATTCAGGCGTTGACTGACCAGCAGCAGTTTGGCAAGGCAGATCAGATGTACAACAAGTGTATTGACCTGGAGCCAGACAACGCCACAACATACGTCCACAAGGGGTGAGTTAGTCTGACAACGCTACAACATACGTCCACAAGGGGTGAGTTAGCCAGACAACGCTACAACATACGTCCACAAGGGGTGAGTTAGCCAGACAACGCTACAACATACGTCCACAAGGGGTGAGTTAGCCTGACAACGCTACAACATACGTCCACAAGGGGTGAGTTAGTCTGACAACGCTACAACATACGTCCACAAGGGGTGAGTTAGCCAGACAACGCTACAACATACGTCCACAAGGGGTGAGTTAGCCAGACAACGCTACAACATACGTCCACAAGGGGTGAGTTAGCCAGACAACGCTACAACATACGTCCACAAGGGGTGAGTTAGCCAGACAACGCTACAACATACGTCCACAAGGGGTGAGTTAGCCAGACAACGCTACAACATACGTCCACAAGGGGTGAGTTAGCCAGACAACGCTACAACATACGTCCACAAGGGGTGAGTTAGCCTGACAACGCTACAACATACGTCCACAAGGGGTGAGTTAGCCAGACAACGCTACAACATACGTCCACAAGGGGTGGAGTTAGCCAGACAAACGCTACAACATACGTCCACAAGGGGTGAGTTAGCCAGACAACGCTACAACATACGTCCACAAGGGGTGAGTTAGTCTGACAACGCTACAACATACGTCCACAAGGGGTGAGTTAGCCTGACAACGCTACAACATACGTCCACAAGGGGTGAGTTAGCCAGACAACGCTACAACATACGTCCACAAGGGGTGAGTTAGCCAGACAACGCTACAACATACAGCACCAGTCAATAGTTTGCACACACCTACTCATTCAAGGGTTTTTCTTTATTTTTTACTATTTTCTACATTATAGAATAATAGTGAAGACATCACAACTATGAAATAACACATATGGAATCATGTAGTAACCAAAAAAAGTGTTAAACAAATATATTTTATATTTGAGATTCTTCAAATAGCCACCCTTGATGACAGCTTTGCACACTCTTGGCATTCTCTCAACCAGCTTCACCTGGAATGCTTTTCCAACAGTCTTGAATGAGTTCCCACATATGCTGAGCACTTGTTGGCTGCTTTTCCTTCACTCTGCCGTCCGACTCATCCAAAACCATCTCAATTTGGTTGAGGTCGGGGGATTGTGGAGGTCAGGTCATCTGATGCAGCTCTCCATCACTCTCCTTCTTGGTCAAATAGCCCTTACACAGCCTGGAGGTGTGTTGGGTCATTGTCCTGTTGAAAAACAAATGATAGTCCCAGTAAGCCCAAACCAGATGGGATGGCGTATCGCTGCAGAATGCTGTGGTAGCCATGCTGGTTAAGTGTGCCTTGAATGCTAAATAAATCCCAGACAGTGTCACCAGCAAAGCACCCCCACACCATAACACCACCTCCTCCATGCTTTACGGTGGGAACTACACATGCGGAGATCAGAAGGCACACCTGTTAATTGAAATGCATTCCAGGTGACTACCTCATGAAGCTGGTTGAGATAATGCCAAGAGTGTGCAAAGCTGTCATCAAGGCAAAGGGTGGCTATTTGAAGAATCTCAAATATAAAATATATTTTGATTTGTTTAAATAGCTTGTTTGGTTACTACATGAATTGCCATATGTGTTATTTCATTGGATGTTTGATGTCTTCACTATTATTCTAACAATGTAGAAAATAGTAAAAATAAAGATTTTGACTGGTACTGTCAACGTCCCAAGGGGTGATTTAGTCTGCTTTAACTGTCATATTTGTCCACCTTCCTTCATTATGTCTTGGTTTTATCTAAGGGCTGGTGTAAGTGGACACTTAGGTTAGAGATGGTTTTGCAACATTCACCCTTTATTAATCTCAGGTTTACACGTTTCATTTGTGCCCATTAACTTTGCTCTGTATGTTTCTCTGACTAGTGTTAAGTTTCTTTAATCTTATTGATACCTCTCCGAATTGTTCTAATGCTTAAAAATGTAAAGTACCCTTTCCAACTGTTCTGTATGTAAATGTACTTGGGTTCTAGGAAGTGTAGCTTTGAAGAGCATATTATCAAATAAAGATCATGGGCGGCGCACAATGGCCAGCGTCGTCCAGGGTAGGGGAGGGAATGGCCGGCAGGGATGTAGCTCAGTTGATAGAGCATGGCGTTTGCAACGCCAGGGTTGTGGGTTCGATTCCCACAGGGGCCAGTATAAAAAAAAAAAAATGTATTCACTAACTGTAAGTCGCTCTGGATAAGAGCGTCTGCTAAATGACTAAAATGTAAATGTAAATGTAAACTGTTAACAGGGTTATCAGTGTAGTAATGTCACCTCCATGTCCATTCCTAGGATGTTAATGATGTTATATGTTTAGTAGGGTATACCTGGTCTGTGTGATGAGGCCTGTATGTTTAGTAGGGTATACCTGGTCTGTGTGATGAGGCCTGTAGTTAGTAGGGTATACCTGGTCTGTGTGATGAGGCCTGTATGTTTAGTAGGGTATACCTGGTCTGTGTGATGAGGCCTGTATGTTTAGTAGGGTATACCTGGTCTGTGTGATGAGGCCTGTATGTTTAGTAGGGTATACCTGGTCTGTGTGATGAGGCCTGTATGTTTAGTAGGGTATACCTGGTCTGTGTGATGAGGCCTGTATGTTTAGTAGGGTATACCTGGGCTGTGTGCTGAGGCCTGTATGTTTAGTAGGGTATACCTGGTCTGTGTGATGAGGCCTGTATGTTAGTAGGGTATACATGGTTGTGTGATGAGGCATGTATGTTTAGTAGGGTATACCTGGTCTGTGTGATGAGGCCTGTATGTTTAGTAGGGTATACCTGGTCTGTGTGATGAGGCCTGTATGTTTAGTAGGGTATACCTGGTCTGTGTGGTGGGTCCTCTACGTTAGGTTAGACGGTATACCTGGTCTGTGTGATGAGGCCTGTATGTTTAGTAGGGTATACCTGGTCTGTGTGATGAGGCCTGTATGTTTAGTAGGGTATACCTGGTCTGTGTGATGAGGCCTGTATGTTTAGTAGGGTATACCTGGTCTGTGTGATGAGGCCTGTATGTTTAGTAGGGTATACCTGGTCTGTGTGATGAGGCCTCTACGTTAGGTTAGACGGTATACCTGGTCTGTGTGGTGGGTCCTCTACGTTAGGTTAGACGGTATACCTGGTCTGTGTGGTGGGTCCTCTACGTTAGGTTAGACGGTATACCTGGTCTGTGTGGTGGGTCCTCTACGTTAGGTTAGACGGTATACCTGGTCTGTGTGGTGGGTCCTCTACGTTAGGTTAGACGGTATACCTGGTCTGTGTGGTGGGTCCTCTACGTTAGGTTAGACGGTATACCTGGTCTGTGGGTGGGTCCTCTACGTTAGGTTAGACGGTATACCTGGTCTGTGTGGTGGGTCCTCTACGTTAGGTTAGACGGTATACCTGGTCTGTGTGGTGGGTCCTCTACGTTAGGTTAGACGGTATACCTGGTCTGTGTGGTGGGTCCTCTACGTTAGGTTAGACGGTATACCTGGTCTGTGTGGTGGGTCCTCTACGTTAGGTTAGACGGTATACCTGGTCTGTGTGGTGGGTCCTCTACGTTAGGTTAGACGGTATACCTGGTCTGTGTGGTGGGTCCTCTATGTTAGGTTAGACGGTATACCTGGTCTGTGTGGTGGGTCCTCTACGTTAGGTTAGACGGTATACCTGGTCTGTGTGGTGGGTCCTCTACGTTAGGTTAGACGGTATACCTGGTCTGTGTGGTGGGTCCTCTACGTTAGGTTAGACGGTATACCTGGTCTGTGTGGTGGGTCCTCTACGTTAGGTTAGACGGTATACCTGGTCTGTGTGATGAGGCCTGTGGATCTGTAGTAATGTTTCTGTGTGACCAGGTTGTTGCAGCTCCAGTGGAAGCAGGACTTGGACCTGGGCCTGGACCTCATCAGCAAGGCCATCGAGATCGACAATAAATGTGACTTTGCCTACGAAACCATGGGAACTATTGAAGTTCAAAGGTTAGCTGAATACTTTTTAAATATTGCCCAGTAATAAACACTTAATACACACTTTGGAGTTTGGTTTAAAATAAAATAACTGAAGTTTAGGTTTATCTGCCGACACACTACCGTTCAAATGTTTGGGGTCACTTAGAAATGTCCTTGTTTTCGAAAGAAATGCTTTTTTTTGTCCATTAAAATAACATCAAATTGATCAGAAATACAGTGTAGACATTGTTAATGTTGTAAATGGCTATTGTAGCTGGAAACGGCTGATTTTTAATGGAATATCTACATAGGCGTACAGAGGCCCATTATCAGCAACCATCAGTCCTGTGTTCCAATGGCACGTTGTGTTTGCTAATCCAAGTTTATCATTTTAAAAGGCTAATTGATCATTAGAAAACCCTTTTGCAATTATGTTAGCACAGCTGAAAACTGTTGTGCTGATTTAAAGAAGCAATAAAACTGGCCTCCTTGAGACTAGTTGAGTATCTGGAGCATCAGCAATTGTGGGTTCGATTACAGGCTCAAAATGGCCAGAAACAAATCACTTTCTTATGAAACTCATCAGTCTATTCTTGTTCTGAGAAATGAAGGCTATTTCATGCGAGAAATTGCCAAGAAACTGAAGATCTCGTACAACGCTGTGTACTACTCCCTTCACAGAACAGCGCAAACTGTCTCTAACCAGAATAGAAAGAGGAGTGGGAGGCCCCGGTGCACAACTGAGCAAGAGGACAAATACATTAGAGTGTCTAGTTTGAGAAACAGGCGCCTCACAGGTCCTCAACTGGCAGCTTCATTAAATAGTACCCGCAAAACACCAGTCTCAACGTCAACAGTGAAGAGGCGACTCTGGGATGCTGACCTTCTAGGCAGAGTTGCAAAGAAAAAGCCAAATCTCAGACTGGCCAATAAAAAGAAAAGATTAAGATGGGCAAAAGAACACAGACACTGGACAGAGGAAGATTGGAAAAAAGTGTTATGGACAGACGAATCGAAGTTTGAGGTGTTCGGATCACAAAGAAGAACATTTGTGAGACCCAGACCAAATGAAAGGATGCTGGAGGAGTGCTTGATGCCATCTGTCAAGCATGGTGGAGGCAATGTGATGGTCTGGGGGTGCTTTGGTGGTGTTAAAGTGGGAGATTTGTACAGGGTAAAAGGGATCTTGAAGAAGGAAGGCTATCACTCCATTTTGCAGAGCCACGCCATACCCTGTGGACGGCGCTTGATTGGAGCCAATTTCCTCCTACAACAGGACAATTACATTTTACATTTTAGTCATTTAGCAGACACTCTTATCCAGAGCGACTTAGTCAGTGAGTGCATACATTTTCATACTGGCCACCCGTGGGAATCGAACCCACAACCCTGGTGTTGCAAACGCCATGCTCTACCAACTGAGCTACAATGACCCAAAGCACAGCTCCAAACTATGCAATAACTATTTAGGGAAGAAGCAGTCAGCTGGTATTCTGTCTATAGTGGAGTGGCCAGCACAGTCACCGGATCTCAACCCTATTGAGCTGTTGTGGGAGCAGCTTGACCGTATGGTACGTAAGAAGTGCCCATCAAGCCAATCCAACTTGTGGGAGGTGCTTCAGGAAGCATGGGATGAAATCTCAAATTGACAACTAGAATGCCAAAGGTCTGCAAGGCTGTAATTTCTGCAAAGGGAGGATTCTTTGATGAAAGCAAAGTTTGAAGGACACAATTATTATTTCTATTAAAAATCATTATTTCTAACCTTGTCAATTTATTTAATTTTTTTATTTGACCTTTATTTAACTAGGCAAATCAGTTAAGAACAAATTCTTATTTACAATGACGGCCTACACCGGCCAAACCCGGACGACGCTGGGCCAATTGTGCGCCGCCCTATGGGACTCCCAATCACGGCCGGTTGTGATACAGCCTGGAATCGAACCAGGGGTGTCTGTAGTGACGCCTCGAGCACTGAGATGCAGTGCCTTAGACCGCTGCGCCACTCGGGAGCCCAGTCAATGACTACATTTCCTATGCATTTTGCTATATTTCCTATTCAAACTCATTTCATGTATGTTTTCATGGAAAACAAGGACATTTCTAAGTGACCCCAAACTTTTGAACGGTAGTGTACATCAAATGTGATGTCATACAATGTACACTGGGTGGACAAAACTTTAGGAACACCTGCTCTTTCCATAATATATAGACTGACCAGGTGAATCCAGGTGAAAGCTATGATCCCTTATTGATGTCACTTGTTAAATCGACTTCAGTCAGTGTAGATGAAGGGGAGGAGACAGGTTAAAGAAGGATTTTTAAGCATTGACACAATTGAGACATGGATTGTGTATGTGTGCCATTCAGAGGGTGAATGGGCAAGACAAAATAATGAAGTGCCTTTGAACGGGGTATGGTAGTAGGTGCCAGGCGCATCGGTTTGTGTCAAGAACTGCAACGCTGCTGGGTTTTTCACGCACAACAGTGTCCCGTGTGTATCAAGAATGGTCCACCACCCAAAGGACATCCAGCCAACTTTATATAACTGTGGGAAGCATTGGAGTCAACATGGGCCAGCATCCCTGTGGAACGCTTTCAACACCTTGTAGAGTCCCCATGCCCGACGAATTGAGGCTGTTCTGAGGGTGAAAAGGAGGTGCAACTCAATCATTAGAAAGGTGTTCCTAATGTTTTGTACACAGTGTATAAAAGACATGTTAAAAAATAACTAATTTATTAACATCCGTCTCTCACTCCCAGGGGGAACCTGGACAAGGCAATAGACATGTTCAACAAGGCCATCAACCTGGCCAAGTCAGAGATGGAGATGGCCCACCTGTACTCGCTGTGTGACGCGGCCTACGCCCAGACTGAGGTAGCCAGGAAGTACGGGCTGAAGCCACCAACGCTGTAACTGCCCTGTCACATGACCCACCCGACCCAAGCCCCTCCCACTCTCCACTGCTGAACCTGATCTATTATAACTGCAGATGTTTTGGTTTTGTAGACATGCTGATCTGTGACTCGGTCCTCCCCCCCTCCCCCCCAGGACAGAGTTTGAGAAACGCTGCACTGCATGATCATGTTTACGTCACTTTTGAATTGAGCTGTAACAAAGGAGAGATGCTTTACTGTTCACAGCCAAGGCTAGAACCTAAGCATCGGGTGATTAATGGTCTTAACCCACACACCCCTCTTCTCTCAGTACTTAGTTTAACCCAGACCACCAACCCTTATGATCCTTCCTGTCCCTCTGGTCTGTTCAGAAACATGTGAATGGCCAGGTGAAAACAGGTATCTATCCGGAAATAATGAAACCTTCTAAAATCAAAAGGGAGATTCTTTCAACAGGTTTCTCATTCTCGTTGACTAATCCATATTCGGACGTATTTAAGATGGAAAAAGCGTTCTAGTCGCCTGCATACTGAGATAACTGGATAGAGTTCCAATGGACTGTTCATTTGTTTGTTACTGTTCTTGTTCTCTAACACGTTTCTGTCCAGACACTTCCATATCCTCAACATGACGTGGCAAATTAAATGCAGGATTAAAATGTTAGTCAAATGTGTGTGTGTGTAATGATGGATGTCTGTGTTTGGTGTAATGCTGGAGTTGATATGCCGATGTTTGGGATAAGAGCCCAGGTGAAGTTAGGGTCCTAAAGGAGTGTTCATTTTGGGAGGGTTGCTTGTTTTTTCCTTTTGATATATTCTGTACAGCATGTGAGATTTCTCTTTCTATGTAAACGTTAATGCAATGCTTGTGCTGAAATACTGGTCTGAAGCTATCTGGCCATTTTGGAAAGGCTTACATTAACATTTAGATCTAAAATGATTCATGGCGTAATTCAGCATCATTCTCAAAATGTACTGCTTTTATTTTTATGTGGTTGTTTCCCCAACTTGTAGATTCAGAAAATGTCAGAAGGGACAATTATTTTTAATATTTTTTCATGCTGTCATCTTTTATTTTGCAGAGGACATCATATGTAGTGCATCTGTTGGCGTTTGAGGAATAATAATTTTCAGAATAAAACATGTAACTACGTTGGGAAACTACGCTGACATTCTTCCCATGCAGAGATGCATCACGACCAAAGTCAGAGAGAATAAAGCTATAAACTTACTGAAAGACTTTATGTGAAACCCTGGTAATATATCATTATTTTATATAGTTGTTTATTTGCTTCTTCCCCTTTTTGAATAATTACAATATTTCTATCTAAATGTGAATATCTACACTGAGTTTACAAAACATTAAGAATACCTGCTCTTTCTATGAGACTGACCAGGTGAAAGCTATGTTCCCTTATTGATGTCACATGTTAAATCCACTATAATCAGTGTAGACGAAGGGGAGGAGACGGGTTAGCGAAGGATTGTTTTCAAGCCTTGAGACATGGATTACCTGAACCGTTTCCCTTAATCGTAAACATTTTCAACTTCAACGTCGGAGTTATAGGACATCACAAGGATCACGTTGAGACTTTTCCCTGAGAACACGCCCCTGTTGAGTTTCAAATTAAAAGCATGACTGATTTTCACAAAACTCTTTTATAGGTAGTTACCGTGTATTAGTAAAATAATACACTGCTCGAAAAAATAAAGGGAACACTTAAACAACACATCCTAGATCTGAATGAATGAAATAATATTATTAAATACTTTTTTCTTTACATAGTTGAATGTGCTGACAACAAAATCACACACAAATTATCAATGGAAATCAAATTTATCAACCCATGGAGGTCTGGATTTGGAGTCACCCTCAAAATTAAAGTGGAAAACCACACTACAGGCTGATCCAACTTTGATGTAATGTCCTTAAAACAAGTCAAAATGAGGCTCAGTAGTGTGTGTGGCCTCCACGTGCCTGTATGACCTCCCTACAACGCCTGGGCATGCTCCTGATGAGGTGGCGGATGGTCTCCTGAGGGATCTCCTCCCAGACCTGGACTAAAGCATCCGCCAACTCCTGGACATCTGTGGTGCAACGTGGCGTTGGTGGATGGAGCGAGACATGATGTCCCAGATGTGCTCAATTGGATTCAGGTCAGGGGAACGGGTGGGCCAGTCCATAGCATCAATGCCTTCCTCTTGCAGGAACTGCTGACACACTCCAGCCACATGAGGTCTAGCATTGTCTTGCATTAGGAGGAACCCAGGGCCAACCGCACCAGCATATGGTCTCACAAGGGGTCTGAGGATCTCATCTCGGTACCTAATGGCAGTCAGGCTACCTCTGGCGAGCACATGGAGGGCTGTGCGTTCCCCCAAAGAAATGCCACCCACACCATGACTGACCCACCGCCAAACCGGTCATGCTGGAGGATGTTGCAGGCAGCAGAACGTTCTCCACGGCGTCTCCAGACTCTGTCACGTCTGTCACGTGCTCAGTGTGAACCTGCTTTCATCTGTGAAGAGCACAGGGCGCCAGTGGCGAATTTGCCAATCTTGGTGTTCTCTGGCAAACGCCAAACGTCCTGCACGGTGTTGGGCTGTAAGCACAACTCCCAATTGTGGACGTCGGGCCCTCATACCACCCTCATGGAGTCTGTTTCTGACCGTTTGAGCAGACACATGCACATTTGTGGCCTTTTTGCAGGGCTCTGGCAGTGCTCCTCCTGCTCCTCCTTGCACAAAGGCGGAAGTAGCGGTCCTGCTGCTGGGTTGTTGCCCTCCTACGGCCTCCTCCACGTCTCCTGATGTACTGGCCTGTCTCCTGGTAGCGCCTCCATGCTCTGGACACTACGCTGACAGACACAGCAAACCTTCTTGCCACAGCTCGCATTGATGTGCCATCCTGGATGAGCAGCACTACCTGAGCCACTTGTGTGGGTTGTAGACTCCGTCTCATGCTACCACTAGAGTGAAAGCACCTCCAGCATTCAAAAGTGACCAAAACATCAGCCAGGAAGCATAGGAACTGAGAAGTGGTCTGTGGTCACCACCTGCAAAACCAGTCCTTTATTGGGGGTGTCTTGCTAATTGCCTATAATTTCCACCTGTTGTCTATTCCATTTGCACAACAGCATGTGAAATTTATTGTCAATCAGTGTTGCTTCCTAAGTGGACAGTTTGATTTCACAGAAGTGTGATTGACTTGGAGTTACATTGTGTTGTTTAAGTGTTCCCTTTATTTTTTTGAGCAGTGTATAATTGATTGTAAAAGCAAAACAAAATGTACACGTCAGGGTGCCAGCTACATGCATAAACTGTACTAAGTACATGGAGAAGGGCGTAGCTGCGGTCGCCATAATGCTGCACACTAGCCCATTCAGACGCTAACTACCTTTAGGTATCTTCTGGCCGGGGGAGTTTTGTTAAGAGCCCCGACGTTCGTTCTGAACGTTAACACGCATCGCTTGCGGCACAGTTTTGGAAACATAAGGAACGTATCTTTCATATCAGCCAGAAATATTATATTTTTTGAAAGCGAAAGCTTAAATTACTACACACCTTTTTATAGGGTTAGTGTTCTCAAACGGCCATATCTCCATGCTACAGCGCTTGTTTACGGAAGACCGAGGCGACCTCGGCCCGTGTGTAAGCTAACTGGGGAGGAAGCGTAGTCGCCGGAGGCCGTATGGATCAAACCTGCTACAGTTAGTGTCATTAAAAAAATAAGATTATTTCTCGCTGATCTGAAAGATAAGCTCCATATGTTTTGAAAACCGTATCACAAGCGATGATTATTGTCGTTTCTAAATGCTAAAACAGAGCGTCGGGTTTGTAGTTGAAATGGTCAGTAAGCTTTCAGAAGACTAGGATTAGTCTCTGTCCATGAAACTGGAAGAAAAGGCACAGCGTTTCATTGAATCTAATAAGGTTCATGCTGGGCTACTGCAGTGATGTCCTCCTCTCAGATGGTAGAGGTTAGAGGTCAGATGGTAGAGGTTAACGTCTCATTGAGTTGGAGGTTTTCGATGGTGCAGGAGACACTGGTATCCTGAGAGATGATGAGGATACTAGTGGCGTTCTAGAGAGGAGTCTGGTAACGGGCCGCTGACATTCCGCACTGCACCCTCAGGGGGCGGGGCCGTGGCATTGTTCAGCCAATGAACAGGGGGCTCAGGGAACCCCTCCTACCCCTGAGGAACACTGACTTGACTCCTCTCAGCAGGGGGGTCGACTTGGGACCGCTCAGAGGAGAAGTTCCCCTGCTGTGGGGCATCAGCAGACACTCTGTTGTTTCTGTACGACCAGTTCCGGATCTCCACGGTCTCCTCTCCCCACACTGACTGCAGAACCAGTTCCGTATCTCCACGGTCTCCTCTCCCCACACTGACTGCAGAACCAGTTCCGTATCTCCACGGTCTCCTCTCCCCACACTGACTGCAGAACCAGTTCCGTATCTCCACGGTCCCCTCCCCCACACTGACTGCAGAACCAGTTCCATATCTCCACGGTCCCCTCTCCCCACACTGACTGCAGAACCAGTTCCATATCTCCACGGTCTCCTCTCCCCACACTGACTGCAGAACCAGTTCCGTATCTCCACGGTCTCCTCTCCCCACACTGACTGCAGAACCAGTTCCATATCTCCACGGCCTCCCGACTGCAACCAGTCGTATCTCCCGCACACTGACTGCAGAACCAGTTCCGTATCTCCACGGCCCCCTCTCCCCACACTGACTGCAGAACCAGTTCCGTATCTCCACGGCCCCCTCTCCCCACACTGACTGCAGAACCAGTTCCATATCTCCACGGTCTCCTCTCCCCACACTGACTGCAGAACCAGTTCCATATCTCCACGGTCTCCTCTCCCCACACTGACTGCAGAACCAGTTCCATATCCCCACAGTCCCATCTCCCCACACTGACTGCAGAACCAGTTCCGTATCTCCACGGTCTCCTCTCCCCACACTGACTGCAGAGCCAGTTCCGTATCTCCACGGTCTCCTCTCCCCACACTGACTGCAGAACCAGTTCCGTATCTCCACGGTCTCCTCTCCCCACACTGACTGCAGAACCAGTTCCGTATCTCCACGGTCTCCTCTCCCCACACTGACTGCAGAACCAGTTCCATATCTCCACGGTCTCCTCTCGTTGTAATGGCTGGAATGAAATGGAATGGAATTCAGACGTGGTTTCCATATGTTTGATACCTTCCATTTATTTTCATTTCAGCCATTACAATGAGCCCCTCCTATAGCTCCTCCCACCAGCCCCCACTGTCCCGCCACCATTTAATGGAAACATTATTCACTGAGGTCAGGTCTGCTGCTCCATCATATATTCACTGAGATCAGGTCTGCTGCTCCATCATATATTCACTGAGGTCAGGTCTGCTGCTCCATCATATATTCACTGAGGTCAGGTCTGCTGCTCCATCATATATTCACTGAGGTCAGGTCTGCTGCTCCATCATATATTCACTGAGGTCAGGTCTGCTGCTCCATCATATATTCACTGAGGTCAGGTCTGCTGCTCCATCATATATTCACTGAGGTCAGGTCTGCTGCTCCATCATATATTCACTGAGGTCAGGTCTGCTGCTCCATCATATATTCACTGAGGTCAGGTCTGCTGCTCCATCATATATTCACTGAGGTCAGGTCAGGTCTGCTGCTCCATCATATATTCACTGAGGTCAGGTCTGCTGCTCCATCATATATTCACTGAGGTCAGGTCTGCTGCTCCATCATATATTCACTGAGGTCAGGTCTGCTGCTCCATCATATATTCACTGAGGTCAGGTCTGCTGCTCCATCATATATTCACTGAGGTGAGGTCTGCTGCTCCATCAGCTGGGTGGGCCCTTCTATCATACACTCTTAGAAAACAGGGTTCCAGAAGGGTTCTTCGGCTGTCCCCAAAGGAGAACCCTTTTTGGGTCCAGTTAGAACCCTTTTTGGGTCCAGTTAGAACCCTTTTTTGGTTGCAGGTAGAACTATTTTGGGTTCCATGTAGAATCCTCTGTGAAAAGGGTTCTACCTGGAACCAAAAGGGTTCTACATGGAACCAAAAATGATTATTCTAAGGGGGCAGCCGAAGAACCCTTTTAGGTTCCAGATAGCACCTTTTTTTCTAAGAGTGTACCCAGGATGCACTCTTCTCTTGTATATGGGAGGTAGAGTGAGCGTTAGTATTCAGAAAAGGGCCCCTTTCACATCCATACAAAGATCTTGTGACAATAGTCATAAATGATTGGTTATTGTGAGATTTCAAATCAAATAAGTTGTTACACATTCATTCCATAATCTAAATGAAAATACATGTTTTATAGCTGTTCAATAATACATTAACAGAATTCCAGTCTTACCTAGTGAAGGGCTGTGACTCAGTAAGGGGCTGTGACTCAATAAGGGGCTGTGACTCAGTAAGGGGCTGTGACTCAGTGAAGGGCTGTGACTCAGTGAAGGGCTGTGACTCAGTAAGGGGCTGTGACTCAGTAAGGGGCTGTGACTCAGTAAGGGGCTGTGACTCAGTAAGGGGCTGTGACTCAGTGAAGGGCTGTGACTCAGTAAGGGGCTGTGACTCAGTGAAGGGCTGTGACTCAGTAAGGGGCTGTGACTCAGTAAGGGGCTGTGACTCAGTGAAGGGCTGTGACTCAGTGAAGGGCTGTGACTCAGTGAAGGGCTGTGACTCAATAAGGGGCTGTGACTCAGTAAGGGGCTGTGACTCAGTAAGGGGCTGTGACTCAGTAAGGGGCTGTGACTCAGTGAAGGGCTGTGACTCAGTGAAGGGCTGTGACTCAATAAGGGGCTGTGACTCAGTAAGGGGCTGTGACTCAGTGAAGGGCTGTGACTCAGTGAAGGGCTGTGACTCAATAAGGGGCTGTGACTCAATAAGGGGCTGTGACTCAGTGAAGGGCTGTGACTCAGTGAAGGGCTGTGACTCAGTGAAGGGCTGTGACTCAATAAGGGGCTGTGACTCAGTAAGGGGCTGTGACTCAGTGAAGGGCTGTGACTCAGTGAAGGGCTGTGACTCAGTAAGGGGCTGTGACTCAGTAAGGGGCTGTGACTCAATAAGGGGCTGTGACTCAGTGAAGGGCTGTGACTCAGTGAAGGGCTGTGACTCAGTAAGGGGCTGTGACTCAATAAGGGCTGTGACTCAGTGAAGGGCTGTGACTCAGTGAAGGGCTGTGACTCAGTGAAGGGCTGTGACTCAGTAAGGGGCTGTGACTCAGTGAAGGGCTGTGACTCAGTAAGGGGCTGTGACTCAGTATGGGGCTGTGACTCAGTAAGGGGTTGTGACTCAGTAAGGGGCTGTGACTCAGTGAAGGGCTGTGACTCAGTAAGGGGCTGTGACTCAGTGAAGGGCTGTGACTCAGTAAGGGGCTGTGACTCAGTAAGGGGCTGTGACTCAGTGAAGGGCTGTGAATCAGTAAGGGGCTGTGACTCAGTGAAGGGCTGTGACTCAGTAAGGGGATGTGACTCAGTAAGGGGCTGTGACTCAGTAAGCTAAGCAGCAGTCCCAGATGTGGCCGGGTGGGCAGGTATGGCAGTCGGGAGGAGGTGATTGGACAAACTGACCTAATAAAGAATCAGCTCCATTACTGGACTTCTGTGATCATCCTTCTTCTTAACTTTATCTCCAACATGTTTTCTTCTTTGTTTGATGACTCAAACAACAGATTTCTTTCTACCAACACACTGGGCTACCTATGCGTACCGTAGCCCAAAGGCCAGCAGATGGCGATATTGAGTTGTTTCATCGTACCGTCCAACGCAGAGATTTGTATATAATGACGAGATGCTTATGTCTCCGCTTTAACAATGGGGGTCGTTGTCCCAGAGACGGGAAGGCAGGCAACAACCTTAGGTCCAAAATAAACCCATAGAAATGCATTGGGCTTATTCTGGACATATTTAGGCAAGAGTGAAATCATTCGCTTCGCCTCTTCCTCTCTGTTCAAAGGCAATGCATGGAGCCCTGTCCCCCTTTGACCGGTTAGTACATAAAACATTCTCCATTCAGGCTGCAAAGACATCAATCTACTCCTTAACTAAATTTGATGGCGAAAAAGGCGGGAAAAAACTGGGAAAATATGCAAACTTTCTTTATGAAACACCATTCTCCACCATGCTAGAGTGGATAAATGCTAGTCACAGATATTGCATATCGTGTTCAGCCAATCAGGTTGCAGCAGTCTGTTGTTTACCCAATCAGGTTGCAGCAGTCTGTTGTTTACCCTTGGTCTAAACGCTCTCAGGAAGTAGCGTTAGCCACCACAGCATGGTGGTGGAGAATGGCGTTTCATAAAGAAACTACGCATATTTTCCCGGTTTTTTTCAAGCCTTCTCACCATTAAATCGAGGTAAGGAGGAAATCAAAGCCTTTGCAGCCTGAATGGAAAAGGGTTTTTGTATGAACCAGTCAACAGGGGATAGGAGTGCATAGCCGGCTCTATGCATTGCCTTTGAACGGTAAGATGAAACGACTCAATATCGCCATCTGCCAGCTTTTAGGCAACGTGCCCCTGTGACACCCAGTGCCAAATCAGATGTTATTGGTCACATACACGTCATTTATTTAGCAGACGTTATTGCGGGTGTAGCGAAATGCTTGTAAAAAAACTAACTGTCAGTCAGTGATCATGTTCCAATTTGTCTGACTTGCATCTTGTAAATGCAGATTTATTTGCACAACTTTGTTCAAATGAACAACACTAGCCAGGTTTCCATCCAATTGGCGACAGATTTTCATGTGAATATTCTAAAATATGCAGAAAGAAAATATGCACATTTTCCCACCAGTGGTGTTTCCAACAAACTGACTTCTTGCAGAGAAATAAATCAGTGTGTGATGACGTAGTGCACACAAAATGTACTTTTTCACTTCAGTTTTCATGTACCGAATAAAAATCTAAAGTTCAATGTGTTTCCATTGCATTTTCAACTCTACCGATAGTTTTGACACATAGTTTTATCACAAAAACTGGTTTTTGGGGGTTTTAGTTAAAAATAGCGAATATCCTTTGGGCCCCAACCGGGGTTTCCAACCGTTTCCGGAGAAAAAAAGGTGGTTTGTGAAGGGGTTGAACCTGTACCCTTAATTTATTGAAAACAATTAACAGGCCCTTCATTTTTTAAAGGGGAGAAACTTGCAAAAATTGGGGTTTAAATGGCAAAAAACCGGGTTGTCCCACGTGGCTGAAAACCAGGGACTAGTTAAAGGATTTGTTCCCAGATGAAAATTGGTCCCACTTTTAAGGGGGAAGAAGCCCCGGGGGGTTTAAAAACCCTCCCCCATTTGGCCCTTTAATACAGGACTATTTAAAAGGACCAGTGTTCCAGACTGCAATTTTTGGCCCCTTTAAAAGGACTAGAAAAGGCCCATTTGTTACGGCCTGCTTTATTGGGTTAATACAGGAAAAAGGAAAAAGGCCCAGTGTTAAAAGACGGTATATAGGCCCCTTTAAAACGGACTAGTAAAGGCCCAGGGTTCCCAACTGCTAATGGGCCCTGTTAAAAAAGGACTAAAAGGGCCCATTTTAAAGACTGCTTAAGGTCCACTAATAAAAGGACTAGTAAACCCCCAGTTTACAGATGCTATATAGGCCCCAAAATACGGACTAGAAAAGGGCCCATTTTTGTTACAAAACTGCATATAGGCCCCCACTAAAAAACGGGACTAGAAAAGGGCCCGTTTTACAATGCTATATAGGCCCATAAAAACGGGAAATAGAAAGGGCCCCAGTGTTCCCATGACTGCTATTGGTTTTAAAAGGACTAAAAAAGGCCCAGTGTTACGGGAAATTCTAAAGGGTTCCACTATAAAGGACTGGGAAAGGGCCCAGTGAAAAAGACGGTTTATATAGGCCCCTTTAATACAGGACTAGTAAAGGCCCAGTGTTCCAGACTGCTATATAGGCCCCTTTAATGGCTATTTAAAGGCCCTTGTTACAGACTGCTATAATTTTTAAATACGGGAACAAAGTAAAGGCCCAGTGTTCGACTGCTATTGGTTTTTTAAAAAACGGGAAACCTAGAAAAAGGCCCGTTTTACAAAATTTTTCTATATAGGTTGTTAATACAGGATGTAAAGGCCCAGGGTTACAGATGCTATATAGGTCTGTTTTTTCCCAGGACTGTAAAGGACCATTTTACGACTGTATATGGGTCTTTAATACAGGAATTTAGTAAAGGCCCAGTTTTTTCGGGACTGCTATATAGGTCTTTTAAAAAACAGGACTAGAAAAGGGCCCCAGTTTTTACAAAATTGCTATAAGGCCCCAAAATAAAAGGACTAGTAAAGGCCCAGTTTTTCCAGACGGCTTATACCCCCTTTAAATACAGGACTAGAAAAGGGCCCAGTGTTACAGATGTTATAGGCCCCAAAATACAGGATTTAGAAAAAGGCCCAGTGTTACAGACTGCTATATAGGCCCCTTTAATACGGGAAACTAAAAAGGGCCCAGTTTTTACAGACTGCTTATAGGTCTGTTAAACAGGACTAGAAAAGGGGCCCATGTTACAGACTCCTTATGGGGTCCACTAACAGGACTAGAAAAGGGCCCAGTTTTTTACAGACTGCTATATGGGTTTCCCTTTAATACGGGACTAGAAAGGCCCAGTTTTCAGACCTTATGGCCCCTTTAAACAGGACAAAAAGGGCCCCCATTTGTTCCCGACTGCATTGGGCCCAAAATTTACAGGACTAGAAAAGGCCCCCAGTGTTAAAAATTGTATATAGGTTGTTAATGGGGGAAATATTTAAAGGGGCCAGTTTTTCAGACTGCTATTAGGTCCACTAATACAGGACTATTTTAAAGGCCCGTGTTACAGACGCTATATAGGTCTTTTTAATACGGGGACTAGAAAAGGGGACCAGTGTTACAGACTGCTTATGGGTTTCCACAAACAGGATTTGTAAAGGCCCATTGTTCAGACTGCTATATAGGCCCCGAATCAGGACTAGTAAGGACCAGTTTTTACAGACTGCTATAAGGTCCACTAATCCGGGCCCCATTTTCCCAAAAGGTTCCCCTTTCGGTTCCCGACTGTTATGGCCCCTTTAATACGGACCGGTAAAGGCCCCGTGTTACGTTTGGCTAAAAGGGCCAAAAAACAGGCAAAGTAAAGGCCCAGTGTTAAAGAGCAAAAGGTCCAAAAATAAAGGGGGGGAAAAAAGGGGCCCTTTTTTTTACGACTGCAAAAACCCCCTTAAATAAAAGGATAGAAAAGGCCCGTGAAGATTTTGGTTCTTTTTAAATAAATGTTGAAAACTGTTATAGTTCTGTTAATACAGGACTAAAAAGGGCCCCAGTTTTTACGGGATTTTGCTATATAGGCCCACTAATACAGACTGAAAAGGACAGGTTAAAAAAAGATGCTATATGGGCCCTAATCCAGGACGTAAAGGCCCAGTGTTACAGTGTATATAGGCCACTAAAAAGGGAAACTAGAAAAGGGCCCCCAGTGTTCAGATCCCTTTTGGGCGGTTAATACAGGACTAGAAAAAGGCCCAGTTTTTACAGATTTCCTATATAGGCCCACAAAACCCGGACTGGTAAAGGCCCAAAGTGTTACGGGACTGCTATTTGGTCCACTAATACAGGATTTTTAAAGGCCCAGTGTTCCAGACTGTAATGGGGCCCCACTAATACAGGACTAGTAAAGGACCAGTGTTCCCAGACTGCTTATAGGCCCCACTAATACGGCTATAAAGGACCGTGTTACAGACTGCTATATGGTCTGTTAACAGGACTAGTAAAAGGACCAGTGTTACAGACTGCTATATAGGCGTTAATACGGACAGAAAAGGGCCCAGTTTTTCAGATGCTTATAGGTTTTAAATACAGGACAAATTTTAAAGGCCCGGGGTACAGACGCTATAAGTTCTTTTTAAATACAGGACTAAAAAGGCCCCCCAGGGGTTACAGACTGCTATATGTTCTGTAATACGGGACTATTTAAAGGCCCAGTTTTTTACAGATTTGGCCTATATAGGTCGGTTAAAAAACAGGACAAAGAAAAAGGGCCCCCAGTGGACAGACTGCTATTTTTTCTTTTAAATACAGGATGAAAAGGCCCGGGGTTTTAAGCGCTATTAGGTCCACTAATCCGGGACTAGAAAAGGGGCCCGGGGTTTTACGACTGCTATATGGTTTTTAAATACGGGGACTATTGGGGGCCCCCGTTTTTTTACAGACTGCTATATGGGTCCACAAATACGGGGACTAGTAAAGGCCCAGGGGTTAAACAGACTGCTATATAGGCCATTTAATTTAAGGACTGAAAAAGGCCCCAGGGTTCAGACTGCTATATAGGTCCACAAATACGGGAAACTAAAAAGGGCCCCCATTTTTTAAGACTGCATATAGGTCTGTTAATACAGGACTAGAAAAGGACCAGTTTTACGGACTCCCAATGGGTCCACAAATACAGGCCTAGAAAAGGCCCGTGTTACAGATGCTATAAAAGGTCTTTTAAATTTACGGGGAACTAGAAAAGGCCCAAAGGTTACAGACTGCTATTAGGTCCACTAATACAGGACTAAAAAAGGGCCCCCTTGTTACAGAATGTTTATATAGGTCCACAAATACAGGACTAGTAAAGGCCCAGTGTTACAGACGCATATGGTTCTGTTAATAAGGACTGAAAAGGCCCGGGGGTTACAAAACGCTTATATTTTTTCTGTTAATCAGGACTAGAAAAGGGCCCCAGTGTTACAGACTGCATATAGGTCTTTTAAATACAGGACTAGAAAAGGCCCCCGTGTTAAAAGACTGCTTTTTATAGTTCTTTTAAACGGGCCCTAGAAAAGGGCCCAGTGTTACAAACTGCTATATAGGTTTCTTTTAATACGGGATATTTTAAAAGGCCCAGTTTTACGGGACTGCATATAGGTCTGTTAAACAGGACAAAGAAAACCCCAGGGACAGACTGCTATATGGGTTTTTAATACAGGCTAGTAAAGGACCAGTTTTACAGAGGGCAATAGGGCCAAACAATAAAGGCCTAGAAAAGGCCCCAGTGTTACAGGGACTGCTATATAGGTCCACAAATACAGGACTAGAAAAGGGAAAGGCCCAGGGGTTCAGACTGCTATAAGGTCTGTTAAACAGGTTTAAAAAGGACCAGTTTTTACGGGACTGCTATATAGGTCGGGAAATACGGGATTTAAAAAAGGCCCCAGGGGTTACAGACTCCCAAAAAGGTCCACTAATACAGGACTTAGAAAGGCCCAGGGTTCCAGACTGCATATAGGTCCACTAATAAAAGGATAAAAAGGACCAGTTTTTAAGACTGCTATATAGGTTGTTAATCAGGATAGAAAAGGGCCCCCAGTTTTACAGACTGAATATAGGCCCCACAATAAAGGACTAGAAAAGGGACCAGTTTACAGACTTATTAGGTCTTTTAATAAGGACAAAGAAAAGGGACCAGGGGTTACGACGGCTATATAGGTCTTTTAATTTCAGGACTAGTAAAGGCCCCGTTTACGACGGTTAATAGGTCTTTTAATCCCGGGATTTGGGAAAAGGCCCAGTTTTTACGACGCTAATAGGTCCACTAATACAGGACTTTTAAAGGGCCCAAAATGTTACAATTTGCTAAAAAGGTCCACAAATACGGGGGTAGTAAAGGCCAAGTTTTCCAGATTTCCCTTTTATAGGTCTTTTTAATCAGGATTTTTATTTAAAGGCCCGTGTTAAGACGCTATATAGGTCGGTTTTAATACGGGACTAGAAAAGGGCCCCAGTGTTACAACTGCTAAAGGCTTTTAAATACAGGACTGGGTAAAGGCCCTTTTGTTACAGTTGCTGTATAGGCCCACTAATACGGGAAATATTTTAAAGGGCCCCGTGTTCAACTGCTATATGGGCTTTTAATACGGGGACTGAAAAAGGCCAGTGTTACAACTGTAATAGGCCCACTAATACGGGACTGAAAAGGCCCGTTTTTAAAGACTGTATATAGGTCCACAAATTTACAGGATAGTAAAGGCCCAAGTGTTACGGGAAGCTATAAAAGGCCCCCAAATACAGGACTGGGAAAGGCCCAGTGTTACGGGCCCTGCTTATGGGTCTGTTAATACGGGGACTAGAAAAGGACCAGGGGTTACGGGACTCTATATAGGTCCCTAAACAGGACTAGAAAAGGGCCCCAGTGTTACAGATGCTTATATTCCACTAATACAGGACTAAAAAGGGAAAGGGTTTTTACAAAATGCTATATAGGTCTGTTAAACAGGCTGAAAAGGCCCCAAGTTTTAAAAGATGCTATTAGGTCTTTTAAAATACAGGATAGTAAAGGCCCAGTTTTACAGACGCTATATAGGTCTTTAAATACAGGACTAAAAAGGGACCAGTGTTAAAAGACTGCTATATAGGTCCAAATAAAAAACTAGAAAAGGGCCCCCCGTGTTCCCGACTGCCTATATAGGTCTGTTAATACAGGACTGAAAGGACCAGTGTTACGGGCCTGTTATTAGGTCCACTAAACAGGACTAAAAAGGCCCATTTACAAAAAGTATATAGGCCCCCTAATAAAAGGACTAGAAAGGGGAACCAGTGTTACAAAATGTTTTAAAATTGGTCCACTAAAAGGACTATTAAAGGGCCCCAAATTTTTACAGACTGCTATATGGCTTTAATACAGGACTGGGAAAGGCCCCGGGTTTTTACAGCCCTTGCTAATAGGTCTGTTAATACGGGAAAAAAAAGGGCCCCAGTGTTAAGACTGCAAATAGGTCCATAATACGGACTGGGTAAAGGCCCAGTGTTACGGGCCCGGGCATATAGGCCACAATCAGGATTTTGTAAAGGCCCAGTTTTTACAGACTGCTATTTTGGGTTTCCACTAAAAAACAGGACTATTTAAAGGCCCAGTTTTTACAAAATGCTAAATTTTTTTTCCACTAATACAGACTAGAAAAGGCCCAGTTTTTACAGACTGCTAAAAAGGTCTTTTTAATACAGGCCCTGAAAAGGGCCCCCGTGTTACAGATGCTATATAGGTCCAAATTTACAGGACTAGTAAAGGCCCAGTTTTACAGACTGCATATGGGTCCACTAATACGGACTATAAAGGCCAGTTTTTTTACAGACTGCTATATAGGTCTTTTAAATACGGATGAAAAAGGACCAGTGTTACAGACTGCTATTAGGGGGGGAAATACGGGAAACTAGTAAAGGCCCAGGGGCAGATGCTATATAGGTCTTTTAATACGGGACTGGGTAAAGGACCAGTTTTTACAAAAATGCTATTGGGGCTTTAAAAAGGGGACTGGGAAAAGGCCCAGTGTTACAGACTGCTATATCTTTCCACAATACAGGACTAGAAAGGCCCCAGTGTTAAAACTGTTATATGGGGCCCACTAATACGGGACTATAAAGGGCCCAGTTTTTACAGATGCTTAAAAGGCCCCCTTTAATACGGACAAAGAAAACCCCAGTGTTACAGAGCTATTAGGTTTTTAATCAGGATAGTAAAGGCCCGTGTTCCCAGACGCTATAAAAAGGTCTGTTAAACGGGACTGGAAAAGGCCAGTGTTACAGACGCTATAAGGTCTGTTAATACAGGCTGAAAAGGGCCCAGTTTTTACAGACTGTTTAAAGGTAGGGTTAATACGGACGGGAAAAGGACGGGTTTTAAACAGACTGCTATATGGGGTCTTTTAATACAGGAAAGAAAAGGCCCAGTTTTACAGTGACTGCTATATGGTCTTTTAAAAAAGGACTAGAAAAGGGCCCCATTTTTTACAGACTGCTATATAGGCCCCCACAAAATACAGGACTAGTAAGGCCCAGTGTTACGACGGGCTATATAGGTCCACTAATACGGGACAGTAAAAGGCCCCAGTTTTTCCCGGACTGCTATATAGGTCTTTTAAATACGGGAATAGTAAACCCAGTTTTACGACTGCTATATGGGTCCACAAATACAAAACTAGAAAAGGGCCCCGTTTTTACAGACTGTATATGGGTCCACAATACGGGACTAGAAAAGGGGACCATGTTACAAAACGCTAATGGGTCCCTAATACAGGACAATTTAAAGGACAGGGGTTTACGGGACTGCTATAAGGTATTTTTAATACAGGACTAGAAAAGGGACCAGTGTTACGGGAAACCGCTAATAGGTCTTTTTAATACAGGACTAGAAAAGGGCCCCAGTGTTACAGACTCAAATATAGGTCCCTAAACAGGACAGAAAGGCCCAGTTTTACAGACTGGATATAGGTCTTTTAAAAAAGGGGATAGAAAGGACCAGTGCCCCCAGATGCTATATTTGGTTTTTAAAAAAAAGGGGACTAGAAAAAGGCCCAGTGTTAAACAGGGGTATTTTTGGTCCACTAATGGGAAAGTAAAGGACCAGGGGTTACAATGCTTATACCCCCACTAATACAGGACTGTAAAGGCCCAGTTTACAGTCTATTAGGTCTGTTAATACGGCCTAGTAAAGGACCAGTGTTACAGACTGCTATATGGGGTCCCCTAATAAAAGGCCCTTTTTAAAGGCCCCGTGTTACGACTGTGATAGGTTTTCTGTTAAACAGGACTATAAAGGCCCCGTGTTACAGATTTGCTATATAGGTCTGTAAAAACAGGACTATTTAAAAGGGCCCAAAGTGTTACAGACTGTTTTAAGGTCTTTTAAATTTACGGACAGTAAGGCCCCTTTTACAGTGCATATGGCTGTTAAAAAGGACTAGAAAAGGCCCCAGGGACAGACGCTATATAGGTCTTTTAATACGGGACTAAAAGGACCATTTGTTACAGACTCCCTTTTTGGTTGTTAATCCGGGAAACTAGAAAAGGCCAGTGTTCCAGGGCTGCTATATAGGTCCATTAATACAGGACAAAGAAAGGCCCAGTTTTAAAGAGGGCTATATAGGCCACTAATAAGGATAGAAAAGGGCCCCAAGGTTACAGACTGTATATGGTCCCACAAAACGGGACTAGAAAAGGGAAACCAGTTTTTAAAAAGACTGCATTTTGGGGTCCCAATACGGGGACTAGAAAAGGGCCCAGTGTTACAGGGGCTTTTTAGGTCCCAAAATACGGGGACTGAAAAGGGGCCCAGTGTTACAGACTGCTATAAAAGGTCCACAAATACAGGACTAGAAAAGGGGACCAGTGTTACAGAGCTAATGGGTCCACAAATTACAGGACTAAAAAGGGGAACCCAGTGTTCCGACTGCTATAAGGTCTGTTAATAAAAGGACTAGAAAAGGGCCCGTGTTACGGGACTCCCTTTTTATAGGCCCAAACTAAAAACAGGACTAGTAAAGGCCCGTGTTAAAGATTTGCTATATAGGCCCAAATACAGGACTAGAAAGGGCCCCAGTGTTACAGATGCTAATAGGCCCTAATACGGGACTAGAAAAGGCCCCAGTGTTACAGACTGTTTAATAGGTCCACTAATACAGGACTGGGTTAAAGGCCCAGTGTTTACAAAATCTTATAGGTCTTTTTAAAACCGGGACTAAAAAAGGGCCCCAGTTTTACAGACTGCTTTAGGTCGGGGTTAATAAGGACGAAAAGGACCGGGTTTTCCCAGACGGCATATAGGCCACTAATACAGGACTATAAAGGCCCAGGGGTTTCAACTGCTATATTTCCACTAATACAGGACTAAAAAGGGGACCATTTAAAAGATTTGGTTTTGGGGCCCAAACTACAGGACTAGAAAAGGGGCCCGTTTTTACAAATCTATATAGGTCTTTTAATACGGGGACTAGAAAGGACCAGTTTTAAAACCGGACTGCATTAGGTCTGTTAATACGGATAGTAAAGGACCAGGGGTTACAGACTGCAAATTTTCGGTCTTTTAAAATACAGGACTAGAAAGGCCCAGGTTACAGTGTTTTGGGGGGCCACTGACGGACTGAAAAGGCCAGGGTTACGGGACTGCTAATAGGTCCAAATACGGACTAGAAAAGGGCCCAGGTAAAGAGCTATATGGGTCCACTAATACGGGACTAGTAAGGCCCAGGTTACAGACTCTATTAGGCCCTGTTATGGACAGTAAAGGACCGTGTTACAGACTGCTATATAGGTCTTTTTAATACAGGATTTAAAAAGGACCAGTGAAGGGGCTGCTATTGGGGTTTTTAAATACGGGACTAGAAAAAGGACCATTTGTTCCGACTGCTATATGGGGGTTCTGTTAATAAGGAATAAAAGGACCAGTGTTACAAAACCTCCCTAATAGGTCTTTTTAAAAAAGGGAAATAGTAAAGGACCAGGGGTTACAAAATGCTATAAAAGGTTGTTAATAAAGGCCTAGAAAAGGGACCATTTTGTTACAGACGCTATTTAGGTCTTTTAATACAGGCCCTAGAAAAGGGACCAGTTTTAAAGACTGTTTATAGGCCCTTTTTAATACAGGATAGTAAAGGCCCGGGTGTTACAAATGCTTTTAGGCCCACAAATACAGGCTAGAAAGGGCCCCATTTTTACGACGCTATTGGGTTCCACTAAAAACCGGACTAGAAAAGGGCCCCCCAGTTTTTAAGATGTATTTAGGCCCCATATACAGGACTTAGAAAAGGGCCCCAGTTTTAACAGACGGTAAAATGGTCGTTAATACAGGACAAAAAGGGACCAGTGTTTACAGACTGCTAAAATAGGTCCACAAATTACGGGACTAGTAAAGGCCCAGTTTTACAACTGCTATATAGGTCCCCCCTAATAAGGACTAGAAAGGGCCCAGTTTTTACAGTTTGTATATAGGTTTTAAACAGGACGGGGTAAAGGCCCATGTTACAGACTGCTATATAGGTCCACTAATACGGGAAATAGAAAGGGGGCCCGGGTGTTACAACTGCATTAGGTCTGTTAATACGGAAATTTAGAAAAAGGGGACCATTTGTTCCAAATTCCTATATGGGTCCACTAAAAAAGGACTAGAAAAGGCCCAGGGGTTACAGATGCTAAAAGGGCTTTAATACGGACAAAGAAAAGGGCCCAGTGTTACAGACTCATATAGGTCCACTAAAACCGGACTAGAAAAAGGCCCAGTTTTCGGGACGGTTAAGGTCTGTTTAATACAGGATAAAAAAGGACCAGTTTTACAGATGCTATATAGGCTGTTAATACAGGAATAGAAAAGGGCCCAGTGTTACAGCCTGCTAAAAGGGTCCACTAAACAGGCTGAAAAGGCCCCCGTGTTACAGACTCCCTATATGGGTTTCCTTTTAAACGGGACTAGAAAAAGGACCAGTTTTTACAGACTGCTATATGGGGTCCACTAAAAACAGGACTAGTAAAGGCCCAGTTTTTAAAAGCGCTAAAAGGTCTTTTTTAATACAGGGGGTAAAGGACCTTTTTACAGCCTGTAATGGGGTCTTTTAAATAAAAGGACTGGGAAAAGGAAACCAGTTTTAAAAAGACTGCTATATAGGCCCCACAAATAAAAGGACTAGAAAAGGGCCCCCAGTGTTCCCGGACTGCTATATAGGTCTTTTAAACAGGACTAGAAAAAGGCCCAGTGACAGACTGCATATGGGGTTGTTAATCAGGCTAGTAAAGGCCCAGTGTTACAGACTGCTATATAGGCCCCAACTAAACAGGAAAAAAGGGAAACCCGTTTTACAGATTGCATATAGGTCTTTTTAATCAGGACTAGTGGGGGCCCCATTTTTACAGCCCTGCATTGGGTTTTTAATACAGGACTAGTAAAGGACCAGTTTTTTACGATTTGCATATGGGTTCTTTTATACGGGAAATGAAAGGGGGCCCATGTTCCAGAGTTTATATGGGTCCACTAATCCCGGACTGAAAAGGCCCAGTTTTTTACGGGACTGCTATATAGGTTTTTATACAGGATAGAAAAGGCCGGGTTTTCAGACTGCGGGTTAAGGGCCCACAAATACAGGACTATTAAAGGCCCATTTACAGACTGCTATTAGGTCTTTTAAATTTAAGGACAAAGTAAAGGCCCGTTTTTTACAGATTTCTATATAGGTTGTTAAACAGGACAAAGAAAAGGCCCCGGGGTTACGGGGCTGCTATATAGGTCCATTTAATACAGGACAAAGTAAAGGCCCAGTGTTACAGATGCTATAAGGTCTTTTAAATTTAAAAGGGACTAGTAAAGGACCAGGGGTTTCGACTGCTATATGGGGCCACTAATACAGGCTAGTAAAGGCCCATTTGTTACAGACTGCAATAGGCCACTAATACAGGAAATTTAAAGGAAACCAGGGGTTACAGACTGCTATTTTTGGGGCCCCACTAAAAAAGGGACTAGAAAGGGGCCCAGTGTTACAGCTGCAATGGGTCTTTTTAATACGGGCCCGGGAAAAGGACCAGGGGTTACGGGACTGCTATATGGGTTCCACTAATACAGGGACTGGGAAAAGGCCCGTGTTACGATTTGCTATATGGCCACAAATCAGGAAGAAAAGGACCAGTGTTACAGCCCTGCTTTTTTGGTCCACTAACCCAGGAACTGGGAAAGGGGCCCAGTTTTTTACAGACTGTATATAGGCCCAAATAAAAAGGGAAACTAGTAAAGGCCCGTGGTTACAAAATGCTATATAGTTCTTTAAAATACGGGGACAGAAAAGGCCCCGTTTTACGGGGACTGCTATTAGTTCGTTAATACGGACTTTAAAAAGGAAACCGTTTTTCAGATGCTATAAGGCCCCACTTCAGGACTAAAAAGGCCCAGTGTTACAGACTCAAAAAAGGTCCCACAAATACGGACTAGAAAGGACCAGTTTTTAAAAGATGCTAATAGGTCTGTTAATACAGGGACTGTAAAAGGCCCGGGTTTTACAGACTGCTATATAGGCCCACAAATACGGGGACTAGTAAAGGCCCAGTTTTAAAGACTCTATATAGGTCCACAAATACAGGAAAAAAGGCCCCCGTGTTCAGACTGCTAAAGGTTTTTTTTTTAAAGGCCCGGAAAAGGGAAACCAGTTTTTTCCAGTTTGTATATAGGTCTTTTTAATTTACAGGACAGAAAAGGGCCCCAAAGGTTGTTACAGATGCTATATAGGTCCAAAAATAAGGACTAGTAAAAAGGCCCCAGGTTAAGACTGCTTATAGGTCTGTTAAAGGATAGAAAAAGGGACCAGTTTTTTTTAAAGATGCTATATGGGTCTGTTAAAAACAGGACTATAAAGGACCAGTGTTTTTAGGGTAAAAATAGGTCTTTTAAAACAGGCCTGAAAAGGGAAACCCAGTTTTTAACAGACTCCCCTTATATGGGGCCACTAAAAAAGGGACTAGAAAAGGGAAACCCAGTGTTACAGACGCTATAAGGTCTTTAATAAAAGGACTAGAAAAGGGAAACCAGTTTTTACGACTGCTTTTAAGGTCTTTTAATAAAGGACTATAAAGGGCCCCAGTGTTACAGGACTGCTATATAGGTCCACTAAACAGGACTAAAAAGGGCCCCCGTGTTACAGACTGTTTATTTTGGGTTCCACTAATACGGAAAATGAAAAGGGGCCCCAGTGTTCCCCAGACTGCATATGGTCTGTTAATACAGGACTAGAAAAGGGGACCGTGTTACAACGCTATATGGGGGGGGGGTCCACTAATAAAAGGACTATTTAAACCCCCAGTTTACAGACTGCTAAAAGGTCCAAATCCCGGACTGGGTTAAAGGGCCCCCGGGGTTACGGGACTGCTATATAGGTCCACAAATACGGGAATAGAAAAAGGCCCAGTTTTAAAAGACGCTATATGGTCCACTTTTTAAAAAAGGACTATTTAAAAGGGCCCCCAGTGTTCCCGACTGCTATATAGGTCTGTTAAACGGGAATAGAAAAGGCCCCAGTGTTACAGACTGCTATATAGTTTTTTAATACGGGAAACTAGAAAGGCCCAGTGTTACAGACTGTTTAAAGGTCTTTTTAAACGGACTAGAAAAGGCCCCGTGTTACAGACCCCCCTATATAGGCCCCTTTTTAAAGGACTAGAAAAGGACCAGTGTTACAGATTGCTATATGGGGTTCCACTAATGGGACATAAAGGCCCATTTTTACAGACTGCTTATAGTTTGTTTGGGGGACTAGTAAAGGACCAGTGTTACAGACTGCTATAAGTTTTTTTTTAATAGGGACTGTAAAGGACCGTTTTACCGACGGTATATAGGTCCCTAATACAGGACTAAAAAAAGGGCCCCCAATTTTTACAGACTGCTTATGGGTCGGTTAATACAACTAGAAAAGGGCCCCCTTGTTACAGAGCTATATAGGTTTTTAATTTACGGGAAACAAATTTAAACCCCCCAGGTTGGGGGCTCCCTAAAAGGGTTTCTGTTAATACGGGGGACTAGAAAAGGGGCCCGTTTTCCCAGACTGCTAATAGGCCCGTAAACGGGGACTAAAAAGGCCCATGTTACAGACTGCATATTGGGGTTGTTAATACAGGATAGAAAAAAGGCCTTTTTACAAAATGCTATTGGGCCCACAAATACAGGACTAGAAAAGGACCAGTGTTACAAAATGTAAAATGGGTTTCCCAAATTTACAGGACTATTTAAAAGGCCCAGGTTACGGGACTGTTTAATGGGTCCACTAATACAGGACTATAAAGGCCCGGGGTTTTTACAGACTGCTATATAGGCCACTAATACAGGACTAGTAAAGGCCCAGGGTTACGGGACTGCTATATAGGGTCCACTAATACAGGACTAAAAAGGGCCCCAGTTTTTACAGACGCTTTTTTGGGCCCATTTAAAAAAGGGGACTAGAAAAGGCCCGGTGTTACGGGAATGCTAAAATAGGCCCACTAATACAGGACTAGAAAAGGCCCATGTTACAGACTGCTATATAGGTCGGGAAATTTACGGGAATAAAAAAGGCCCAGTTTTTAAAAGACTCCCTATATAGGTCTTTTTAATACAGGACTGTAAAGGACCGTGTTACAGATTGTAATGGGGTCTTTTTAATACGGGAAATAGTAAAGGCCCAGTGTTAAAAAATGCAAAAGGGTTTCCATAATACGGGGGCTAGAAAAGGCCATGTTCCCAGACTGCTATAAGGTCCACTAATCAGGATAGAAAAGGGGCCCAGTTTTAAAAAGCCCTCCATATAGGTCTTTTTAATTTCAGGACTAGTAAAGGCCCCAGGGTTACGGGACTGTTTATAAAAGGCCCTGTTAAACAGGATAGTAAAGGCCAGTGTTACGACTGCTATATAGGCGTTAATACAGGACTAGTAAAGGCCCGGTTCAGACTGCATAGAGGTTTTTAATACGGGGACTAGTAAAGGCCCCCCGTTTTTACAGACTGCTGAAAATAGGTCTTTTTAAAAAGGACTGTAAAGGCCCATTTGTTACAGATGTTTATATGGTCCAAAAAATACCGGGATATTTAAAGGACCAGTGTTACGGGATTTCTATATGGTCCACAAATTTACAGGATAGAAAGGGCCCATTTTAAGGGATGCTAAAAGGGTCTTTTTAATACAGGATAGAAAGGGCCCAGTTTTAAAAGGACTGCTATTGGGGTCTGTTAATACGGGGACTATAAAGGACCATTGTTACAGACTGCTATTGGGCCCACAAATACGGGACTAGAAAAAGGACCAGTGTTACAGACTGTATATAGGCCCCACTAATACGGGATAAAAAGGGAAACCATTGTTTCAACTGCTATTGGGTTTCCATAATCAGGACTGAAAAGGGCCCCAGTGTTACGACGGCTAAAATAGGCTTTTAAATACGGACTATAAAGGCCCAGTGTTACGACTGCTATAGGGGTCTTTTAATACGGGACTAGAAAGGACCAGTGTTACGGGACGTTTATATAGGTTGTTAAACAGGACTAGAAAAGGCCCATTGTTACAGACGGTATTAGGTCTTTTTAATACAGGACTATAAAAGGCCCCAGGTTACAGACGCTAAAAGAGGTCGGGTTAAAAGGACTAAAAACGGGAACCGTTAAAAGATGTTATAGGTCCATAATACAGGATTTAAAAAGGACCATTTTTTACAGACTGCTATTGGTTTAAATAATACAGGGACTAGAAAAGGCCCCAGTGTTACAGACTGCTATATAGGTCTGTATAATACAGGACTAGTAAAGGCCCAGTGTTCAGACTGCTATATAGGTCTGTTAATACAGGACTAGTAAAGGCCCAGTGTTACAGACTGCTTATAGGTCCCTAATACAGGACTAGTAAAAGGACCCAGTGTACAGACTGCTATATAGGTCTGTTAATACAGGACTAGTAAAGGCCCAGTGTTACAGACTGCTATATAGGTCCTTAATACAGGACTAGTAAAGGACCAGTGTTACCAGACTGCTATATAGGTCCACTTAATACAGGACTAGTAAAGGACCCAGTGTTTACAGACTGCTATATAGGTCTGTTAATACAGGACTAGTAAGGACCAGTGTTACAGACTGCTATATAGGTCTGTTTAATACAGGACTAGTAAAGGCCCAGTGTTACAGATGCTATATAGGTCATAATACAGGACTAGTAAAGGCCCAGTGTTACAGACTGCTATATAGGTCTGTTAATACAGGACTAGTAAAGGACCCAGTGTTACAGACTGCTATATAGGTCTGTTAATACAGGACTAGTAAAGGCCCAGTGGTACAGACGTCTATATAGGTCTGTTAATTACAGGACTAGTAAAGGCCCAGTGTTACAGACTGCCTATATAGGTCTGTTAATACAGGACTAGTAAAGCCCCAGTGTTACAGACTGCTATATAGGTTGTTAATACAGGACTAGTAAAGGCCCAGGTTACAGACTGCTATATAGGTCTGTATACAGGACTAGTAAAGGACCAGTGTTACAGACTGCTATATAGGTCTGTTAATACAGGACTAGTAAAGGACCAGTGCACTACTTTTGTGAAGACATTTATTATCAATATTTGTTTTTCATTCTGATTTTTCAGGTGGTTCCACAGCACCTTCAGCACCCCTACTTCCTGCGGCTATGATCACATCTGTCATGATAATTTTTTTATACAGTATGACTTTACTCACATAAAAACTGTGGATGGAACCGTGTTTTATGTGACAATCTGGAATGGCCTACATAAGAATGAAATAATCATGGAAGCTTCTTATATTAGATATTGATTGAAAGAACGACTGCTTTTTACCATTATACCAGCAAGCTGTGTTGGTATGCACATCAGTCGGTGTGATGCAAATAACATAGCTTACACCACCACCGAGGAAAGTAAACACATTTTCAAAATATATTTTAAGTTTATGCAGAAGAACCATATATCCAGCCAACACCGGAACCATCCTCCTCTGACTGTTGGTTGTCTGTCCCTGGTTGTCTGTCCCTGGTTGTCTGTCCCTGGTTGTCTGTCCCTGGTTGTCTGTCCCTGGTTGTCTGTCCCTGGTTGTCTGTCCCTGGTTGTCTGTCCCTGGTTGTAATGTGTATGGTTGGCTGAGGTTATTGTGCTGCCTCTACCACACTATGTCCACCAGGGGATGCTGTCTGCTTTCAGAAACATAAAAGCATGCGCTACCGGAAGGGTCTAGTCGATATGTGCAGCTTCAAAACCAGCACGTTATTTTAGACCGTTTTAAACCTTTTTCATAAGTCACTTCTATCATCTAAGTTAATTGCATTTCAGCACTGGTTCAATATTGCAAAAATCATTTTGTAGCTAATGTCCCTAGTACTGTAGTTATAATGCGTTGTTTTCGTCTCACTCACTTCCCAGTGACAAGGTTAGTGGCAAAGTTAGCTGGCTAGCTAGCTAGTTCGCTACATAGCTAGGTTACTAGCTAACGTTAGGAAACCATTATCATGTCAACCATAAAGTATTGTATGTTAAGTAACAATATAGTTGCCCGTTTATTCCCCAAAAGGACCTATTCATGGTTTGTAGAGTTGCAGCACCAGCAGTATTATCGCGCAGAGAACTGGCTGAAGTTACCAACAAGTTATAAATGCCATAAGAGATCACATCATGTCAATCAATCGTCATGTCAGCATATCTCACAATATGGCCGTCAACGTCACAGAGCTACAACAGTGTCATGGCAGACATCTATCCCCTTACAACACAGAGGCTTTTCACTGTCAGCGTACCAGCTGAAGATTAGGGAGGACAACCATACGCCGGGACATGAAAGCCTGGGCGGGGAGGAGGAGGATTATATAGATGATGGAGAGATAGATGATCTGTTTCAACACCAGATCCCGATGGTCGGCGAGGGAGACCACCGCATCTTCATCGTCCATCCTGATGTGAAATGGGGAAGCAGGAAGCAGTACCTGACCACAGGTGAGTGGAAACTCAGGCGCTGGCCTTTTGACCATGTCAGGCAGTTATGTCATTAATAGTGCGTTCCAAATGGCACCCTATTCCCTATTTAGTACTCTACTTTTGACCAGAGTCCTCCTATCAACTGTAGAACACTATACAGGGAATAGGGTGTCATTTGGGACGGAGCAGTTCTTTCCTCATGTCATGTGTCTCTCTCTCTCTCACAGCTAATCTGATGATGGCGGAGGCAGTGGGTTTGGTCAACACTCTACAGAACTGGAGTGTCATTGACACGATCATCCTCTCCACCAAGACACCAGAGAAGAAGATGATCTTTGGCAAAGGCAACTTCCAGACTCTCACAGGTCTGCAGGTCTCACCCAGCCTGTTTTAACCCCATAACCGTAACTTACCCTGCCTTAACCCTCGCCCTAATTCTGTATTATGAAGTCTGTTCTCTCTCCCTGACGCAATTTGACAGGCAATGCTTGGTAATATGCGATGTAATGTGAGTCACTATTTAGCATTACTGTATTGAGTCCAGAATCCTGTTGTGATTTTTTTTCTCTTAGAGAGAATCAGAAGAACTCCGGGAGTAACTGCTGTGTTTGTCAACGTGGAGCGTCTGTCCCCTGCCTCAGAGGTGAGAGTGGGAGACGAGAGCTTTACCAATGCACTATAGTGTAGATTGAGTCTTTATTGTCCCATTGACCTGTCACAATATGACATTTGGCTGCATAGACTTGACTCTGATAGTATATTTTCCTTTCAGAAAGAGTTTGAGGAGGCGTGGGGGGTGAAGGTGTTTGACAGATACTCTGTGGTTCTCCATATCTTCCGCTGTAACGCCAGAACCAAGGAGGCCAAGCTACAGATATCCCTGGCTGAGATTCCACTACTCAGGTAGCATCCTAGTATTTACCTGGGGATCACCCAAGTATTCATACTAGTGTATTACAATGTATAAAGTCAGAGAGGTAGAGGCTCATCAGTCAAGCAGATTTTGTATGGAGGTCAACGAATATCGAATTTGGTTAACAGCAATTGGAATGGCTTATTTGCTACGTGAGGTTTATTTGATCTTATAGAAGTTTGGTAATGATTAAGTTCTTACTAGTGTACTGATATAAGTAGGAAACGTGACATCCTGGTAGGGCTGTCCCTGGCCCCAAAAAATATTGGTCGACCGAAAGTCGTCTGTTCTTCGACCAATCGATTGCTCGACATTTTTAAACGTGTATTTTTCCATATATAGACACACTATATGTGTTTTAATATGATCAACTAGAGCGTCTGCTAAATGACTAAAAATGTAAATGCATTGAGCTTGTCTGACGCTTTAAGCTTACGGTTTGATGCCTCAAGAGGGCGCCAGAGATCTAGAAAACCAGAAGAAGAAAAAAACGTAACCTGACCCAACTATTCTCTTCCCGCTGCTGCTGGCTTTCTCAGATTCTGCCGTTACGCTCCTGAAGTTGCCGGTAATAGGCTACACGAGGAGTCAACAACCTTTCTCATGTGGAATGCCAATTTAGCTTACCATTTCTACCGATCTGCACATTTTTGTGGAACAGTTTCATTTAATTTGTAATAACGTCTTCATATCTCAAAATCATTGTCATGTGGTTAATCAAAATTATATCAAAATCTAAATGAAAATTATACAATCCTAAAAAGTCACTTCTATTGCCATTGCCAACTATGTAAAAATAGCCTCCACAAAGCCAACAAATAAAAACATTGCAGCCTGCCTGCGATGTGGCCTGTCTGCAATGAACTTGAAACATTGTATCAACTATTAAGTTGGGTCCAGCCCCAAAGCTTGCCCTAGCGAGCCATGCTCTACCCGTGTAGCTCAGTTGGTAGAGCATGGCGCTTGCAATGCCAGGGTTGTGGGTTTGTTTCCCACGGGGGGCCAGTATGAAAAAATTTATGCACTCACTAACTGTAAGTCGCTCTGGATAAGAGAGTCTGCTAAATGACTAAAAATGTAAATGTATTCTGGGCCCTCAGTTTCCTGCGTCAGTGACCTCGGGACAGACACAGCTGTAGGCTGCTTGCACAAGGGATAAGACGCAGTGGTTGACTTGGGCAGGAGCTCATCGGAGCTGAGTATCGGCACCTCAAATGTTCTACTGCTTGAGCTCCTGTTCCTCTTATAGAATATTAGCTCAAAAGTACTGTGGAGCTCCTGCACCTAAATATAAACAGAACCAGCACCCAAAATGAGTACCGGAACCTATTTCAGTCCAAGTCAAGCACTGGTAAGAAGTAATCAGCTAGGCCTATTTTATGACGTTTCCACTGGATCAGAGCATGACATTTTTCCCTTTCACGCTGAGTGGTTATCCAAAGGGAGAGAGCTGGAAAGATTTTTCTAATACATTGAGGAACTATTGTCATTCTCAATGGATGTAAAAACATACTTTGTTTGCTTGAGGTTTACTTGCTGTTTAAGGCGAAGAAAACATGACTTTGAGAAGCTCCACAGCTCATTAGTGGTGGTGCGTTAAGCCAATCAGAAATACTATCAGATCCCCAAATGGGAACATTTATAGGCCTACATTTATCCGCAGGCCAAGTAGCCTAGTTCTTTGCGTAATCAGGTGCGCGTCCTTACTCATCATTGACAAAAGACAATGACTAAATTGACAAAACTCATAAATGAAATAAACCAAAACTTGTTTCTCACAAGTGTAGGATAGGTTGTGGCTCTGCAAACAACGTGTCCACTCCTACAATGAGAACGGTAAAAGACTGGAATAATAATATATTGAATGCATCAACAGAAATGACCGTAAACCAAACAAACATTGCAGATTATAAATTATAGGAATTAACGGTAAATGTACTACTGGTGATATACAGTGAGGGGAAAAAAGTATTTGATCCCCTGCTGATTTTGTACGTTTGCCCACTGACAAAGAAATGATCAGTCTATAATTTTAATGGTAGGTTTATTTGAACAGTGAGAGACAGAATAACAACAAAATAATCTGGTTATAAAAATCAAAAATGTTATAAATTGATTTGCATTCTAATGAGGGAAATAAGTATTTGACCCCCTCTCAATCAGAAAGATTTCTGGCTCCCAGGTGTCTTTTATACAGGTAACGAGCTGAGATTAGGAGCACACTCTTAAAGGGAGTGCTCCTAATCTCATCTTGTTACCTGTATAAAAGACACCTTTCCACAGAAGCAATCAATCAATCAGATTCCAAACTCTCCACCATGGCCAAGACCAAAGAGCTCTCCAAGAATGTCAGGGACAAGATTGTAGACCTACACAAGGCTGGAATGGGCTACAAGACCATCGCCAAGCAGCTTGGTGAGAAGGTGACAACAGTTGGTGCGATTATTCGCAAATGGAAGAATCACAAAAGAACTGTCAATCTCCCTCGGCCTGGGGCTCCATGCAAGATCTCACCTCGTGGAGTTGCAATGATCATGAGAACGGTGAGGAATCAGCCCAGAACTACACGGGAGGATCTTGTCAATGATCTCAAGGCAGCTGGGACCATAGTCAACAAGAAAACAATTGGTAACACACTACGCCGTGAAGGACTGAAATCTTGCAGCGCCCGCAAGGTCCCCCTGCTCAAGAAAGCACATATACAGGGCCGTCTGAAGTTTGCCAATGAACATCTGAAAGATTCAGAGGAGAACTGGGTGAAAGTGTTGTGGTCAGATGAGACCAAAATGGAGCTCTTTGGCATCAACTCAACTCGCCGTGTTTGGAGGAGGAGGAATGCTGCCTATGACCCCAAGAACACCATCCCCACTGTCAAACATGGAGGTGGAAACATTATGCTTTGGGGGTGTTTTTCTGCTAAGGGGACAGGACAACTTCACTGCATCAAAGGGACGATGGACGGGGCCATGTACCGTCAAATCTTGGGTGAGAACCTCCTTCCCTCAGCCAGGGCATTGAAAATGGGTCGTGGATGGGTATTCCAGAATGACAATGACCCAAAACACACGGCCAAGGCAACAAAATAGTGGCTCAAGAAGAAGCTTATTAAGGTCCTGGAGTGGCCTAGCCAGTCTCCAGACCTTAATCCCATAGAAAATCTGTGGAGGGAGCTGAAGGTTCGAGTTGCCAAACGTCAGCCTCGAAACCTTAATGACTTGGAGAAGATCTGCAAAGAGGAGTGGAACAAAATCCCTCCTGAGATGTGGGCAAACATGGTGGCCAACTACAAGAAACGTCTGACCTCTGTGATTGCCAACAAGGGTTTTTCCACCAAGTACTGTCATGTTTTGCAGAGGGGTCAATTACTTATTTCCCTCATTAAAATGCAAATCAATTTATAACATTTTTGACATGCGTTTTTCTGGATTTATTTGTTGTTATTCTGTCTCTCACTGTTCAAATAAACCTACCATCAAAATTATAGACTGATCATTTCTTTGTCAGTGGGCAAACGCACAAAATCAGCAGGGGATCAAATACTTTCTTCCCTCCTTCTCACCCTCCACATGGAGCCTCCGACTACATTTTTGAATCAAGCATAAATTGGCTTTTAGTCTAGGCCTCCGCAATGGATCAGTTCGCATATATATTTATATTTGTTACTGCTCGACTAAAACAATCTCGGTGGACCAACAGCCTAACTACCAAACAATCGACCAGTCAACTAATTGGGGTCAGCCCTGCATCCTTGCAACACTTTATATCGGAGTTGTGCCTGGTCGTCACTAGTTATCACAGCCACAAAGTCATAAACCCTGCCCATTTCTACAATTTATCATCTTAAAATGTGATTTTAAACCTAACCACACTGCTAACCTTATGCCTAACCCTAACCTCAACCCTAACCACACTGCTAACCTTAACCCTAACCTTAACCACACTGCTAACCTTAACCCTAACCTTAACCACACTGCTAACCTTAACCCTAACCTTAACCACACTGCTAACCTTAACCCTAACCTTAACCACACTGCTAACCTTAACCCTAACCTTAACCACACTGCTAACCTTAACCTTAACCCTAACCTTAACCCTAGAGTCCCTTTGTGCATCTGACCCCAACCAGAACAACATGTTGTTTGTGTGGGGAGGTGGTACTGCCTGTACCAATAACCTCTAACCCAATGTTAATAGAAGCTCTATTAAACATATTTCTTACATCATCTCTAGTCTCTTATTTAATTGAGATGTATTTATGTATTATTCATTCTTATTTTGATGGGAGTTCTTTGTGATTGTTTTTGATGTGACTGGTACATATCAATGCACCTGGGCATGACAGCCCAATGGTTAGATCAGGGAGAGAGTGACTGGTACATATCAATGCACCTGGGCATGACAGCCCAGTGGTTAGATCAGGGAGAGAGTGACTGGTACATATCAATGCACCTGGGCATGACAGCCCAGTGGTTAGAGCAGGGAGAGAGTGACTGGTACATATCAATGCACCTGGGCATGACAGCCCAGTGGTTAGATCAGGGAGAGAGTGACTGGTACATATCAATGCACCTGGGCATGACAGCCCAGTGGTTAGAGCAGGGAGAGAGTGACCGGTAAGTTGCTGGTTCAAATCCCTCAGGGGAGGGAATTATTTTGGGGGGGGTGTTCCATTGAGAAAGGCACTTGGCGCCAACTGTTTTATGGTTTGCTGTTGATGGAGTTTATCCCATCTAGTGACCATTAACAAACATTACAGGGAACTACCCTTTATTCTGGTTGGAAGTTTGGAGCTTTCTGGGACCACTTCATCTATTGTTACAATGAATTAAAATGGTACCTTGGTTTTAACTAGAGGTTTATATAATGAGTGGGGTTATTGTCTATGTGCCCGTGCTCCCTGTACTCCTTGTGGGTAACAGTTTTTGTCCCCTAACCCTAACCACACTGCTGACCTTATGCCTAACCCTAACCTCAACTCTAACCACACTGCTAACCTTATGCCTAACCCTAACCACACTGCTAACCTTATGCCTAACCCTAACCTCAACCCTAACCACACTGCTAACCTTATGCCTAACCCTAACCTCAACCCTAACCACACTGCTAACCTTATGCCTAACCCTAACCTCAACCATAACCACACTGCTAACCTTATGCCTAACCCTAACCTCAACCCTAACCACACTGCTAACCTTATGCCTAACCCTAACCTCAACCCTAACCACACTGCTAACCTTATGCCTAACCCTAACCTCAACCCTAACCACACTGCTAACCTTATGCCTAACCCTAACATCAACGCTAACCACACTGCTAACCTTATGCCTAACCCTAACATCAACCCTAACCACACTGCTAACCTTATGCCTAACCCTAACCTCAACCCTAACCACACTGCTAACCTTATGCCTAACCCTAACCTCAACCCTAACCACACTGCTAACCTTATGCCTAACCCTAACCTCAACCCTAACCACACTGCTAACCTTATGCCTAACCTCAACCCTAACCACACTGCTAACCTTATGCCTAACCCTAACCTCAACCCTAACCACACTGCTAACCTTATGCCTAACCCTAACCTCAACCCTAACCACACTGCTAACCTTATGCCTAACCCTAACATCAACCCTAACCACACTGCTAACCTTATGCCTAACCCTAACCTCAACCCTAACCACACTGCTAACCTTATGCCTAACCCTAACATCAACCCTAACCACACTGCTAACCTTATGCCTAACCCCTAACCTCAACCCTAACCACACTGCTAACCTTATGCCTAACCCTAACCTCAACCATAACCACACTGCTAACCTTATGCCTAACCCTAACCTCAACCATAACCACACTGCTAACCACACTGCTGACCTTATGCCTAACCCTAACCACACTGCTAACCTTATGCCTAACCCTAACCCTAACCTTATGCCTAACCCTAACCACACTGCTGACCTTATGCCTAACCCTAACCACACTGCTAACCTTATGCCTAACCCTAAGCTTAACCCTAACCACACTGCTGACCTTATGCCTAACCCTAACCACACTGCTAACCTTATGCCTAACCCTAACCACACTGCTGACCTTATGCCTAACCCTAACCTCAACCCTAACCACACTGCTAACCTTATGCCTAACCCTAACCACACTGCTGACCTTATGCCTAACCCTAACCTCAACCCTAACCACACTGCTAACCTTATGCCTAACCCTAACCTCAACCCTAACCACACTGCTGACCTTATGCCTAACCCTAACCACACTGCTAACCTTATGCCTAACCGTAACCTCAACCCTGACCACACTGCTAACCTTATGCTTAACCCTAACCACACTGCTAACCTTATGCCTAACCCTAACCACACTGCTAACCTTATGTCTAACCCTAACCACACTGCTAACCTTATGCCTAACCCTAACCTCAACCCTAACCACACTGCTAACCTTATGCCTAACCCTAACCTCAAACCTAACCACACTGCTAACCTTATGCCTAACCCTAACCTCAACCCTAACCACACTGCTAACCTTATGCCTAACCCTAACCACACTGCTAACCTTATGCCTAACCCTAACCACACTGCTAACCTTATGCCTAACCCTAACCTCAACCCTAACCACACTGCTAACCTTATGCCTAACCCTAACCTCAACCCTAACCACACTGCTGACCTTATGCCTAACCCTAACCTCAACCCAAACCACACTGCTGACCTTATGCCTAACCCTAACCACACTGCTAACCTTATGCCTAACCCTAACCACACTGCTGACCTTATGCCTAACCCTAACCTCAACCCTAACCACACTGCTAACCTTATGCCTAACCCTAACCTCAACCCTAACCACACTGCTGACCTTATGCCTAACCCTAACCACACTGCTAACCTTATGCCTAACCCTAACCTCAACCCTAACCACACTGCTAACCTTATGCTTAACCCTAACCACACTGCTAACCTTATGCCTAACCCTAACCACACTGCTAACCTTATGCCTAACCCTAACCACACTGCTAACCTTATGCCTAACCCTAACCTCAACCCTAACCACACTGCTAACCTTATGCCTAACCCTAACCTCAAACCTAACCACACTGCTAACCTTATGCCTAACCCTAACCTCAACCCTAACCACACTGCTAACCTTATGCCTAACCCTAACCACACTGCTAACCTTATGCCTAACCCTAACCTCAACCCTAACCACACTGCTAACCTTATGCCTAACCCTAACCTCAACTCTAACCACACTGCTGACCTTATGCCTAACCCTAACCTCAACCCAAACCACACTGCTAACCTTATGCCTAACCCTAACCTCAACCACACTGCTGACCTTATGCCTAACCCTAACCTCAATCCTAACCACACTGCTAACCTTATGCCTAACCCTAACCTCAACCCTAACCACACTGCTGACCTTATGCCTAACCCTAACCTCAACCCTAACCACACTGCTAACCTTATGCCTAACCCTAACCTCAACCCTAACCACACTGCTGACCTTATGCCTAACCCTAACATCAACTCTAACCACACTGCTAACCTTATGCCTAACCTTAACCACACTGCTGACCTTATGCCTAACCCTAACATCAACTCTAACCACACTGCTAACCTTATGCCTAACCTTAACCACACTGCTGACCTTATGCCTAACCCTAACCTCAACCCTAACCACACTGCTAACCTTATGCCTAACCCTAACCACACTGCTAACCTTATGCCTAACCCTAACCTCAACCCTAACCACACTGCTAACCTTATGCCTAACCCTAACCACACTGCTGACCTTATGCCTAACCTCAACCCTAACCACACTGCTAACCTTATGCCTAACCCTAACCTCAACCCTAACCACACTGCTAACCTTATGCCTAACCCTAACCACACTGCTAACCTTATGCCTAACCCTAACCTCAACCCTAACCACACTGCTAACCTTATGCCTAACCCTAACCACACTGCTAACCTTATGCCTAACCCTAACCACACTGCTGACCTTATGCCTAACCTCAACCTTAAATTAAGACCAAAAAGCAAATATTTATTTATATTAATTTGGACTTTGTGACTGTGGTAACCAGTGAAAACCATTGTGGCTGTTGTTCACATGCGTAGAATGGTCTCACCTGATCTTGCCTCCTCCCGACTGCCTTCCATGTTTGAAGACATTTATTTTCATTGTTAGAGCGGCCACTAGAGTATCGGGTCAATATAATGGATCATCTGTGTTAAGGTTGTTTTTTCCAGTATGTGATTCACAGCACCATCTAGTGTCATTTTAATGCACCTCCATTGAAACTGATTCTGTACTGTTTTGAACACATACACTGAAATACTATTGAACATGATGTTTTCCAACATATACACAATGTATTCTTCTGACAGATCCCGTTTGAGAAATGAAGTGGCCAACTTGGACCAGCAGGGTGGCGGTTCCAGGTACATCATGGGTTCAGGTGAGCCTACAGGAATATGTCTTGGGTGCTCCTCGTAACCTGTGGATGTCTCTGCTTCCTCACTTCAATACACTTCACTTACTGAACTATAAATTGGTCCGTATAAGAGCACCTATTAAATTACATTTGTCTAGGTGACTAACCCCTCCCTCCCTGTTGTCTAGGTGACTAATCCCTCCCTCCCTGTTGTCTAGGTGACTAATCCCTCCCTCCCTGTTGTCTAGGTGACTAACCCCTCCCTCCCTGTTGTCTAGGTGACTAATCCCTCCCTCCCTGTTGTCTAGGTGACTAATCCCTCCCTCCCTGTTGTCTAGGTGACTAACCCCTCCCTCCCTGTTGTCTAGGTGACTAACCCCTCCCTCCCTGTTGTCTAGGTGACTAATCCCTCCCTCCCTGTTGTCTAGGTGACTAACCCCTCCCTCCCTGTTGTCTAGGTGACTAATCCCTCCCTCCCTGTTGTCTAGGTGACTAATCCCTCCCTCCCTGTTGTCTAGGTGACTAATCCCTCCCTCCCTGTTGTCTAGGTGACTAATCCCTCCCTCCCTGTTGTCTAGGTGACTAATCCCTCCCTCCATGTTGTCTAAGTGACTAATCCCTCCCTCCCTGTTGTCTAGGTGACTAATCCCTCCCTCCCTGTTGTCTAGGTGACTAATCCCTCCCTCCCTGTTGTCTAGGTGACTAATCCCTCCCTCTCTGTTGTCTAGGTGACTAATCCCTCCCTCCCTGTTGTCTAGGTGACTAATCCCTCCCTCCCTGTTGTCTAGGTGACTAATCCCTCCCTCCCTGTTGTCTAGGTGACTAATCCCTCCCTCCATGTTGTCTAGGTGACTAATCCCTCCCTCCCTGTTGTCTAGGTGACTAATCCCTCCCTCCCTGTTGTCTAGGTGACTAATCCCTCCCTCCATGTTGTCTAGGTGACTAATCCCTCCCTCCATGTTGTCTAGGTGACTAATCCCTCCCTCCCTGTTGTCTAGGTGACTAATCCCTCCCTCCCTGTTGTCTAGGTGACTAATCCCTCCCTCCCTGTTGTCTAGGTGACTAATCCCTCCCTCCCTGTTGTCTAGGTGACTAATCCCTCCCTCCCTGTTGTCTAGGTGACTAATCCCTCCCTCCCTGTCTATAGGTGACTAATCCCTCCCTCCCTGTTGTCTAGGTAACTAATCCCTCCCTCCCTGTTGTCTAGGTGACTAACCCCTCCCTCCCTGTTGTCTAGGTGACTAATCCCTCCCTCCCTGTTGTCTAGGTGACTAACCCCTCCCTCCCTGTTGTCTAGGTGACTAACACCTCCCTCCCTGTTGTCTAGGCGACTAACCCCTCCCTCCCTGTCTTTAGGTGAGACACTGATGGAGGTACAGCAGAGAGTGTTGCAGGAGAGAGAGCTGAAGATCTGCTCTGCTCTGGAACGTCTGAGGAGGAAGAGACACCTGCTCCGCTCCCACCGCAAACACAGAGACTTCCCCATCATCTCTGTTATGGGCTATACCAACTGTGGTGAGAGACTGGGGGTTATGGGCTATACCAACTGTGGTGAGAGAGAGGGGGTTATGGGCTATACCAACTGTAGTGAGGGACAGGCGGTTATGGGCTATACCAACTGTGGTGAGAGACGGGGTTATGGGCTATACCAACTGTGGTGAGAGAGAGGGTTTATGGGCTATACCAACTGTGGTGAGAGACAGTGGGTTATGGGCTATACCTACTGTGATGAGAGACAGGGTTATGGGCTATACCAACTGTGGTGAGAGACAGGGGATTATGGGCTATACCAACTGTGGTGAGAGACAGGCGGTTATGGGCACAGGAGGTTGGTGGCTCCTTGGGGAGAACGGGCTTGTGGTAATGGCTGGAGCGGAATAAGTGGAATGGTATCAAATACATCAAACACATTTGTATTTATCCTGCCAAGGCAGCAGCTACTCTTCCTGGGGTTTATTATGGATCCCCATTAGTTCCTGCCAAGGCAGCAGCTACTCTTCCTGGGGTTTATTATGGATCCCCGTTAGTTCCTGCCAAGGCAGCAGCTACTCTTCCTGGGGTTTATTATGGATCCCCGTTAGTTCCTGCCAAGGCAGCAGCTACTCTTCCTGGGGTTTATTATGGATCCCCGTTAGTTCCTGCCAAGGCAGCAGCTACTCTTCCTGGGGTTTATTATGGATCCCCGTTAGTTCCTGCCAAGGCAGCAGCTACTCTTCCTGGGGTTTATTATGGATCCCCGTTAGTTCCTGCCAAGGCAGCAGCTACTCTTCCTGGGGTTTATTATGGATCCCCGTTAGTTCCTGCCAAGGCAGCAGCTACTCTTCCTGGGGTTTATTATGGATCCCCGTTAGTTCCTGCCAAGGCAGCAGCTACTCTTCCTGGGGTTTATTATGGATCCCCGTTAGTTCCTGCCAAGGCAGCAGCTACTCTTCCTGGGGTTTATTATGGATCCCCGTTAGTTCCTGCCAAGGCAGCAGCTACTCTTCCTGGGGTTTATTATGGATCCCCGTTAGTTCCTGCCAAGGCAGCAGCTACTCTTCCTGGGGTTTATTATGGATCCCCGTTAGTTCCTGCCAAGGCAGCAGCTACTCTTCCTGGGGTTTATTATGGATCCCCGTTAGTTCCTGCCAAGGCAGCAGCTACTCTTCCTGGGGTTTATTATGGATCCCCGTTAGTTCCTGCCAAGGCAGCAGCTACTCTTCCTGGGGTTTATTATGGATCCCCGTTAGTTTCCTGCCAAGGCAGCAGCTACTCTTCCTGGGGTTTATTATGGATCCCCGTTAGTTCCTGCCAAGGCAGCAGCTACTCTTCCTGGGGTTTATTATGGATCCCCGTTAGTTCCTGCCAAGGCAGCAGCTACTCTTCCTGGGGTTTATTATGGATCCCCGTTAGTTCCTGCCAAGGCAGCAGCTACTCTTCCTGGGGTTTATTATGGATCCCCGTTAGTTCCTGCCAAGGCAGCAGCTACTCTTCCTGGGGTTTATTATGGATCCCCGTTAGTTCCTGCCAAGGCAGCAGCTACTCTTCCTGGGGTTTATTATGGATCCCCGTTAGTTCCTGCCAAGGCAGCAGCTACTCTTCCTGGGGTTTATTATGGATCCCCGTTAGTTCCTGCCAAGGCAGCAGCTACTCTTCCTGGGGTTTATTATGGATCCCCGTTAGTTCCTGCCAAGGCAGCAGCTACTCTTCCTGGGGTTTATTATGGATCCCCGTTAGTTCCTGCCAAGGCAGCAGCTACTCTTCCTGGGGTTTATTATGGATCCCCGTTAGTTCCTGCCAAGGCAGCAGCTACTCTTCCTGGGGTTTATTATGGATCCCCGTTAGTTCCTGCCAAGGCAGCAGCTACTCTTCCTGGGGTTTATTATGGATCCCCGTTAGTTTCCTGCCAAGGCAGCAGCTACTCTTCCTGGGGTTTATTATGGATCCCCGTTAGTTCCTGCCAAGGCAGCAGCTACTCTTCCTGGGGTTTTATTATGGATCCCCGTTAGTTCCTGCCAAGGCAGCAGCTACTCTTCCTGGGGTTTATTATGGATCCCCGTTAGTTCCTGCCAAGGCAGCAGCTACTCTTCCTGGGGTTTATTATGGATCCCCGTTAGTTCCTGCCAAGGCAGCAGCTACTCTTCCTGGGGTTTATTATGGATCCCCGTTAGTTCCTGCCAAGGCAGCAGCTACTCTTCCTGGGGTTTATTATGGATCCCCGTTAGTTCCTGCCAAGGCAGCAGCTACTCTTCCTGGGGTTTATTATGGATCCCCGTTAGTTCCTGCCAAGGCAGCAGCTACTCTTCCTGGGGTTTATTATGGATCCCCGTTAGTTCCTGCCAAGGCAGCAGCTACTCTTCCTGGGGTTTATTATGGATCCCCGTTAGTTCCTGCCAAGGCAGCAGCTACTCTTCCTGGGGTTTATTATGGATCCCCGTTAGTTCCTGCCAAGGCAGCAGCTACTCTTCCTGGGGTTTATTATGGATCCCCGTTAGTTCCTGCCAAGGCAGCAGCTACTCTTCCTGGGGTTTATTATGGATCCCCGTTAGTTCCTGCCAAGGCAGCAGCTACTCTTCCTGGGGTTTATTATGGATCCCCGTTAGTTCCTGCCAAGGCAGCAGCTACTCTTCCTGGGGTTTATTATGGATCCCCGTTAGTTCCTGCCAAGGCAGCAGCTACTCTTCCTGGGGTTTATTATGGATCCCCGTTAGTTCCTGCCAAGGCAGCAGCTACTCTTCCTGGGGTTTATTATGGATCCCCGTTAGTTCCTGCCAAGGCTGCAGCTACTCTTCCTGGGGTTTATTATGGATCCCCGTTAGTTCCTGCCAAGGCAGCAGCTACTCTTCCTGGGGTTTATTATGGATCCCCTTTAGTTCCTGCCAAGGCAGCAGCTACTCTTCCTGGGGTTTATTATGGATCCCCTTTAGTTCCTGCCAAGGCAGCAGCTACTCTTCCTGGGGTTTATTATGGATCCCCGTTAGTTCCTGCCAAGGCAGCAGCTACTCTTCCTGGGGTTTATTATGGATCCCCGTTAGTTCCTGCCAAGGCAGCAGCTACTCTTCGTGGGGTTTATTATGGATCCCCGTTAGTTCCTGCCAAGGCAGCAGCTACTCTTCCTGGGGTTTATTATGGATCCCCGTTAGTTCCTGCCAAGGCTGCAGCTACTCTTCCTGGGGTTTATTATGGATCCCCGTTAGTTCCTGCCAAGGCAGCAGCTACTCTTCCTGGGGTTTATTATGGATCCCCTTTAGTTCCTGCCAAGGCAGCAGCTACTCTTCCTGGGGTTTATTATGGATCCCCTTTAGTTCCTGCCAAGGCAGCAGCTACTCTTCCTGGGGTTTATTATGGATCCCCATAAGTTCCTGCCAAGGCAGCAGCTACTCTTCCTGGGGTTTATTATGGATCCCCATTAGTTCCTGCCAAGGCAGCAGCTACTCTTCCTGTGGTTTATTATGGATCCCCATTAGTTCCTGCCAAGGCAGCAGCTACTCTTCCTGGGGTTTATTATGGATCCCCATAAGTTCCTGCCAAGGCAGCAGCTACTCTTCCTGGGGTTTATTATGGATCCCCATAAGTTCCTGCCAAGGCAGCAGCTACTCTTCCTGGGGTTTATTATGGATCCCCATTAGTTCCTGTCAAGGCAGCAGCTACTCTTCCTGGGGTTTATTATGGATCCCCATTAGTTCCTGCCAAGGCAGCAGCTGCTCTTCCTGGGGTTTATTATGGATCCCCATTAGTTCCTGCCAAGGCAGCAGCTACTCTTCCTGGGGTTTATAATGGATCCCCATTAGTTCCTGCCAAGGCAGCAGCTACTCTTCCTGGGGTTTATAATGGATCCCCATTAGTTCCTGCCAAGGCAGCAGCTACTCTTCCTGGGGTTTATTATGGATCCCCATTAGTTCCTGCCAAGGCAGCAGCTACTCTTCCTGGGGTTTATTATGGATCCCCATTAGTTCCTGCCAAGGCAGCAGCTATTCTTCCTGGGGTTTATAATGGATCCCCATTAGTTCCTGCCAAGGCAGTAGCTACTCTTCCTGGGGTTTATTATGGATCCCCATTAGTTCCTGCCAAGGCAGCAGCTGCTCTTCCTGGGGTTTATTATGGATCCCCATTAGTTCCTGTCAAGGCAGCGGCTACTCTTCCTGGGGTTTATTATGGATCCCCATTAGTTCCTACCAAGGCAGCGGCTACTCTTCCTGGGGTTTATTATGGATCCCCATTAGTTCCTGCCAAGGCAGCAGCTACTCTTCCTGGGGTTTATTATGGATCCCCATTAGTTCCTGCCAAGGCAGCAGCTATTCTTCCTGGGGTTTATTATGGATCCCCATTAGTTCCTGCCAAGGCAGCAGCTGCTCTTCCTGGGGTTTATTATGGATCCCCATTAGTTCCTGTCAAGGCAGCAGCTACTCTTCCTGGGGTTTATTATGGATCCACATTAGTTCCTGCCAAGGCAGCGGCTACTCTTCCTGGGGTTTATTATGGATCCCCATTAGTTCCTGCCAAGGCAGCGGCTACTCTTCCTGGGGTTTATTATGGATCCCCATTAGTTCCTGCCAAGGCAGCAGCTACTCTTCCTGGGGTTTATTATGGATCCCCATTAGTTCCTGCCAAGGCAGCAGCTTCTCCGCCTGGGGTCCAGCAACATTAAGGCAGTTATATACAATTTTAAAAACATTACAATACATTTCACAACACATCCATGTGTACAGTGTGTGTGTTATCGTGTGTGTGTGTATGCATGTGTTTGTGTCTATGTTTGTGTTGCTTCACAGTCCCCGCTGTTCCATAAGGTGTTTTTTTATCTGTTTTTTTAAATCTAATTTTACTGCTTGCATCAGTTACCTGATGTGGAATAGAGTTCCATGTAGTAATGGCTCTATGTAGTACTGTGCTCCTCCCATAGTCTGTTTCCAGGTGTTTGATGCCATTCCATTATTATGAGCCGTCCTCCCCTCAGCAGCCTCCTGTGGTTATGGGCTATACCAACTCTATCATTTACCCACCTGTTGCTGCTAAATGTAATATCATATCATTATAAAAATAGGGAGTGTTGCTTCATTCACCGCGAACGGTGATCAGCATTTACCCACTTATTTATTGACCATTACACCTCCAACAGCACTTATTTAATATCTAATTAAAATATTGTCTCTTCTGCCTGTTCGTTGCTGATAAACTCCATCTCTGATCCAGGTAAGACGACCCTGATCAAGGCGTTGACGGGTGACGCGGCGCTGCAGCCCAGAGATCAGCTGTTTGCCACGCTGGACGTCACGGTGCACGCCGGCACGCTGCCTAGTCACATGACGGTGCTCTATGTGGACACCATTGGCTTCCTGTCCCAGCTTCCCCACCAGCTCATAGACTCCTTCTCTGCCACGCTGGACGACGTCACTCACTCTGTATGTTACTACAATTTTCATTGCAAAATGTTTCCAATTCATCCCAAAGGTGTTCGTTAAGATTTCCCTTCACAGCCCCAGACCATTATTCCTCCTCCACCAAACGTTACAGTTGGCACAATGCATTGGGGCAGGTAGCGTTCTCCTGGCATCCGCCAAACCCAGATTAGTCCGTCGGACTGCCAGATGGTGAAGCATGATTCATCACTCCAGAGAACTCATTTCCACTGCTCCAGAGTCCAAGAGTCAGCTTTACACCACTCCAGCCGACGCTTGGCATTGCGCATGGTGATCTTAGCCTTGTGTGCCACTGCGCGGCCATGGAAACCCATTTCATGAAGCTCCCGACTAACAGTTATTGTGCTGACGTGGCTTCCAGAGGCAGTTTGGAACTCGGTAGTGAGTGTTGCAACCGAGGACAGATAATATTTACGTGTTACGTACGTCAGCACTCGGTGGTCCCGTTCTGTGAGCTTGTGTGGCCTACCAGTTACCGGCTGAGCCGTTGTTGCTCCTAGACCGGGGCAGCTCTAGCAGGGCAGAAATTTGACGAACTGACTTGTTGGAAAGGTGGCATCCTATGACGGAGCCACGTTGAAAGTCACTGAGCTCTTCAGTACGGCCATTCTACTGCCAATGTTTGTCTATGGAGATTGCATGGATGTGTGCTCGGTTTGATACACCTGTCAGCAACGGGTGTGGCTGAAATAGCCGAATCCACTAATTTGAAGGGGTGTCCACATACTGCTGTATAGCTAGTGTACAGTGGGGAGAACAAGTATTTGATACACTGCCGATTTTGCAGGTTTTCCTACTTACAAAGCATGTAGAGGTCTGTAATTTTTTATCATAGGTACACTTCAACTGTGAGAGACGGAATCTAAAACAAAAATCCAGAAAATCACATTGTATGAATTTTAAGTAATTAATTTGCATTTTATTGCATGACATAAGTATTTGATCACCTACCAACCAGTAAGAATTCCGGCTCTCACAGACCTGTTAGTTTTTCTTTAAGAAGCCCTCCTGTTCGCCACTCATTACCTGTATTAACTGCACCTGTTTGAACTCGTTACCTGTATAAAAGACACCTGTCCACACACTCAATCAAACAGACTCCAACCTCTCCACAATGGCCAAGACCAGAGAGCTGTGTAAGGACATCAGGGATAAAATTGTAGACCTGCACAAGGCTGGGATGGGCTACAGGACAATAGGCAAGCAGCTTGGTGAGAAGGCAACAACTGTTGGCGCAATTATTAGAAAAGTTCAAGATGACGGTCAATCACCCTCGGTCTGGGGCTCCGTGCAAGATCTCACCTCGTGGGGCATCAATGATCATGAGGAAGGTGAGGGATCAGCCCAGAAACTACACGGCAGGACCTGGTCAATGACCAGAAGAGAGCTGGGACCACAGTCTCAAAAAAACCATTAGTAACACACTACGCCGTCATGGATTAAAATCCTGCAGCGCACACAAGGTCCCCCTGCTCAAGCCAGCGCATGTCCAGGCCCGTCTGAAGTTTGCCAATGACCATCTGGATGATCCAGAGGAGGAATGGGAGAAGGTAATGTGGTCTGATGAGACAAAATAGAGCTTTTTGGTCTAAACTCCACTCGCCATGTTTGGAGGAAGAAGAAAGATGAGTACAACCCCAAGAACACCATCCCAACCGTGAAGCATGGAGGTGGAAACATCATTCTTTGGGGATGCTTTTCTGCAAAGGGGACAGGACGACTGCACCATATTGAGGGGAGGATGGATGGGGCCATGTATCGCGAGATCTTGGCCAACAACCTCCTTCCCTCAGTAAGAGCATTGAAGATGGGTCGTGGCTAGGTCTTCCAGCATGACAACGACCCGAAACACACAGCCAGGGCAACTAAGGAGTGGCTCTGTAAGAGGCATCTCAAGGTCCTGGAGTGGCCTAGCCAGTCTCCAGACCTGAACCCAATAGAAAATCTTTGGAGGGAGCTGAAAGTCCGTATTGCCCAGCGACAGCCCCGAAACCTGAAGGATCTGGAGAAGGTCTGTATGGAGGAGTGGGCCAAAATCCCTGCTGCAGTGTGTGCAAACCTGGTCAAGACCTACAGGAAACGTATGATCTCTGTAATTGCAAACAAAGGTTTCTGTACCAAATATTAAGTTCTGCTTTTCTGATGTATCAAATACTTATGTCATGCAATAAAATGCAAATGAATTACTTAAAAATCATACAATGTGATTTTCTGGATTTTTGTTTTAGATTCCGTCTCTCACAGTTGAAGTGTACCTATGATAAAAATTACAGACCTCTACATGCTTTGTAAGTAGGAAAACCTGCAAAATCGGCAGTGTATCAAATACTTGTTCTCCCCACTGTATATATAGTATATATTGTTGTTAAAGAGACAGTAGTACATACTGCTGTATATATAGTATATATATAGTATATATTGTTGTTAAAGAGACCGTAGTACACACTGCTGTATATATAGTGTATATATAGTATATCTTGTTGTTAAAGAGACAGTAGTACATACTGCTGTATACATAGTGTATCTTGTTGTTAAAGAGACAGTAGTACACACTGCTGTATATATAGTATATCTTGTTGTTAAAGAGACAGTAGTACATACTGCTGTATATATAGTGTATATATAGTATATCTTGTTGTTAAAGAGACAGTAGTACATACTGCTGTATATATATAGTGTATATATAGTATATATTGTTGTTAAAGAGACAGTAGTACATACTGCTGTATATATAGTGAATCTTGTTGTTAAAGAGACAGTAGTACATACTGCTGTATATCTTGTTGTTAAAGAGACAGTAGTACATACTGCTGTATATATAGTATATATATAGTATATCTTGTTGTTAAAGAGACAGTAGTACATACTGCTGTATATCTTGTTGTTAAAGAGACAGTAGTACATACTGCTGTATATATAGTGTATATATAGTATATCTTGTTGTTAAAGAGACAGTAGTACATACTGCTGTATATCTTGTTGTTAAAGAGACAGTAGTACATACTGCTGTATATCTTGTTGTTAAAGAGACAGTAGTACATACTGCTGTATATATAATGTATATATAGTATATATTGTTGTTAAAGAGACAGTAGTACATACTGCTGTATATATAGTGTATATATAGTATATCTTGTTGTTAAAGAGACAGTAGTACATACTGCTGTATATCTTGTTGTTAAAGAGACAGTAGTACATACTGCTGTATATCTTGTTGTTAAAGAGACAGTAGTACATACTGCTGTATATATAATGTATATATAGTATATATTGTTGTTAAAGAGACAGTAGTACATACTGCTGTATATATTGTGTATATATAGTATATCTTGTTGTTAAAGAGACAGTAGTACATACTGCTGTATATCTTGTTGTTAAAGAGACAGTAGTACATACTGCTGTATATCTTGTTGTTAAAGAGACAGTAGTACATACTGCTGTATATATAGTGTATATATAGTATATATTGTTGTTAAAGAGACAGTAGGACATACTGCTGTATATATAGTGTACTTTCTCCTTGTTCTGTGCCCAGGACCTGATAATCCATGTGAGAGACATCAGCCACCCAGAGACCGTGAACCAGAAGGAGAATGTGTTGAATGTCCTGATGAACCTTCAGATCCCAGACAGACTGATGAGCTCCATCGTAGAAGTCCATAATAAGATAGATCTGGTGGACAGGTGAGGAGATGAACATTCACACACACACACAGTCTTGTACAACTAACCTTGTGGGGACACACAATTCAGTCCCATTCAAAATCCTATTTTCCCTAAACCTAACCCGTACCCTAATCCTAATCTTAACCTGAAAATATAACCTTAAAAACCTAACCCTAGCTCCTAACCCTAACCCTAAAACTAACCCTAGCTCCTAACCCTAAACCTAATTCTAACCCTAATTCTAACCTTAACCCTAAACCCCCTAGATATAGCATTTGACCTTGTGGGGACTAACAAAACGTCCCCAGTTTGTTTACTATTCTTGTGGGGACTGGTCCCCACAAGTATAGTTAAACACGTCCACACACACACACACACACACACACACACACACACACAGTTAAAACAGTGTGACAGGGGAGGACCTAAAGTCTGTTGAGGGGAGGACCTAAAGTCTGTTGAGGGGAGGACCTAAAGTCTGTTGAGGGGAGGACCTAAAGTCTGTTGAGGGGAGGACCTAAAGTCTGTTGAGGGGAGGACCTAAAGTCTGTTGAGGGGAGGACCTAAAGGCTGTTGAGGGGAGGACCTAAAGTCTGTTGAGGGGAGGACCTAAAGTCTGTTGAGGGGAGGACCTAAAGTCTGTTGAGCGGAGGACCTAAAGTCTGTTGAGGGGAGGACCTAAAGTCTGTTGAGCGGAGGACCTAAAGTCTGTTGAGGGGAGGACCTAAAGTCTGTTGAGGGGAGGACCTAAAGTCTGTTGAGGGGAGGACCTAAAGTCTGTTGAGGGGAGGACCTAAAGTCTGTTGAGGGGAGGACCTAAAGTCTGTTGAGAGGAGGACCAAAAGTCTGTTGAGGGGAGGACCAAAAGTCTGTTGAGGGGAGGACCTAAAGTCTGTTGAGGGGAGGACCTAAAGTCTGTTGAGGGGAGGACCTAAAGTCTGTTGAGGGGAGGACCTAAAGTCTGTTGAGAGGAGGACCAAAAGTCTGTTGAGGGGAGGACCAAAAGTCTGTTGAGGGGAGGACCTAAAGTCTGTTGAGGGGAGGACCTAAAGTCTGTTGAGGGGAGGACCTAAAGTCTGTTGAGGGGAGGACCTAAAGTCTGTTGAGGGGAGGACCTAAAGTATGTTGAGGGGAGGACCTAAAGTCTGTTGAGGGGAGGACCTAAAGTCTGTTGAGGGGAGGACCTAAAGTCTGTTGAGGGGAGGACCTAAAGTCTGTTGAGGGGAGGACCTAAAGTCTGTTGAGGGGAGGACCTAAAGTCTGTTGAGGGGAGGACCTAAAGTCTGTTGAGGGGAGGACCTAAAGTCTGTTGAGGGGAGGACCTAAAGTCTGTTGAGGGGAGGACCTAAAGTCTGTTGAGGAGAGGACCTAAAGTCTGTTGAGGGGAGGACCTAAAGTCTGTTGAGCGGAGGACCTAAAGTCTGTTGAGGGGAGGACCTAAAGTCTGTTGAGTGGAGGACCTAAAGTCTGTTGAGGGGAGGACCTAAAGTCTGTTGAGGGGAGGACCTAAAGTCTGTTGAGGGGAGGACCTAAAGTATGTTGAGGGGAGGACCAAAAGTCTGTTGAGGGGAGGACCAAAAGTCTGTTGAGGGGAGGACCTAAAGTCTGTTGAGCGGAGGACCTAAAGTCTGTTGAGCGGAGGACATAAAGTCTGTTGAGGGGAGGAACTAAAGTCTGTTGAGGGGAGGACCAAAAGTCTGTTGAGCGGAGGACCTAAAGTCTGTTGAGCGGAGGACCTAAAGTCTGTTGAGGGGAGGACCTAAAGTCTGTTGAGGGGAGGACCAAAGGTCTGTTGAGGGGAGGACCAAAAGTCTGTTGAGGGGAGGACCTAAAGTCTGTTGAGGGGATGACCTAAAGTCTGTTGAGGGGAGGACCAAAAGTCTGTTGAGGGGAGGACCAAAAGTCTGTTGAGGGGAGGACCTAAAGTCTGTTGAGGGGAGGACCTAAAGTCTGTTGAGGGGAGGACCTAAAGTCTGTTGAGGGGAGGACCTAAAGTCTGTTGAGGGGAGGACCTAAAGTCTGTTGAGCGGAGGACATAAAGTCTGTTGAGGGGAGGAACTAAAGTCTGTTGAGGGGAGGACCAAAAGTCTGTTGAGCGGAGGACCTAAAGTCTGTTGAGCGGAGGACCTAAAGTCTGTTGAGGGGAGGACCTAAAGTCTGTTGAGGGGAGGACCAAAGGTCTGTTGAGGGGAGGACCAAAAGTCTGTTGAGGGGAGGACCTAAAGTCTGTTGAGGGGAGGACCTAAAGTCTGTTGAGGGGAGGACCTAAAGTCTGTTGAGGGGAGGACCTAAAGTCTGTTGAGAGGAGGACCAAAAGTCTGTTGAGGGGAGGACCAAAAGTCTGTTGAGGGGAGGACCTAAAGTCTGTTGAGGGGAGGACCTAAAGTCTGTTGAGGGGAGGACCTAAAGTCTGTTGAGGGGAGGACCTAAAGTATGTTGAGGGGAGGACCTAAAGTCTGTTGAGGGGAGGACCTAAAGTCTGTTGAGGGGAGGACCTAAAGTCTGTTGAGGGGAGGACCTAAAGTCTGTTGAGGGGAGGACCTAAAGTCTGTTGAGGGGAGGACCTAAAGTCTGTTGAGGGGAGGACCTAAAGTATGTTGAGGGGAGGACCTAAAGTCTGTTGAGGGGAGGACCTAAAGTCTGTTGAGGGGAGGACCTAAAGTCTGTTGAGGGGAGGAACTAAAGTCTGTTGAGGGGAGGACCTAAAGTCTGCCAGATGTTTTTCTGACTATGGTGTTTATCCATATATGAGTTCTTATCATTCATTACATGGATATGTTGTCCTCCTCAGCTATGAGCCATCTGAGCCCAACAGCCTGCCTATCTCTGCTCTGAGAGAACAGGGCCTGGAGCACCTGAAGACTGTAGTAGAAGAAGCTATAGTGAGATCTACCGGGAAACAGGTCCTGACTCTCACGGTTGACCTCAGCAGCTCCCAGTTAAGGTAAGGTTAAGCCACATACTGTGAGTGACTGCTACAGTAATGACAGGATTATAGGAGCAGTCACTTTGAACAACCTTATTCATATGGTGTTACACTTCTGCCTCTTCTGCTTCTTCTTCTGCTTCTGCTTCTTCTTCTGCTTCTTCTTCTGCTTCTTTTGCTTCTGCTTCTTCTGCTTCTTTTGCTTCTGCTTCTTCTGCTTCTTTTGCTTCTGCTTCTTCTGCTTCTTCTTCTGCTTCTTCTTCTTCTGCTTCTTTTGCTTCTTCTTCTTCTTTTGCTTCTTCTGCTTCTTCTGCTTCTTCCTCTCCTGTTCTTTTGCTTCTGCTTCTTCTGCTTCTTTTGCTTCTGCTTCTTCTGCTTCTTTTGCTTCTGCTTCTTCTTCTGCTTCTTCTTCTTCTGCTTCTTTTGCTTCTTCTGCTTCTTCTGCTTCTTCTTCTTCTTCCTCTCCTGTTCTTTTGCTTCTTCTTCTGCTTCTTCTTCTGCTTCTTTTGCTTCTTCTGCTTCTTTTGCTTCTTCTTCTGCTTCTTCTTCTGCTTCTTCTTCTTCTTTTGCGATTACAGAAGTCAATAAATGATAACGCCTGGGGAGTAGGAGTGATACTGGGGGCTACAGGGCCTGGGTTAACCTCTACATCACCAGAGGAACAGACGAGGAATAGAATAAGGATACGGCTAAAGGCTTTAAGAACTGGTCTTCTAGTGCGTTGGGTACATAGAATAAAAGGGGCCGATTTCCGGGCATTTTAGAATAGATTCAGGGCATTATGTACAGACAAGGATATGGAAGGATATGAGTACAGTGGAGGTAAACCTAAGCGTTGGGTAAAGATGAAAGAGATAGCATCACTGGAGGCACCGATTGAGCCGGTTGAGCCGGTCTCCGCGTGTGTGGGGGGTGGGACAAAGGATCTATCTGAGACAGGTTGAGCAGGACTGGGGGCTCTACATTGAAAAAGTACAGTTAGAACTAACCGAAACAGCAATAGGCAAGGCATATTGACATGGGAGAGAGGCATAAAGCAGTCACAGGTGTTTTTCGAGAGAGCTAAGACAACAGCTGGTAATGGTGACGAAAGATTGAGCTGAGGCTAAACAGATAAACAGGATGGGGTACTGTGTAACGGAACAGTCCAGCAGGCATCAGCTGTGTAGCTGAGTGATCATAAGGTCCAGTGAACAGCAATAGGTGAGTCCGGGAGCAGTTCAGTGGCTGCTACGCTACAGGCGAGCAGGAGGCACGGCTGTTGATTGCGCGTGCTAGCGGGCCGGGGCTAGCAGATGGATCTTCGTGGTCGTCGCAACGGGAAGCCTGTTGAAACCACATCAGACGATTACGTCGGCAGACCAGTCGTGAGGATCGGCGGGGCTCCGTGTCAACACTAGGAGGTCCCGTCCGGTTGACAGAGAGGTAGATAGCCGGGAGATGGGCCTGGCTCGAGGCTAGCTCAAGGCTAACTGGGGTTAGCTTCAGGACAGTGGTGATTAGTGGTGATTAGCCAACAACGACAACAGCCATTCGGTTGCAGCTAGCTAGTTGCGATGATCCGGTGTTAAGGTCCAGTGATTCAGTGATTCCGGCAGAAAATCCGATATGCTCTGGCTCGATAGCGCGATGTGCAGACTGGCCGATAATTGTCCAGGCTAGAGCTGGCTGGTAGGTAGTGCAGGCCACGGACAATGGTGAAGACCGCTAACGGTGGCTAATAGCAAGTAGCTAGTTAACTGGCTAGCTGGCTAGTTTCAGCCAGAGGTTCTGGATAAAAATGTATAAAGAAATAATAGAATCCGTTCCACATTGGGTGAGGCGGGTTGCAGGAAAGTATATTTAGTTAAAGGATGGCGCAGTGGTCTAAGGCACTGCATCACAGTGCTAGCTGTGCCACTAGAGATCCGGGTTCGAGTCCAGGCTCTGTCGCAGCCGACCGTGACCGGGAGACCCATGGGCGGCGCACAATTGGTCCAGCGTCGTCCAAGGTAGGGGAGGGTTTGGCCGGCAGGGGTGTGGGTTCGTTTCCCACGGGGGGCCAGTATGAAAAAAATACATAATAATAATAACAACATGTGCATTCACTAGCTGTAAGTCGCTCTGGATAAGTGTGTCTGCTAAAAAAAAGTAAATCAAAATAAAATATATATATTTTTTTAAAGCGAGATTGAGAAATATATACGAAAAAAAACAAATGTAAAAAAAAAAAACAGGCTATTTACATGAAGACACTACAGAAAACACGACCGCACTGCTATGCCATCTTGGATATGATTGACATCATTTGAGTCATTTGGAGGTGTACCTGTGGATGTATTTCAAGGCCTACCTTCAAACTCAGCTCCTCTTTGCTTGACATCATGGGAAAATGAAAAGAAATCAGCCAAGACCTCAGAAAACAAATTGTGTGCCTTTAAATTGTTTATAGCTTCCCACAATAAGTTGGGTGAATTTTGGCCCATTCCTCCTGACAGAGCTGGTGTAACTGAGTCAGGTTTGTAGGCTTCCTTGCGAGCATACGTTTTTTCAGTTCTGCCCACAAATGTTCTATAGGATTGAGGTCAGGGCTTTCTGATGGCCACTCCAATACCTTGACTTCGTTGTTCTTAAGCCATTTTGCCACAACTTTGGAAGTATGCTTGGGGTCATTTTCCATTTGGAAGATCCATTTGCGACCAAGCTTTAACTTCCTGACTGATGTCTTGAGATGTTGCTTCAATATATTGACATCATTTTCCTTCCTCATCATGCCATCTATTTTGTGAAATGCACCAGTCCCTCCTGCAGCAAAAAAGCTGCCACCCCTGTGCTTCTTGGTTGGAATGGTGTTCTTCGGCTTGCAAGCACCCCCCTTTTCGTCCAAACAGTTCTATTTTTGTTTCATCAGACCAGAGGACATTTCTCCAAAAAGTATGATCTTTGTCCCCATGTGCAGTTGCAAACCGTAATCTGCCTTTTTTATGGCGGTTTTGGAGCAGTGGCTTCTTCCTTGCTGAGCGGCCTTTCAGGTTATGTCGATATAGGACTCGTTTTACTGTGGATATAGATACTTTTGTACCTGTTTCCTCCAGCATGTTCACAAGGTTCTGGGATTGATTTGCACTTTTCGCACCAAAGTACGTTCATCTCTAGGAGACAGAACGCGTCTCCTTCCTGAGCGGTTTGACGGCTACATGTTCCCATGGTGTTTATACTTGCGTACGATTGTTTGTACAGATGAACGTGGTATTTTCTGGAATTTTCAAAGCTGTTTAAAGGCACAGTCAACTTAGTGTATGTAAACTTCTGACCCACTGGAATTGTGATACAGTGAATTATAAATTAAATAATCTGTCTGTAAACAATTGTTGGAAAAATTACTTGTCATGCACAAAGTAGATGTCCTAACCAACTTGCCAAAACTATAGTTTAAGTGACCCCACATAAGACAATTAGTGTGTTTTTGGTGCCCCCCTAACAGCTGATCTCTGCCTTTACAAAAAAAAAAAGAAAAAAAAGAGATAGAAAATATGAAATCTCAGATTGACACCAGCATTGACAGTTGCCGACACCACACCAGCATTTCTGGTCAGGAGGCATTTGAGGCAATCTGTAGAAACAATGAGAATAGAAAGGTTCAGAACTTTTGTGAAACATCACAGTACAGTTGAAAAAAATATGGCAAATAGAAATCCAATATGGATGGTGTTAAGAGATAGATGGGAGGTGTTGAATGGAGTTGGAAGGATGGGACTAATAACAAATAACAACAACTAATAACAACAAGATAACTAATGTAAAGCATACTGTGTCCATAATAAGTATATGGGTTATAGGTTGAGAGCTTTTGTGAAAGAGCACAGTTAGAAAGATATGGCATATAGAAGCAAACCGGATGGACATCATGAAAATGATCGGCGAGGTTGAGGGTAGAGGAAGTTCAGGAGAAAAAAACAAACAAAATATAATTATTGTAAAATTGACTGTGTCCGTAAAATGTACACTACTGTTCAAAAGTTTGGGGTCACTTAGAAATGTCATTGTTTTCGAAAGAACAGGAATGTTTTTGCCCATTAAAATAACATCAAATTGATCAGAAATACAGAAATACAGTGTAGACATTGTTAATGTTGTAAATGGCTATTGTAGCTGGAAACGGCTGATTTTTTATGGAATATCTACATAGGCGTACAGAGGCCCATTATCAGCAACCATCAGTCCTGTGTTCCAATGGCACGTTGTGTTTGCTAATCCAAGTTTATCATTTTAAAAGGCTAATTGATAATTAGAAAACCCTTTTGCAATTATGTTAGCACAGCTGAAAACTGTTGTGCTGATTAAAGAAGCAATAAAACTGGCCTTCTTGAGACTAGTTGAGTATCTGGAGCATCAGCAATTGTGGGTTCGATTACAGGCTCAAAATGGCCAGAAACAAATAACTTTCTTCTGAAACTCGCCAGTCTATTCTTGTTCTGAGAAATGAAGGCTATTCCATGCGAGAAATTGCCAAGAAACTGAAGATCTCGTACAACACTGTGTACTACTCCCTTCACAGAACAGCGCAAACTGGCTCTAACCAGAATAGAAAGAGGAGTGGGAGGCCCCATTAGAGTGTCTAGTTTGAGAAACAGACGCCTCACAGGTCCTCAACTGGCAGCTTCATTAAATAGTACCCGCAAAACACCAGTCTCAACGTCAACAGTGAACAGGCGACTCCGGGATGCTGACCTTCTAGGCAGAGTTGCAAAGAAAAAGCCAAATATCAGACTGGCCAATAAAAAGAAAATATTAAGATGGGCAAAAGAACACAGACACTGGACAGAGGAAGATTGGAAAAAAGTGTTATGGACAGACGAATCGAAGTTTGAGGTGTTCGGATCACAAAGAAGAACATTTGTGAGACCCAGACCAAATGAAAAGATGCTGGAGGAGTGCTTGATGCCATCTGTCAAGCATGGTGGAGGCAATGTGATGGTCTGGGGGTGCTTTGGTGGTGTTAAAGTGGGAGATTTGTACAGGGTAAAAGGGATCTTGAAGAAGGAAGGCTATCACTCCATTTTGCAACGCCATGCCATACCCTGTAGATGGCGCTTGATTGGAGCCAATTTCCTCCTAAAACAGGACAATGACCCAAAGCTCCAAACTATGCAATAACTATTTAGGGAAGAAGCAGGAGGATGAAAAAAAACATACAGTGAGGGAAAAAGTATTTGATCCCCTGCTGATTTTGTACGTTTGCCCACTGAAAAAGACATGATCAGTCTATAAATTTAATGGTAGGTTTATTTGAACAGTGAGAGACAGAATAACAACAAAAAAATCCAGAAAAACGCATGTCAAAAATTGTATATATTGATTTGCATTTTAATGAGGGAAATAAGTATTTGACCTCTCTGCAAAACATGACTTAGTACTTGGTGGCAAAACCCTTGTTGGCAATCACAGAGGTCAGACGTTTCTTGTAGTTGGCCACCAGGTTTGCACACATCTCAGGAGGGATTTTGTCCCACTCCTCTTTGCAGATCTTCTCCAAGTCATTAAGGTTTCGAGGCTGACGTTTGGCAACTCGAACCTTCAGCTCCCTCCACAGATTTTGTGGTCCTCTGTAGCTCAGCTGGTAGAGCACGGCGCTTGTAACGCCAATGTAGTGGGTTCGATCCCCGGGACCACCCATACACAAAAATGTATGCACGCATGACTGTAAGTCGCTTTGGATAAAAGCGTCTGCTAAATGGCATATTATTATTATTATTATTCTATGGGATTAAGGTCTGGAGACTGGCTAGCCCACTCTAGGACCTTAATGTGCTTCTTCTTGAGCCACTCCTTTGTTGCCTTGGCCGTGTGTTTTGGGTCATTGTCATGCTGGAATACCCATCCACAACCCATTTTCAATGCCCTGGCTGAGGGAAGGAGGTTCTCACCCAAGATTTGACAGTACATGGCCCCGTCCATCGTCCCTTTGATGCAGTGAAGTTGTCCTGTCCCCTTAGCAGAAAAACACCCCCAAAGCATAATGTTTCCACCTCCATGTTTGATGGTGGGGATGGTGTTCTTGGGGTCATAGGCAGCATTCCTCCTCCTCCAAACACGTTGAGTTGATGCCAAAGAGGTCCCTACTAGACTACTAATAGAGCTCCCTACTAATAGAGGTCCCTACTAATAGAGGTCCCTACTAATAGAGCCCCTACTAATAGAGGTCCCTACTAATAGAGGTCCCTACTAGACTACTAATAGAGGTCCCTACTAATAGAGGTCCCTACTAATAAGGTCCCTACTAATAGAGGTCCCTACTAATAGAGGTCCCTACTATAAGGTCCCTACTAATAGAGGTCCCTACTAGACTACTAATAGAGCTCCCTACTAATAGAGGTCCCTACTAATAGAGGCCCCTACTAGACTACTAATAGAGGTCCCTACTAATAGAGGCCCCTACTAATAGAGGTCCCTACTAGACTACTAATAGAGCTCCCTACTAATAGAGGTCCCTACTAATAGAGGCCCCTACTAGACTACTAATAGAGGTCCCTACTAATAGAGGTCCCTACTAATAGAGGTCCCTACTAATAGAGGCCCCTACTAATAGAGGTCCCTACTAATAGAGGTTCCTACTAGACTACTAATAGAGCTCCCTACTAATAGAGGTCCCTACTAATAGAGGTCCCTACTAGACTACTAATAGAGGTCCCTACTAATAGAGGTCCCTACTAGACTACTAATAGAGGTCCCTACTAGACTACTAATAGAGCTCCCTACTAATAGAGGCCCCTACTAATAGAGGTCCCTACTAATAGAGGCCCCTACTAATAGAGGTCCCTACTAATAGAGGTCCCTACTAGACTACTAATAGAGCTCCCTACTAATAGAGGTCCCTACTAATAGAGGTCCCTACTAATAGAGGTCCCTACTAATAGAGGTCCCTACTAATAGAGGTCCCTACTAATAGAGGTCCCTACTAGACTACTAATAGAGCTCCCTACTAATAGAGGTCCCTACTAATAGAGGCCCCTACTAGACTACTAATAGAGGTCCCTACTAATAGAGGCCCCTACTAATAGAGGTCCCTACTAGACTACTAATAGAGCTCCCTACTAATAGAGGTCCCTACTAATAGAGGCCCCTACTAGACTACTAATAGAGGTCCCTACTAATAGAGGGTCCCTACTAATAGAGGTCCCTACTAATAGAAGGCCCCTACTAATAGAGGTCCCTACTAATAGAGGTTCCTACTAGACTACTAATAGAGTCCCTACTAATAGAGGTCCCTACTAATAGAGGTCCCTACTAATAGAGCCCTACTAATAGAGGTCCCTACTAATAGAGGTCCTACTAGACTACTAATAGAGTCCCCATACATAGAGCCTACTAATAGAGGTCCTCCTACTAATAGAGGCCCTACTAATAGAGGTCCCTTAGCTACATAGAGGTCCCTACTATAGAAGCCCCTACTAATAGAGGTCCCTACTAATAGAGGTCCCTACTAATAGAGGTCCCTACTAACTACTAATAGAGGTCCCTACTAATAGAGGTCCCTACTAATACTAAGAGGTCCCTACTAATAGAGGTCCCTACTAATAGAGGTCCCTACTAATAGAGGTCCCTACTAAACCTACATAGAGGTCCCTACTAATAGAGGTCCCTACTAATAGAGGTCCCTACTATAGAGGTCCCTACTAATAGAGGTCCCTACTAAGAGGTCCTATAGACTACTAATAGAGCTCCCTACTAATAGAGGTCCCTACTAATAGAGGTCCCTACTAATAGAGGTCCCTACTAATAGAGGTCCCTACTAATAGAGGCCCCTACTAATAGAGGTCCCTACTAATAGAGGTCCCTACTAATAGAGGCCCCTACTAATAGAGGTCCCTACTAATAGAGGTCCCTACTAGACTACTAATAGAGGTCCCTACTAATAGAGGTCCCTACTAGACTACTAATAGAGGTCCCTACTAATAGAGGTCCCTACTAGACTACTAATAGAGGTCCCTACTAATAGAGGTCCCTACTAATAGAGGTCCCTACTAGACTACTAATAGAGGTCCCTACTAATAGAGGTCCCTACTAGACTACTAATAGAGGCCCCTACTAATAGAGGTCCCTACTAATAGAGGTCCCTACTAATAGAGGTCCCTACTAATAGAGGTCCCTACTAATAGAGGTCCCTACTAATAGAGGTCCCTACTAGACTACTAATAGAGGTCCCTACTAGACTACTAATAGAGGTCCCTACTAGACTACTAATAGAGGTCCCTACTAATAGAGGTCCCTACTAATAGAGGTCCCTACTAATAGAGGTTCCTACTAGACCAGGGGAGATCAGGGCAGATTCAGTGCCTCTTTTTAAATACCTGCTGAAGACACACTTTTATAAAGATCATTTTAATGTCTGATTTTAATTAGCTATCTTTTTTTATTCTCCTTCCTCCTGTTTCTTTGTTAGTACTTTTATTGTATTATTTTATGATGTGAAGCACTCTGTTACTCGTATTGAAAAGCGTTGTTATTATTATTAACTTTGTCTTCGTGTGTTTCCAGCTGGCTGTACAAGGAGGCAACGGTTCAGGAAGTGGACGTTAACCCTGATGAAGGTTCCGCTGTCGTCAAGGTGATCATCGGTGCTGCTGCTTACGGACGCTACAGGAAGATGTTCCAACGTAGTTAGAAGCACTACAGGTGCACACCAGTGATGAACCCTGGATGACTGACAGGCGCTTTATTGAAGACACCGCGCAGCCATCTTCCTACTCCTTCATTGTAAAACATATTTTGGAAGCTGTAGAAATGCATTTATTGATGTCTGCATTCGTTTTTTGACACGTTTATTCTAATGCATACTTTAAAAATATTTTATGTTAGCTAAACATACAACAAAAAAATATAACATTTTCCTTAAAGTATTTGTTTTGAGTAGTAATGTTACTGTCCCCACTACAACAACAAAAATACTTAAATACATGTAATTTTGTCCTTGAAACATTTAATTGAAATCCTGTCGAATTCCATTCATTCCTCTGGAGGACTGCTCCTACTGGGGAGTGGCAATATGGCCGACCGCTGGCTTCACAGCCTCTCATTGGCCAATACATAGCATCAGTAATACAGGGTTTATACACACCATTGGTCTACACCTGTCTTAATGAGATGCTGTTCCACGGTACCCAGTTAGCACTAGCAGCACTGTTCACCTGTCTCAGTCAGAACTACTGTACCCAGTTAGCTAGTTAGCAGCACTGTTCCCCTGTCTCAGTTAGAACTACTGTACCCAGTTAGCTAGTTAGCAGCACAGTGTTCCCCTGTCTCAGTTAGAACTACTGTACCCAGTTAGCTAGTTAGCAGCACAGTGTTCCCCTGTCTCAGTCAGAACTACTGTACCCAGTTAGCTAGTTAGCAGCACAGTGTTCCCCTGTCTCAGTCAGAACTACTGTACCCAGTTAGCTAGTTAGCAGCACAGTGTTCCCCTGTCTCAGTTAGAACTACTGTACCCAGTTAGCTAGTTAGCAGCACAGTGTTCCCCCGTGTCAATGACTACTTGAAATACTAGAACTTCTCTTGCTTATGGCTGCACAATGCTCCGGATGATGGCATGCCATAGCTCTCTGTTGTTCATGACAGCTGGTAGGTCCTCTGTTCTGAGACCATTCTACTGTCTCTAAAGAAAAAAGCATACTGCTGCTGGTTGTGTTAACAGGAACTATGCCATAGCTCTGTGTTAAGGCGTATGCATGCTTCCCAGCCGAAACAGTTCGGAAGAGTTTGTGCATATATTGTGACGTTTTATAGTTTGTTTTGGACTTTCGGTGAGAATATTTTCTGGAGGCAAGCCGAAAGTCTACGCTCTTCGTCGCTGAATGGTCAACAGTAGGGATTGTTCAATAAAGTATTTGTTGTCATTCAAGGAGAGACGACTCGTTTTAATGCTAATTTTTTCATTGATAAATACTTAGTCGCGCAACTGTACATCTAACTAAGATCTCCTTGGCAAAAACGTACAAATTTATGCCAGATTTCTTGAGTTATCTTATATTAATTAGATTTTGAGGAATTGTATACTGGCTACGGCGTCTCAAAATGGACAAACAGTACTACAGTATAGCCTATTTATTTCTTGTTTTTCAAGGGAGTATGTGCGCACACTCGTTCGGTTCGGCTAGCCGAGTTCGGCTAGGCGCCAGAAGCCTTTACCCGTAATCACTGTTACCGAGAGTTCGTGTTATAACATCCTTTTATAGGGAACACACAACAAATACTGTCAGCTGTGATTCATCAGAAAACCAAACAACTCTTGTTGTATGAATGATAAAATGCATTTAATGTATTTAAATGTAAATATGTAAAAGGAAAGTGACAAAGTATAACAGTATATTGATTCATTATTTATCTGTAATCCTGCAGTCCAAAGTAACTGTCTACATCATGTTTCACATCTCAACTGAGCTGGACCTGGTTGTATCAGAGGAGGAACACTGCATGTGTAACATTTGATCTCTTAAAAATGAATATCATCACTGCAAAAAGTAGAATATTCCTGTAAATATTTTAAAATCCATAGAAAAAAACGAAACAAGAGGTGGACTTTTAATGACTCCCTAAAACAAAATATTGACCTCTTCTACTGTAAGAGTCCTGTTACAGGAATAAGGGGTGTGAGTATAAGAGATAAAGTGCCTTCAGAAAGTATTCATACCCCTTGACTTATTCCACATTTTGTTGCGTTACAGCCGGAATCCAACATGGATTCAATTATTATAATTTTTACATTTTATTTTCACCCATCTAAACACAATACCCCATAATGACAAAGGGAAAACATGTTTTAAATTTTTTTTGAAAATGTATTAAATGAAATATCTCGTTCACATTAGTATTCACACCCTGGAGTCAATCCATGTTAGAATCACCTTTGGCAGCGATTACAGCTGTGAGTCTTTCTGGGTAAGTCTCTAAGAGCTTTGCACACCTGGATTGTCCAATATTTGCACACTTTTTTTTTTATTCTTCAAGCTCTGTCAAGTTAGTTGTTGATCATTGCTAGACAGCCATTTTCAAGTCTTGCCGTAGATTTTCAAGCCTATTTAAGTCACAACTGTATCTAGGCCACTCAGGAACATTCAATGTCGTCTTGGTAAGCAACTCCAGTGTATATTTGGTTTCTGTTTTATGTTACTGTTCTGCTGAAAGGTGAATTTGTCTCCCAGTGTCTGTTGGAAAGCAGACTGAACCAGGGTTTCCTCTAGAAATTTTGCCTGTGCTTAGCTCTATTCAGTTTCTTTTTATCCTTACAAACTCCCTAGACCTTGCCGATGACAAGCAAACCCATAACATGATGCAGCCCCCACCATGCTTGAAAATATACATAACGCTTTGTATTAAGGACATAGTTCATTTCTTTGCCACATTTTTTTTTGCAGTTTTACTTTAGTGCCTTATTGCAAACAGGATGTATGTTTTAGAATATGTTTTATTCTGTACAGGCTTCCTTCTTTTCACTCTGTCATTTAGGTTAGTATTGTGGAGTAACTACAATGTTGTTGATCCATCCTCAGTTTTCTCCTATCACAGCCATTAAACTCTAACTGTTTTGAAGTCACCATTGGCCTAATGATGAAATCCCTGAGCGGTTTCCTTCCTCTCCGGCAACTGAGTTAGGAAGGACGCCTGTATCTTTGTAGTGACTGGGTGTATTGATACACCATCCAAAGTGTAATTAATAACTTCACCATGCTCAAAGGGATATACAATGTCTGCTTTTTTATTTTTACCCATCTACCAATAGGTGCTCTTCTTGTTGGAAAACCTCCTTGGTCTTTGTGGTTTAATCTGTGTTTTAAATTCTTGACTGAGGGACCTTACAGATAATTGTATGTGTGGGGTACATTTACATTTAAGTCATTTAGCAGACGCTCTTATCCAAAGATGAGGTAGTCATTAAACAATTAATGTTAAACACTATTATTGCACAGAGAGTCCAGACTTGTTAAGCACATTTTTACTCCTGAACTTATTTAGGCTTGCCTAAAAACATAATTCCACTTTGACATTATGGGGTATTGTGTGTAGGCCAGTGACACAAAATCTCAATTTAATCCATTTTAAATTCAGGCAAAACAACAAAATGTGGAAAAAGTCAAGGGGTGTGAATCATTTCTGAAGTATCTAGGTCAGAATGATTCCCTGTGAAACCAGATAATGACCGGTTGTCCTCCCTCGTAACTTTGCTGCTGTAACAGTTTTCTGTTCTCTTTGAATGACTTATTTTGGACTGAATGACTCCCTAAACCAGATATTTTATTTCTCATCTGTAGTCTAGTCAGTCCTCCTCTGCTTTAAGAGTCCTCTGATCCATCCTCTGCTGCCGTAACAGTTTTCTATTGAGCTTGATGACCAGGGGACAGAAGGGGACAGGTCCTATAAAGTCTCCTGCTATGATGTTGAGGCTGTTAGGGTGTGGTCCGGGGACCTGTTCCTCCAGCCACGCCTTGAGCTCCTTCCAGTTAGCCAGGGTTAGGGTCTGCAGGGACTGACAGGGGTGCAGCGCGATGTAGGAGCGATCAGCCGTCAGGTTCAGACCAGACACAAAGAAACCATCTGAACAAAACAAAACATGGATTAAGTCTACACCCTATTCAATCCGTATCACGGAAGTTCAGCGTTACGGCGTGATTGACATTTAAAGCTGAGGTTCCTGTGTTAGTGGAGACTGCATTAGCAGTAACGCTAGAGCCAGAGTCTCCGAAAACACTAAACTTCACATTTATCAAATCAAATGTATTTTATCTTAAAATTAAAGCTAAAAAAATAATAATAATAGGGATTAAAGCCAGATTCAACCAGATCATTAACCGGCGGTAGCTGATGTTTTGGCGGTGTCGGAAGTGTAACTGCGTTGGGATCTGTCAAATCGGTGAGCAGCTGCTCTTGATCATTGTCACGAAGCCACACCCACCCCACTCTCGTTAGAAGTTCAGAAGGAGGAAGTGTAGGCTATATAGAAATAATTGCGCTCAAATTGAAAAATCATTAAACAAAATGAGGATTTCTAGCATCCTAATGGAGGTGTAGAATACATCTCACATTACAGTGTTCCAACTGGTTAACAAGGCCGCATGGGATTTCAGTTAATGTGACTCCGTGCAGCCAATGGCAACGTCCGCTTTAGGTATAACGCCAGGAGCCGCTTGGGGATTGGACAGCTCTAAGGCAGTTCCACCTCCGACACCGTCAGAACATCAGCTATGTAGATTTCAGCTAAAGCGGATCATATTGAATAGAGCCCCTATTTGTTTTACCATTACATCACTGGTTATACCTCAACTGTTTATTTTTACCATTACATCTATGTCACTCCAAGATGGCAGCCAATCAGTCTGTCCGTTTGTATGTCTGATCCTTGACATCTGAGTTAAGAGTTTTTGTTTTAATGACCCTGATCCTGTCTACAGAAGCAAACACTTTTGATGTGAAGGTGGATGCTGTATATAACAACTATTATTTTTAGATCTCCGTCTCTATTTTACGAAATTTGCTTGTACAAATATTTCTGATTGAGAAGGCCTTTGTTTTTCTGCCTCGGGCCGGTCGTGAACTGTAGCCTACAACTTTTTGGAGTTGGAGCGTGCCGAGTCAGGAGCGTCTATCTGCGCGCAAGGCCTGCTATGCGAGCGCAGGTGCTGAAGGCTAGGAGCAGAGAAGCGGTTGCCAGATTGGAAAACCTGATAAGGCTGTGGGAAAATCTACGTCGTCGTACACAACGTCTACTGGTCGTCACCTGTGCTGAAAGACCTCTAAAAACCAGCATTATGTATCTGTTACTGTGCCTGCTCTTTACTCAATGCCGCCCTGGATTAAATAGGCTGAATGATCAATGGGTGAGTGAATTATCTTCGCCTTTATACAATTTGCAAACACTCCTACAACATCATGTCATTACCACCAGGAACTTGGTCTCTCTCTGCAGCTGCATTTGTACCTCTCTCAAACTACTACACCTGATGGTTTGACTTTCAAAGTCTTGAATGACTTTCTTTCTGTGTCGAAAGACTCCGCTCGTTTTATTGACAATGGTGCTGGCTCCGCCAAGTCAAAATTAAATTAAATAAAATTGTATTTGTAACATGCACCGAATACAACAGGTGTAGACCTTACCGTGAAATGCTTTCTTACAAGCACTTAACCAGCAATGCAGTTCAAGAAATAGTTAAGAAAATATTTACTAAATAAACCAAAGTAAAAAATAAAATAGAAAGTAACAAAATAATGAGGCTATGTACAGGGGGTACCGAGTCAATGTGCAGGGGTACAGGTTAGTCGAGGTAATTTGTACATGTAGGTAGGGGTAAAGTGACTATACATAGATAATAAACAGAGAGTGGGGGGGGGGGTCAATGTAAATAGTCTGGGTGGCCATTTTATTAATTGTTCAGCAGTCTTATGGCTTCGGGGTAGAAGCTGTTAAGGAGCCTTTTGGACCTAGACTTGGCGCTCCGGTATCGCTTGCCGTGCGGTAGCAGAGAGAACAGTCTATGACTTGGGTGACTGGAGTCTTTGACAATTTTTAGGGCCTTCCTCTGACACCGCCTGGTATAGAGGTCCTGGATGGCAGGAAGCTTGGCCCCAGTGATGTACTGGGCCGTACGCACTACCCTCTGTAGTGCCTTGCAGTCGGAGGCCGAGCAGTTGCCATACCAGGCGGTGATGTAACCAGTCAGGATGCTCTTGATGGTGCAGCTGTAGAACGTTTTGAGGATCTGGAGAACCATGCCAAATCTTTTCAGTCTCCTGAGGGGGAATAGGTTTTGTCGTGCCTTCTTCACGACTGTCTTGGTGTGTTTGGACCATGATAGTTTGTTGGTGATGTGGACACCAAGGTACTTGAAACTCTCGACCCGCTCCACTACAGCCCCGTCGATGTTAATGGGGGCGTGTTCGGCCTTCCTTTTCCTGTAGTTCACGATCAGCTACTTTGTCTTGCTCACATTGAGGGAGAGGTTGTTGTCCTGGCACCACTCTGCCAGGTCTCTGACCTCCTCCCTATAGGCTGTCTCATCGTTGTCGGTGATCAGGCCTACCACTGTTGTGTCGTCAGCAAACTTAATGATGGTGTTGGAGTCGTGCTTGGCCACGCAGTCGTGGAGGGGAGAGGACTGAGCACGCACCCCTGAGGGGCCCCCGTGTTGAGGATCAGCATGGCGGATGTGTTGTTACCTACCCTTACCACCTGGGGGCGGCCCGTCAGGAAGTCCAGGATCCAGTTGCAGAGGGAGGTGTTTAGTCCTAGGGTCCTTAGCTTAGTGATGAGCTTAGAGGGCACTATGGTGTTGAACGCTGAGCTGTAGTCAATGAATAACATTCTCACATAGGTGTTCCTCTTGTCCAGGTGGGAAAGGGCAGTGTGGAGTGCGATTGAGATTGCGTCATCTGTGGATCTGTTGGGGCGGTATGCGAATTGGAGTGGGTCTAGGGTTTCCGGGATGATGGTGATCTGAACAATTCCGTATTGAGCGAGTCACTGGTGCTTCCTGCTTTAGTTTTTGCTTATAAGCAGGAATCAGGAGGATAGAATTATGGTCAGATTTGCCAAATGGAGGGCGAGGGAGAGCTTTGTATGCGTCTCTGTGTGTGGAGTAAAGGTGGTCTAGAATTTATTTTCCTCTGGTTGCACGTCACACGCTGGTAGAAATTATGTAAAACGGATTTAAGTTTGCCTGCATTAAAGTCCCCGGCGACTAGGAGCGCCGCTTCTGGATGAGCATTTTCTTGTTTGCTTATGGCCTTATACAGCTCGTTGAATGCGGTCTTAGTGCCAGCATTTGATCTGGTGTGCATCCCAAATGGCACCCTATTTCCTATATAGTGCACTACTTTTTACCATTGCCCAGCCCTGTTTTTCAGTTGGTACAGTGTTATAACTAGGGCGATACAAGCGTTTTAACCACAGATACGGGATATCTAATGGAAAAACATGGTAGGTGTTTTTCTAACCTTGTGGTAACCATTTTTAACATGTGGGTTTGTGCTCCATACTGTATATGCTATGCAGATGTCGGCTAAAGCGGATCTCATTGAATAGAGCCCTAAATGTCATTTAAAAAATCATACTGATAAACACAACCTTTAAAAAAATGAAGATGTGTTGTTTGCATATGTCTTCACACCCCAGAGGAAATACTTGGTGGAAGCATCTTTGGCAGCCATTAAAAAAAATTAAAATAATGTATGCTCTGGATAAGAGCGTCTGCTAAATGACTAAAATGTAAAATGCATTACAGATGAGAATTATTTTAAATAAGATTCTACCAACACAACTCTTAGGGCAACATACTGTCTATCCATAGTTTTTTGTCAGAATTGCTCAGTAGATCTGATCAGGAGATATTGATGGACAGCAATATTCAAACCATTCAGCAACATTTACCACCTCTTGGAAAACCATTCTGGTGTCTTTGGCATACATTTTCTTGTAATTGTCCTGCTGAAAAATGCAACTATATTCCAGGGTTAGGTTTACAGAAGACTACGGTGGGTTTTCATTTAAGTTTTTACCTGGGCTTTGCTCCTTTTCATATTTATCTTGCTCCTGAAACTCCCCAGTCCTGCCGGTGACAAGCATACCCATAACATGATGCTGAAACCACAAAACTTGAGTTGTGCAGTTGGTAGAATCTTATTCAAAAAGATTCACAGCTGTAATGGCTGCCAAAGGTTCTTCCACCAAGTATTATCTCTTGGATTGAGAAGACATACGCTATTAAGACATCTTCATTTTTTATTCATTTGGAAAAATATCTAGTAGGTTGTGTAGATCTGTAGGAAATAAATTAATGTAATAATTTTTTGGGATTGAATTCTAAGCCAGCAAAATGTGAAGACTGTGCACTGTAACATGTCTGAACCTCAACCTCAAAGTCATTTAGTACTTTTACATTTACATTTTAGTCATTTAGCAGACGCTCTTATCCAGAGCGACTTACATATATATTTTTTTTATACTGGCCCCCCGTGGGAATCAAACCCACAACCCTGGCGTTGCAAACGCCATGCTCTATCAACTGAGCTACATCCCTGCCGGCCATTCCCTCCCCTACCCTGGACGACGCTGGGCCAATTGTGCGCCGCCCATGAGTCTCCCGGTCGCGGCCGGCTGCGACAGAGCCTGGATTCGAACCAGGATCTCTAGTGGCACAGTTAGCACTGCGATGCAGTGCCTTAGACCACTGCGCCACTCAGGAGCACAGTCATAGTCATAGTCTAGGGCTTTTCCCATACCTGGGCGTCCCATATCTTTCTGCCAGTCCAGATAGCTGACCACCCCGCTGGACGTGTTTTGGTTGGCCCACCAGTAAGGTATCGCTGGCCACAGAGCCTGGTGTCGTGCTGCTGACTGGTCATCATACGACAGCAGCACCTGGTAACCCATCGCCCACAGACCACGCAGGGTCACCACTGACCCCTGGAGGGAGAGACATAAGGACAGGACCTCTGTTATAGGCTGTGTCCCATTTGGCACCCTATAGCACACTACTTCAGCCCTGGGCAGAGAAAGGATAGCATCCTAGTGATATGTGTAGGTAGTATTGGGCAGCTAGTGATATGTGTAGGTAGTACTGGGCAGCTAGTGATATGTGTAGGTAGTATTGGGCAGCTAGTGATATGTGTAGGTAGTATTGGGCAGCTAGTGATATGTGTAGGTAGTATTGGGCAGCTAGTGAATATGTGTAGGTAGTATTGGGCAGCTAGTGATATGTGTAGGTAGTATTGGCAGCTAGTGATATGTGTAGGTAGTATGGGCAGCTAGTGATATGTGTAGGTAGTAACTGGGCAGCTAGTGATATGTGTAGGTAGTATCTGGGCAGCTAGTGATAGTGTAGGTAGTATTGGGCGCTATGATATGTGTAGGTAGTACTGGGCAGCTAGTGATATGTGTAGGTAGTATTGGGCAGCTAGTGATATGTGTAGGTAGTACTGGGCAGCTAGTGATATGTGTAGGTAGTATTGGGCAGCTAGTGATATGTGTAGGTAGTATTGGGCAGCTAGTGATATGTGTAGGTAGTACTGGGCAGCTAGTGATATGTGTAGGTAGTATTGGGCAGCTAGTGATATGTGTAGGTAGTACTGGGCAGCTAGTGATATGTGTGGGTAGTATGGGCAGCTAGTGATATGTGTAGGTAGTACTGGGCAGCTAGTGATATGTGTAGGTAGTACTGGGCAGCTAGTGATATGTGTAGGTAGTATTGGGCAGCTAGTGATATGTGTAGGTAGTACTGGGCAGCTAGTGATATGTGTAGGTATACTGGGCAGCTAGTGATATTTGTAGGTAGTATGGGCAGCTAGTGATATGTGTAGGTAGTATGGGCAGCTAGTGATATGTGTGGTAGTATGGGCAGCTAGTGATATGTGTAGGTAGTACTGGGCAGCTAGTGATAGGTGTAGGTATATGGGCAGCTAGTGATATGTGTAGGTAGTATGGGCAGCTAGTGATATGTGTAGGTAGTACTGGGCAGCTAGTGATATGTGTAGGTAGTACTGGGCAGCTAGTGATATGTGTAGTAGTACTGGGCAGCTAGTGATATGTGTAGGTAGTACTGGGCAGCTAGTGATATGTGTAGGTAGTACTGGGCAGCTAGTGATATGTGTAGGTAGTACTGGGCAGCTAGTGATATGTGTAGGTAGTATTGGGCAGCTAGTGATATGTGTAGGTAGTATTGGGCAGCTAGTGATATGTGTAGGTAGTATTGGGCAGCTAGTGATATGTGTAGGTAGTACTGGGCAGCTAGTGATATGTGTAGGTAGTACTGGGCAGCTAGTGATATGTGTAGGTAGTATGGGCAGCTAGTGATATGTGTAGGTAGTATGGCAGCTAGTGATATGTGTAGGTAGTACTGGGCAGCTAGTGATATGTGTAGGTAGTATGGGCAGCTAGTGATATGTGTAGGTAGTACTGGGCAGCTAGTGATATGTGTAGGTAGTATTGGGCAGCTAGTGATATGTGTAGGTAGTATGGGCAGCTAGTGATATGTGTAGGTAGTATGGGCAGCTAGTGATATGTGTAGGTAGTATTGGGCAGCTAGTGATATGTGTAGGTAGTATTGGGCAGCTAGTGATATGTGTAGGTAGTATTGGGCAGCTAGTGATATGTGTAGGTAGTATTGGGCAGCTAGTGATATGTGTAGGTAGTATTGGGCAGCTAGTGATATTGGTAGGTAGTATTGGGCAGCTAGTGATATGTGTAGGTAGTATGGGCAGCTAGTGATATGTGTAGGTAGTATTGGGCAGCTAGTGATATGTGTAGGTAGTATTGGGCAGCTAGTGATATGTGTAGGTAGTATTGGGCAGCTAGTGATATGTGTAGGTAGTATTGGGCAGCTAGTGATATGTGTAGGTAGTATTGGGCAGCTAGTGATATGTGTAGGTAGTATGGGCAGCTAGTGATATGTGTAGGTAGTATTGGGCAGCTAGTGATATGTGTAGGTAGTATTGGGCAGCTATGTGATATGTGGTAGGTAGTACTGGGCAGCTAGTGATATGTGTAGGTAGTATTGGGCAGCTAGTGATATTGTAGGTAGTATTGGGCAGCTAGTGATATGTGTAGGTAGTATTGGGAGCTAGTGATATGTGTAGGTAGTATTGGGCAGCTAGTGATATGTGTAGGTAGTATGGGCAGCTAGTGATATGTGTAGGTAGTATGGGCAGCTAGTGTATGTATGCTAGGTAGTATCTGGGCAGCTAGTGATATGTGTAGGTAGTATTGGGCAGCTAGTGATATGTGTAGGTAGTACTGGGCAGCTAGTGATATGTGTAGGTAGTATGGGCAGCTAGTGATATGTGTAGGTAGTATTGGGCAGCTAGTGATATGTGTAGGTAGTACTGGGCAGCTAGTGATATGTGTAGGTAGTACTGGGCAGCTAGTGATATTTGTAGGTAGTATTGGGCAGCTAGTGATATGTGTAGGTAGTATTGGGCAGCTATGATATGTGTAGGAAGTACTGGGCAGCTAGTGATATGTGTAGGTAGTACTGGGCAGCTAGTGATATGTGTAGGTAGTATTGGGCAGCTAGTGATATGTGTAGGTAGTATTGGGCAGCTAGTGATATGTGTAGGTAGTATTGGGCAGCTAGTGATATGTAGGTAGTATTGGGCAGCTAGTGATATGTGTAGGTATACTGGGCAGCTAGTGATATGTGTAGGTAATACTGGGCAGCTAGTGATATGTGTAGGTAATACTGGGCAGCTAGTGATATGTGTAGTAGTACTGGGCAGCTAGTGATATTGTAGGTAGTACTGGGCAGCTAGTGATATGTGTAGGTAGTATTGGGCAGCTAGTGTATGTGTAGGTAGTATTGGGGCAGCTAGTGATATGTGTAGGTATATTGGGCAGCTAGTGATATGTGTAGGTAATACTGGGGCAGCTAGTGATTGTGTAGGTAATACTTGGGCAGCTAGTGATATGTGTAGGTAGTACTGGGCAGCTAGTGATATGTTAGGTAGTAACTCCTGGGCAGCTAGTGATTAGTGTTAGGTAGTACTGGGCAGCTAGTGATATGTGTAGGTAAGTACTGGGCAGCTAGTGATATGTTGTAGGTAGTACTGGGAGCTAGTTGGATATGTGTAGGTAGTACTGGGAAGCTAAGTGATATGTGTAGGTCGTAATTGGGCAGCTAGTGGATATGTGTAGGTAGTACTGGCAGCTAGTGATATTGTAGGTAGTACGGGGCATCTATGATTGTGTAGGTAGATTGGGCAGCTAGTGATATGTGTAGGTAGTATTGGGCACTATGATCTTGAGTGATATGTGTAGGTAGTATTGGCAGGCTAGTGCTATGTGGTAGGTAGTATTGGGCAGCTAGTGATATGGTTTAGGTAGTATTGGGCAGCTAGTGATATGTGTAGGTAGTAATTGGGCCAGAGCTAGTGAATATGTGTAGGTAGTATGGGCAGCTAGTGATATGTTGTAGGTTAGTACTTGGGCAGCTAGTGATATGTGTAGGTAGTACTCTGGGCAGCTAGGATATGTTGTATGGTAGTATTGGGCAGATAGTGATATGTGTAGGTAGTATTGGGCAGCTAGTGATATGTGTTAGGTATTATTGGGGCCAGACCAGTGATCGTGTATGGTAGTATTGGGCAGCTAGTAGATATGTGTAGGTAGTATTGGGCAGGCTAGTGATATGTGTAGGTAGTACTCGGGCAGGCTAGTGATATGTGTATGTAGTATTGGGCAGCTAGTGATATTGTAGGTAAGTATTTGGGGCAGCTAGTGATATGTGTAGGGAGTAGAGTATTGGGCAGCTAAGGATATGTGTAGGTTGGCAAGCTAGTGATATGTGTAGGTAGTAGTATGGGCAGCTAGTGATTATGTGTAGGTAGTATTGGGCAGCTAGTGATATGTGTAGGTAGTACTGGGCAGCTAGTGATATGTGTAGGTATATTGGGCAGCTAGTGATATGTGTAGGTAGTATTGGGCAGCTAGTGATATGTGTAGGTAGTATTGGGCAGCTAGTGATATGTGTAGGTAGTATTGGGCAGCTAGTGATATGTGTAGGTAGTATTGGGCAGCTAGTGATATGTGTAGGTAGTATGGGCAGCTAGTGATATGTGTAGGTAGTATTGGGCAGCTAGTGATATGTGTAGGTAGTATTGGGCAGCTAGTGATATGTGTAGGTAGTACTGGGCAGCTAGTGATATGTGTAGGTAGTATTGGGCAGCTAGTGATATATGTAGGTAGTATTGGGCAGCTAGTGATATGTGTAGGTAGTATTGGGGCAGCTAGTGATATGTGTAGGTAGTAGTATTGGGCAGCTAGTGATATGTGTAGGTAGTACTTGGGCAGCTAGTGATATGTGTAGGTAGTATTGGGCAGCTAGTGATATGTGTAGGTAGTAGGGCAGCTAGTGATATGTGTAGGTAGTGTTGGGCAGCTAGTGATATGTGTAGGTAGTACTGGGCAGCTAGTGATATGTGTAGGTAGTATTGGGCAGCTAGTGATATGTGTAGGTAGTATTGGGCAGCTAGTGATATGTGTAGGTAGTATTGGGCAGCTAGTGATATGTGTAGGTAGTATTGGGCAGCTAGTGATATGTGTAGGTAGTATTGGGCAGCTAGTGATATGTGTAGGTAGTATGGGCAGCTAGTGATATGTGTAGGTAGTATTGGGCAGCTAGTGATATGTGTAGGTAGTATTGGGCAGCTAGTGATATGTGTAGGTAGTATTGGGCAGCTAGTGATATGTGTAGGTAGTATTGGGCAGCTAGTGATATGTGTAGGTAGTATTGGGCAGCTAGTGATATGTGTAGGTAGTATTGGGCAGCTAGTGATATGTGTAGGTAGTATTGGGCAGCTAGTGATATGTGTAGGTAGTATTGGGCAGCTAGTGATATGTGTAGGTAGTATTGGGGCAGCTAGTGATATGTGTAGGTAAGTATTGGGCAGCTAGTGATATGTGTAGGTAGTATTGGGCAGCTAGTGATATGTGTAGGTAGTATTGGGCAGCTAGTGATATGTGTAGGTAGTACTGGGCAGCTAGTGATATGTGTAGGTAGTATTGGGCAGCTAGTGATATGTGTAGGTAGTACTGGGCAGCTAGTGATATGTGTAGGTAGTATTGGGCAGCTAGTGGATATGTGTAGGTAGTACTGGGCAGCTAGTGATATGTGTAGGTAGTATTGGGCAGCTAGTGATATGTGTAGGTAGTATTGGGCAGCTAGTGATATGTGTAGGTAGTATTGGGCAGCTAGTGATATGTGTAGGTAGTATTGGGCAGCTAGTGATATGTGTAGGTAGTATTGGGCAGCTAGTGATATGTGTAGGTAGTATTGGGCCAGCTAGTGATATGTTGTAGGTAGTATTGGGCAGCTAGTGATATGTGTAGGTAGTATTGGGCAGCTAGTGATATGTGTAGGTAGTACTGGGCAGCTAGTGATATGTGTAGGTAGTATTGGGCAGCTAGTGATATGTGTAGGTAGTATTGGGCAGCTAGTGATATGTGTAGGTAGTATTGGGCAGCTAGTGATATGTGTAGGTAGTACTGGGCAGCTAGTGATATGTGTAGGTAGTATTGGGCAGCTAGTGATATGTGTAGGTAGTATTGGGCAGCTAGTGATATGTGTAGGTAGTATTGGGCAGCTAGTGATATGTGTAGGTAGTATTGGGCAGCTAGTGATATGTGTAGGTAGTACTGGGCAGCTAGTGATATGTGTAGGTAGTACTGGGCAGCTAGTGATATGTGTAGGTAGTACTGGGCAGCTAGTGATATGTGTAGGTAGTATTGGGCAGCTAGTGATATGTGTAGGTAGTATTGGGCAGCTAGTGATATGTGTAGGTATTATTGGGCAGCTAGTGATATGTGTAGGTAATACTGGGCAGCTAGTGATATGTGTAGGTAGTATTGGGCAGCTAGTGATATGTGTAGGTAGTATTGGGAAGCTAGTGATATGTGTAGGTAATACTGGGCAGCTAGTGATATGTGTAGGTAATACTGGGCAGCTAGTGATATGTGTAGGTAGTATTGGGCAGCTAGTGATATGTGTAGGTAATACTGGGCAGCTAGTGATATGTGTAGGTAGTACTGGGCAGCTAGTGATATGTGTAGGTAGTACTGGGCAGCTAGTGATATGTGTAGGTAGTATTGGGCAGCTAGTGATATGTGTAGGTAGTATTGGGCAGCTAGTGATATGTGTAGGTAGTATTGGGCAGCTAGTGATATGTGTAGGTAGTATTGGGCAGCTAGTGATATGTGTAGGTAGTATTGGGCAGCTAGTGATATGTGTAGGTAGTATTGGGCAGCTAGTGATATGTGTAGGTAGTACTGGGCAGCTAGTGATATGTGTAGGTAGTATTGGGCAGCTAGTGATATGTGTAGGTAGTTCTGGGCAGCTAGTGATATGTGTAGGTAGTATTGGGCAGCTAGTGATATGTGTAGGTAGTATTGGGCAGCTAGTGATATGTGTAGGTAGTATTGGGCAGCTAGTGATATGTGTAGGTAGTATTGGGCAGCTAGTGATATGTGTAGGTAATACTGGGCAGCTAGTGATATGTGTAGGTAGTATTGGGCAGCTAGTGATATGTGTAGGTAGTATTGGGCAGCTAGTGATATGTGTATGTAGTATTGGGCAGCTAGTGATATGTGTAGGTAGTATTGGGCAGCTAGTGATATGTGTAGGTAGTATTGGGCAGCTAGTGATATGTGTAGGTAGTATTGGGCAGCTAGTGATATGTGTAGGTAATACTGGGCAGCTAGTGATATGTGTAGGTAGTATTGGGCAGCTAGTGATATGTGTAGGTAGTATTGGGCAGCTAGTGATATGTGTATGTAGTATTGGGCAGCTAGTGATATGTGTAGGTAGTATTGGGCAGCTAGTGATATGTGTAGGTAGTATTGGGCAGCTAGTGAAGCCTTCTCTCATGCTGAACATTAACATTAACTTCATTTACTGAAGAAATACAGTATTTTCAATAAAGCAATCCAATTCTATAGAGACCTACTGGTAATTATTAGCAAAAATGTTGTAACTGCATCAGTCTTTTCAGCTATTGACTACAGTAATAGAAATAACGAAGCTTACCTTGCAAGGACAGAGTTTAGACCCAAAGATTTTCTTCAGTGAGAAAATGAAATGTTCATGTAGTTTTTCGTCGAGTCCTTCAAAGTGACTGCATGCTAGGATGACAACCTCCTTGGAGTGGGACTCCAGCCACAAGACTACGGCCCTCAGAGTTTCCTGTACAGCCACCAGACAGGAAATACTACATATATGAGAAATGATCCTCCCAATATTGCGTATTCTTTTTAGAGAGATCTTCTCTCTTCTGTTTCTACTTGGTCTTTGGGGTTTTTATTTTATTTATTTATTTATTTATTTCACCTTTATTTAACCAGGTAAGCCAGTTGAGAACAAGTTCTCATTTACAACTGCGACCTGGCCAAGATAAAGCAAAGCAGTGCGATAAAAACAACAACACAGAGTTACATATGGGGTAAAACAAAACATACAGTCAATAACACAATAGAAAATCTATATACAGTGTGTGCAAATGTAGTAAGTTATGGAGGTAAGGCAATAAATAGGCCATAGTGCAAAATAATTACAATTTAGTATTAACACTGGAATGATAGATGTGCAGAAAATGATGTGCAAATAGAGATACTGGGGTGCAAATTAGCAAAATAAATAACAATATGGGGATGAGGTAGTTGGGTGGGCTAATTTCAGATGGGCTGTGTACAGGTGCAGTGATCGGTAAGCTGCTCTGACAACTGATGCTTAAAGTTAGTGAGGGAGATAAGAGTCTCCAGCTTCAAAGATTTAGGCTGGGTTCCTATAAAGCACTTTGTTTAGACTGGTTTCCTATAAAGCACTTTGTTTAGGCTGGTTTCCTATAAAGCACTTTGTTTAGACTGGTTTCCTATAAAGCACTTTGTTTAGGCTGGTTTCCTATAAAGCACTTTGTTTAGACTGGTTTCCTATAAAGCACTTTGTTTAGACTGGTTTCCTATAAAGCTCTTTGTTTAGGCTGGTTTCCTATAAAGCACTTTGTTTAGGCTGGTTTCCTATAAAGCACTTTGTTTAGACTGGTTTCCTATAAAGCACTTTGTTTAGACTGGTTTCCTATAAAGCTCTTTGTTTAGGCTGGTTTCCTATAAAGCACTTTGTTTAGGCTGGTTTCCTATAAAGCACTTTGTTTAGACTGGTTTCCTATAAAGCACTTTGTTTAGGCTGGTTTCCTATAAAGCACTTTGTTTAGGCTGGTTTCCTATAAAGCACTTTGTTTAGGCTGGTTTCCTATAAAGCACTTTGTTTAGGCTGGTTTCCTATAAAGCACTTTGTTTAGGCTGGTTTCCTATAAAGCACTTTGTTTAGGCTGGTTTCCTATAAAGCACTTTGTTTAGGCTGGTTTCCTATAAAGCACTTTGTTTAGGCTGGTTTCCTATAAAGCACTTTGTTTAGGCTGGTTTCCTATAAAGCACTTTGTTTAGGCTGGTTTCCTATAAAGCACTTTGTTTAGGCTGGTTTCCTATAAAGCACTTTGTTTAGGCTGGTTTCCTATAAAGCACTTTGTTTAGGCTGGTTTCCTATAAAGCACTTTGTTTAGGCTGGTTTCCTATAAAGCACTTTGTTTAGGCTGGTTTCCTATAAAGCACTTTGTTTAGGCTGGTTTCCTATAAAGCACTTTGTTTAGACTGGTTTCCTATAAAGCACTTTGTTTAGGCTGGTTTCCTATAAAGCACTTTGTTTAGACTGGTTTCCTATAAAGCACTTTGTTTAGGCTGGTTTCCTATAAAGCACTTTGTTTAGGCTGGTTTCCTATAAAGCACTTTGTTTAGGCTGGTTTCCTATAAAGCACTTTGTTTAGGCTGGTTTCCTATAAAGCACTTTGTTTAGGCTGGTTTCCTATAAAGCACTTTGTTTAGGCTGGTTTCCTATAAAGCACTTTGTTTAGGCTGGTTTCCTATAAAGCACTTTGTTTAGGCTGGTTTCCTATAAAGCACTTTGTTTAGGCTGGTTTCCTATAAAGCACTTTGTTTAGACTGGTTTCCTATAAAGCACTTTGTTTAGGCTGGTTTCCTATAAAGCACTTTGTTTAGGCTGGTTTCCTATAAAGCAGGTAGACCTAGTATTCCTTCTACTCACCATCACTGTCAGATGAGTGTAAATGACGTGTGTAAAATACAGTTCGTTGGACGGGTCGTACGGTTTGTGGGCGATTCTGAGGTCGAAGTATCGAATCCCCTTTGAAAGCTGCTCCACAATATCTTTCTCCTGTTTGAAGGGAAAAAAGAAAACACATTATTTTATGGCAGGAAGAAAGACAAAACGTAGTATTTAAACTGAATTCAGTTTTCTCCGTTTTCTTTTTCTTGGTTTAGGATTTGTTTCTGTTTTTTACTCTCAATAGTACAATTATTCATATAGAAACAACGACAATTGATGTTCTGACTCCATTTCAACGCTTAAATCACACCATAAGACCATTTTTTTGGTCTGGGAAAAAAAACTAAAATTTTGATTTTTTTGTGTAATTCCCCTTTAATTGTGCATCTTGCAAGAGAGGAGAGAGTGTTGGTCTGGAGAGGAGAGTGTTGGTCTGGAGAGGAGAGTGTTGGTCTGGAGAGGAGAGTGTTGGTCTGGAGAGGAGAGAGTGTTGGAGAGTGCTGGAGAGGAGAGAGTGTTGGAGAGTGCTGGAGAGGAGAGAGTGTTGGTCTGAAGAGGAGAGAGTTGGTCTGGAGAGGAGAGAGTTGGTCTGGAGAGGAGAGAGTTGGTCTGGAGAGGAGAGTGTTGGTCTGGAGAGGAGAGTGTTGGTCTGGAGAGGAGAGAGTTGGTCTGGAGAGGAGAGTGTTGGTCTGGAGAGGAGAGTGTTGGTCTGGAGAGGAGAGTGTTGGTCTGGAGAGGAGAGATTGTTGGTCTGGAGAGGAGAGAGTGTTGGTCTGGAGAGGAGAGAGTGTTGGTCTGGAGAGGGAGAGTGTGTTGGTCTGGAGAGGAGAGAGTTTTGGTCTAGAGAGGAGAGAGTTTTGGTCTGGAGAGGAGAGAGTGTTGGTCTGGAGAGGAGAGGGTTGGTCTGGAGAGGAGAGTGTTGGTCTGGAGAGGAGAGAGTTGGTCTGAAGAGGAGAGAGTGTTGGTCTGGAGAGGAGAGTGTTGGTCAGGAGAGGAGAGTGTTGGTCAGGAGAGGAGAGTGTGTTGGGGAGTTTTGGAGAGGAGAGAGTGTTGGAGAGTGCTGGAGAGGAGAGAGTGTTGGTCTGAAGAGGAGAGAGTTGGTCTGGAGAGGAGAGAGTTGGTCTGGAGAGGAGAGTGTTGGTCTGGAGAGGAGAGAGTGTTGGTCTGGAGAGGAGAGAGTTGGTCTGGAGGGGAGAGAGTTGGTCTGGAGAGGGAGAGTGTGTTGGTCTGGAGAGGAGAGAGTTGGTCTGGAGAGGAGAGAGTGTTGGTCTGGAGAGGAGAGAGTGTTGGTCTGGAGAGGGAGAGTGTGTTGGTCTGGAGAGGAGAGAGTTTTGGTCTGGAGAGGAAAGAGTTTTGGTCTGGAGAGGAGAGAGTAGATCTGGAGAGGAGAGTGTTGGTCTGGAGAGGAGCGAGTTGGTCTGGAGAGGAGCGAGTTGGTCTGGAGAGGAGAGAGTTGGTCTGGAGAGGAGAGGAGAGAGTTGGTCTGGAGAGGAGAGAGTTAGTCTGGAGAGGAGAGAGTTGGTCTGGAGAGGAGAGAGTGTTGGTCTGGAGAGGAGAGAGTTGGTCTGGAGAGGAGAGAGTGTTGGTCTGGAGAGGAGAGAGAGTTGGTCTGGAGAGGAGAGAGTGTTGGTCTGGAGAGGAGAGAGTGTTGGTCTGGAGAGGAGAGAGTGTTGGTCTGAAGAGGAGAGAGTTGGTCTGGAGAGGAGAGTGTTGGTCTGGAGAGGAGAGAGTTGGTCTGGAGAGGAGAGAGTGTTGGTCTGGAGAGGAGAGAGTGTTGGTCTGGAGAGGGAGAGTGTGTTGGTCTGGAGAGGAGAGAGTTTTGGTCTGGAGAGGAAAGAGTTTTGGTCTGGAGAGGAGAGAGTAGATCTGGAGAGGAGAGTGTTGGTCTGGAGAGGAGCTTGTTGGTCTGGAGAGGAGCGAGTTGGTCTGGAGAGGAGAGAGTTGGTCTTGAGAGGAGAGGAGAGAGTTGGTCTGGAGAGGAGAGAGTTAGTCTGGAGAGGAGAGAGTTGGTCTGGAGAGGAGAGAGTGTTGGTCTGGAGAGGAGAGAGTTGGTCTGGAGAGGAGAGAGTGTTGGTCTGGAGAGGAGAGAGAGTTGGTCTGGAGAGGAGAGAGTGTTGGTCTGGAGAGGAGAGAGTGTTGGTCTGGAGAGGAGAGAGTGTTGGTCTGGAGAGGAGAGAGTGTTGGTCTGGAGAGGAGAGTGTGTTGGTCTGGAGAGGAGAGTGTGTTGGTCTGGAGAGGAGAGTGTTGGTCTGGAGAGGAGAGAGTTGGTCTGGAGAGGAGAGTGTGTTGGTCTGGAGAGGAGAGTGTGTTGGTCTAGCGATGTTTCTGCTGCTCAGACACCGGTAGGACTGCCGACAGTACTTAGCACCTCTGAACAGTGTGGGCAGTCAATCTCTTTTGTGTTCACACAGCAAAGACCTTGGAAGTCGTCAGCCACTCAGCCTTGTTAAAATACTCCAAACCAGAAGGTGGCAGTAGCGTTGTTTGGCAATGCATATCCGTGCGTATTACTTATGGTCTAGATTCCCAGCTATCTGCACTAATGTTGTTATTTGTAGAAAGCCCTTGTTGATATAAGCCAGATGGCCACAGCTAGTTAACTACCTAGCAAAATGACGAAGAAACAATTTAATTTACTCTCCATAATCCCATACTGCCAATGCCAGACCTTAGCTAAATGTTTAGCTAGCTAGCACAACAAAGCTAACTAGCTAAGGACACTGCACTAACTCGGCAACTAACACAGGCAGCTGTTTCATGGAAACTAGCTAATCCATTGTAATTTAATCATAATGCTAGCTTGGAGGAAGAATTCAGTGTGCATTTACAATCCCATAGTTTACATTGCATTTGAAGTGTGACTGGCTCATCCGTCGGTGTACGGACAAAATGCCCTCTTTGTCCCTTTTTTTTGTTGGCTCCCCCCACGTGGGGGTTCGTACTCTCTGATTGGCTCAAAGCCAAGTTGTTGGTCACTGATGAGCAGTAGAATCTGAAGGTTCGTCGCTACCGGGTCAGCATGCAGGAGGTACCAATGATCAAAGGGCCCCACCCCGGTCGGTAATTCGACCATGATTACTACAAGTTTAGATAGCTGGCTGCAATACTAACTTACCAATCAAAAATAAAATTACTGACATGGGCTAATTAAGTGACTGCAGATGCACAACCACATAACTCTCAACAGTAAATTGAGACCCCGACTGAGTTCCTAAAGAAAATGTTTATATATACACTGAATAAAAATATAAACGCAACATGTAAAGTGTTTGTCCAATGTTTCATGAGCTGAAATAAAAGAGCCCAGCAATGTTCCATACGCACAAAAAGCTTATTTCTCTCAAATGTTGTGCACACATTTGTTTACATCCCTGTTAGTGAGCATTTCTCCTTTGCCAAGATAATCCATCCACCTGACAGGTGTGGCATATCAAGAAGCTGATTAAACAGCATGATCATTACACAGGTGCACCTTGTGCTGGGGACAATAAAAGGCCACTCTAAAATGTGCAGTTTTGTCGCACAACACTATGCCACAGATGTCTCAAGTTTTCAGGGAGTGTGCATTTGGCATGCTGACTGCAGGAATGTCCACCAGAGCTGTTGCCAGAGACTTTAATGTTCATTTCTCTACCATAAGCTGCCTCCGTTGTTTTAGAGTATTTGGCAGGACGTCCAACTGGCCTCACAACCGCAGACCACATGTAACCACGCCAGCCCAGGACGACAGCGTGTTCCAGTTCCCGCCAATATCCAGCAACTTCGCACAGCCAGTGAAGAAGAGTGGGACAACATTCCACAGGCCACAACAGCCTGATCAACTCTATGCGAAGGAGACGTGTCCGTTGCATGAGGCAAATGGTGGTTACACCAGATACTGACTGGTTTTCTGATCCACGCCCCTACCTGGGGGCCATGCCAGTTGCCCATCCCTGGTGTAGATGAAGGAGAGGAGACAGGTTAAATAAGGATTTTTAAGCCTTGAGACATGGATTGTGTATGTGTGCCATTCAGAGGGTGAATGGGCAAGACAAAATATTTAAGTGCCTTTGAACGGGGTATGGTAGTAGGTGCCAGGCTCATCGGTTTGTGTCATGAACTGCAACACTGCTGGGTTTTTCACACTCAACAGTTTCCTGTGTGTATCAAGAATGGTCCACCACCCAAAGGACATCCAGCCAACTTGACACAACTGTGGGAAGCATTGGAGTCAACATGGGCCAGCATCCCTGTGGAACGCTTTTGACACCTTGACGAATTGAGGCTGTTCTGAAGGCAAAAGGAGGTGCAACTCAATATTAGGAAGGTGTTCTGAATGTTTGGTATCAAATCCTCTGTAGCTCAGCTGGTAGAGCACGGCGCTTGTAACGCCAAGGTAGTGGGTTCGATCCCCGGGACCACCCATACACAAAATAAATATATGTATGCACGCATCACTGTAAGTCGCTTTGGATAAAAGCGTCTGCTAAATGGCATATTTATTTATTTTTTATTTAAATCAAATGTTATTTGCCACATGCGCCGAATACAACAGGTGTAGACATTATAGTGAAATACTTCCTTACAAGCCCTTAACCAACAATGCAGTTTTAAGAAAAGAAAAAATAGACAAGTAAAAAATTGAAAATAGCAAATAATTAAAGAGCAGCAGTAAAATAAAATAACAGTAGGGAGGCTATATATACAGGGTACCGGTACAGAATCAATGTGCGGGGGCACCGGTTAGTCGAGGTAATTGAGGTAATATGTACATGTGGGTAGAGTTAAAGTGACTAGGCATAAATAATTAACAGAGTAGCAGCAGCGTAAAAGAGGGGGGTGGGGTGGGGGTGGGGGGGGCAATGCAAATAGTCTGGGTAGCCATGATTAGCTGTTCAGGAGTCTTATGGCTTGGGGGTAGAAGCTGTTAAGAAGCCTTTTGGACCTAGACTTGGCGCTCCGGTACCGCTTGCCGTGCGGTAGCAGAGAGAACAGTCTATGTCCTGGATGGCAGGAAGCTTGGCTCCAGTGATGTACTGGGCCGTACGCACTACCCTCTGTAGTGCCTTGCAGTCGGGGGCCGAGCAGTTGCCATACCAGGCGGTGATGCAACCAGTCAGGATGATCTCGATGGTGCAGCTGTATAACTTTTTGAGGATCTGAGGACCCATGCCAAATCTTTTCAGTCTCCTGAGGGGGAAAGGCTTTTTCGTGCCCTCTTCACGTCTTGGTGTGTTTGGACCATGATAGGTCCTTAGTGATGTGGACACCAAGAAACTTGAAGCTCTCAACCTGTTCCACTACAGCCCCGTCGATGTTAATGGGGGCGTGTTCGGCCTTCCTTTTCCTGTAGTCCACAATCATCTCCTTTGTCTTGGTCACGTTGAGGGAGAGGTTGTTATCCTGGCACCACTCTGCCAGGTCTCTGACCTCCTCCCTATAGGCTGTCTCATCGTTGTCGGTGATCAGGCCTACCACTGTTGTGTCGTCGGCAAACTTAATGATGGTGTTGGAGTCGTGCTGAGGATCAGCGTGACAGATGTGTTTTTACCTACCCTTACCACCTGGGGGCGGCCCATCAGGAAGTCCAGGATCCAGTTGCAGAGGGAGGTGTTTAGTCCCAGGGTCCTTAGCTTAGTGATGAGCTTTGTGGGCACTATGGTGTTGAATGTTGAGCTGTAGTCAATGAATAGCATTCTCACGTAGGTGTTCCTCTTGTCCAGGTGGCAAAGGGCAGTGTGGAGTGCAATAGAGATTGCATCATCTGTGGATCTGTTGGGGCGGCATGCAAATTGGAGTGGGTCTAGGGTTTCTGGGATAATGGTGTTGATGTGAGCCATGACCAGCCTTTCAAAGCACTTCATGGCTACAGACGTGAGTGTAGTCATTTAGGCAGGTTACCTTAGTGTCCTTGGGCACAGGGACTATGGTGGTCTGCTTGAAACATGTTGGTATTACAGACTCAGTCAGGGAGAGGTTGAAAATGTCAGTGAAGACACTTGCCATATCCTCAGTGTATATTGCCCTGTACAGCCCTACCTATGATTCTTGGGTCAATAAAATGGGATGAGTTTGCACAGTTGTGTTCTGTGAGTGTCACTGAGGTAGTTTCTAGATTCACCAATATACCAGATACATAGCCACAGGTTTACTGACATGGCGAGCAAAGTAATGGAGCATATACTGTATGTGTTTAGTGTTCCTACTCCATGACTGTCAGGACTAATGAAAACAAGATGTGCATTCGGAAAGTATTTTTTTTCATTAAATGCACTATGCATTATGTGGGTTGGATACTGTAATAACACATAATTAAACAATGAATACAAGTCCCATGATGGTAGTGACAGTCCATTACAGTGAAGACTGAAGAAACACACACAGGCACAGACACACATGATAACACACGTACAGTACACATGGATGTTGTGTTGTAGATATGTGGTAGTAGAGTAGTGGCCTGAGGGAACACACTTAATGTGTTGTAGATATGTGGTAGTGGAGTTATGTTATGAAATGTAATGTCATGTAATATTTTAAATTGTATATACCTGCCTTAATGATGCTGGACCCCAGGAAGAGTAGCTGCTACCTTGGCAGGAACTAATGGGGATCCATAATAAACCCCAGGAAGAGTAGCTGCTGCCTTGGCAGGATCTAATGGGGATCCATAATAAACCCCAGGAAGAGTAGCTGCTGCCTTGGCAGGAACTAATGGGGATCCATAATAAACCCCAGGAAGAGTAGCTGCTGCCTTGGCAGGAACTAATGGGGATCCATAATAAACCCCAGGAAGAGTAGCTGCTGCCTTGGCAGGAACTAATGGGGATCCATAATAAACCCCAGGAAGAGTAGCTGCTGCCTTGGTAGGAACTAATGGGGATCCATAATAAACCCCAGGAAGAGTAGCTGCTGCCTTGGCAGGAACTAATGGGGATCCATAATAAACCCCAGGAAGAGTAGCTGCTGCCTTGACAGGAACTAATGGGGATCCATAATAAACCCCAGGAAGAGTAGCTGCTGCCTTGACAGGAACTAATGGGGATCCATAATAAACCCCAGGAAGAGTAGCTACTGCCTTGGCAGGAACTAATGGGGATCCATAATAAACCCCAGGAAGAGTAGCTGCTGCCTTGGCAGGAACTAATGGGGATCCATAATAAACCCCAGGAAGAGTAGCTGCTGCCTTGACAGGAACTAATGGGGATCCATAATAAACCCCAGGAAGAGTAGCTGCTGCCTTGGCAGGAACTAATGGGGATCCATAATAAATACAAATCCTGCAGATCACTTATTAACCATCATTTATTCACTTTAATAAAATATTTCAGTTGTTGTGTAAATGACATTTGTTTTATTTGATGACTTTATTATTTTATTCAAAGTCATCTTCTCATCTCTATAGAGCTGCTGTCTGACTAAATCACTATTTTAGTAGTTCTTCAAAGTAAATAAGGCAGACTTTTCTGACTGCTGAATACCAACTATCAATCACTTAGAACATGTATTTTCTGGTAGAGATACATCGCCAAGCAGCAGCTGCTCTCTATATCCCCTCGCATTCTTCTCTCTTCCATAGCAGTCATAAAAGAAACACGGACCGGACAAGTAGATGCGCAATGGATTATGGTCCATTGTAGTTAATTACCACGTTTTATGGCTTAACTATGTAGAATATTGGCCTGTTGGAAACTACAACTCCATACTACATCTCACAGTTCAGGCTGGATCTGATTTATTTCTAGAGGAACCGTGCAATGTGGCATTGAGCTCACACAAAAAATTAGATTGAAATGGATTTCAAATTATTTAAAAATCGGTCAATTAGTTGTTTAAAAGACAAAAAATTACCAACATTTGGGTTAATCGCTCAGCACTACCCGCAACACACACCCTCCTCCCATCCCAACCACTGTCCCCTACGAAACACAAAAACGTTGCTTTTAGCAGCAGTGAGTCCCCAGCAGAGGGCTTTCTGCCATGCTCGCATTACAAAAGAAAAAGGAAATCCCTGCAACTCCTCCGGGAACCACGGGAGGGCCTCGTGAAAACCAGAGCAGGGACAGAGGGAGGGAAGGGCCGAAATGGAGGGAGTAGAGATGGAGAGAGAGAGAGAGAAGAGAGGGAAGGAGAGGGGGAGTGTGTGTGTGAGAGAGAGAGAGAGAGACAAGGAGGGTGAGAAAATCCCAAAACAACTGGCCATTCCACCTGGGCAGGAGAGTACAGTTTCTCTCTTGCCTGGTCTTAAGGAAGTCTTAAATTAGCAGAAGTCCAAATGATGTATGCATGGTTTACTGGACTCCTAGGCTTGAGAAGACAGACAGGCAGGCAGACTGTGTCACAGATACTTTAAGTTATAAACCACCGCGTGATAAGTTTGTCCAGCGAGAGGAAGTGAGTGATGTGAGAACGATGCCACCACAACTCTGTGGCAACCTACTCTCAGCCCTGTATGTCTCAACCAACCCCCATCTTAACTTTACCGTTTACCCTGTGGCACACGGTTCAACTTCTTGTGACTCCAACTCAACCTGTCATTCTAATCTGTACCTAAATTCTATTAGGGCCAGAGTCCAGTTGTGACATTATTCCAAAATTGTTATCAGTTTCAATGTGGGCCTTTTATTTTGAAGGCAAACCGCCGATTCCGCTGTTGTTGCTCAAGCTACTGTTCCTCACAAACACACACGTCCATTTAGGTCTCAGACCAGAAGATGGCTCTATAGTTCATCCTGTGCTCACCCTAGCTAGCCATTAGTCGCTAGTTTCCGTCTATTCAAAGCCTCCGGGCTAACCTGTGTTTGTGTTTTAGTTTATTTACAACAGGCCTGTACCTGTGTGGTAGACCACCTGTATAGGCCTGTACCTGTGTGGTAGACCACCTGTAGATGGCAGGTCTGGTGAGACAGTAGAAGAGACCATCCAGGACTCGAAAGGTGTCGGACTCGGAGCGGATCAGAGGAGAGTTGATGTCCAGGCAGTAACTCATAGCGTCATGACTTCCTAGACAGGGATGAATGAAAAATACTCTAATTTGTTTTGTAATTAAATTATAATTGTAAGGATGGTTATGTAATCATGATTAGGCTACAGAGTGGGAAGAATGGCTCTTTAGACAAATGAGTTAGGCTACTGAAGATTAGAAAGCCTATCGCAAATTGGCAAGCTGTCAACGTGAAAGAGAGAGCAGTGTGGACGTTTAATTAATTAATTTGAACATTTACAGTTTGCATGCAGTTGTATAAAGTTACCTGGTATGGCGAGACTTGAAAGAGGCACATCCCACAGCTCCTCTGGCAGACTTGACATCCAGTCCTCATAATTCTGGTTATCCTCATTAGAATCCATTGGAACTTCAGTTGACACCGCATTCATTCATGCATGTGTCCGTGTCAGTGCGCTGCTGTCCACCGAAGTTCCCACACTGACATGCACAAGTCGAAACCCAGTGGTTTTCTACTCATGACAGCACTTTTAATCGCAAATAACTCCCATCGGTTCCTCTATCAGTTGCAGACAGAAACTCTCAAACCGATATAGTTACATCTCTATAATGTGGGAAATTCACCAAAGGTTACATTTCCTGGTTTACCGATCGGCTATTGTGTTTGCGCTGGACCGTAAAAAAAAAAAAAAAAAGCCTTTACTTGTTCTGACTGACTCTGGATCAGCTGTCACTAGCCTTGCCTTAAAACTGAGCGTTAATCCAAACAACAGAACTGGCTCTAGATCCGTTAGTAAGAGGTCGCCGGTTCTCTTGTCGCTCCACCTCTGTCACTCCCCAGAGTGTCTAAAAAGTTATTTTTCCACGAAATGGCGAAGAAAAAGTAATTTCAAATCATCAACATACAGATATGGATTGACTTATGCGAGTGTTTATAATTTGCCATTTCAACTTTTCATTCTACAGTATTGTGCGTATCAAATATTCCTGTAGTAAATAATACTTTTAGGTCTATAAAATGTGGGATCCATAAATTGGTCTGATACAATCACACTCAAGTCCAGGTAATGTCATCAGTCATATCTGTTATGTACACAGACAGTAATACTAGCCCAAGAGAACAAAATTACCTTAAGAATTAGAATACTGTAGCAATCCTTGCTATGAATCACGTTACAATTTCCACCAAGTGGGTTAGCCTTATTAGCACAATGCTAAGGATGATTGCCTTTCACGCCAGCGACCCAGGTTCCCATCCCAGCCGTTCACTACAACACCTTTGATCACTATTTATTCAACACTCATAGAATAAATAATGTCAGAAAATCTCAAATCAAGTATAAACTTAAGTTGTAGTTAGATGCATTATTTGCTTTGAACCTGAGGTGTCCTGAACTTGTTTAGCCTGTTCAGAGGAGGAAAGCAGTGCCAGTAGAAACAATGTTACGATGTAAAGAATGCAAGGGTATGCAGGGCCTTCAGAAAGTATTCACACCCCTTGACTTTTTCCACATTTTGTTGTGTTACAGCCTGAATTTAAAATATTGTATATTGAGATTTTGTGACACTGACCTACACACACAATACCCCATAATGTCAAAGTGGGATTATGTTTTTAGACATTTTTACAAATGTATAACAAATAAAAAGCTTAAAAGTATTCAACCCCTTTGTTATGGCAAGCCTAAATAAGTTCAGAAGTACAAATGTGCTTAACAAGTCACATAATAAGTTGCAAGGACTAACTCTGTGTGCAATAATAGTGTTTAACATGATTTTTGAATGACTACCTCATCTCTGTACCCCACACATACAATTATCTGTAAGATCCCTAAGTCGAGCAGTGAATTTCAAACACAGATTCAACCACAAAGACCAAGGAGGTTTTCCAAAGAAGGGCACCTATTGGTAGAATGGTAGAACCAAAAAACAAAAAAAAGCAGACATTGAATATCCCTTTGAGCATGAAGTTATGAATTACACTTTGGATGGTGTATCAATACACCCAGTCACTACAAAGATACAGGCGTCCTTCCTAACTCAGTTGCCGGAGAGGAAGGAAACCGCTCAAGTATTTCAACATGACGCCAATGGTGACTTCAAAACAGTTACAGAGTTTAATGGCTGTGATAGGAGAAAACTGAGGATGGATCAACAACATTGTAGTTACTCCACAATACTAACCTAAATGACAGAGTGAAAAGAAGGAAGCCTGTACAGAATAAAAATACTCCAAAACATGCATCCTGTTTGCAATAATGCACTAAAGTAAAACTGCAAAAAACATGTACCAAATAAAATAACTTTATGTCCTGAATACAAAGCGTTATGTTTGGGGCAAATCCAACAACACATCACTGAGTACCACTCTTCATATTTTCCAGCATGGTGGTGGCTGCATTATGTTATGGGTTACCGCTCTCCATATGTTGAAGCATGGTGGTGGCTGCATCATGTTATGGGTTACCGCTCTCCATATGTTGAAGCATGGTGGTGGCTGCATCATGTTATGGGTTACCGCTCTCCATATGTTGAAGCATGGTGGTGGCTGCATCATGTTATGGGTTACCGCTCTCCATATGTTGAAGCAAGGTGGTGGCTGCATCATGTTATGGGTTACCGCTCTCCATATGTTGAAGCATGGTGGTGGCTGCATCATGTTATGGGTTACCGCTCTCCATATGTTGAAGCATGGTGGTGGCTGCATCATGTTATGGGTTACCGCTCTCCATATGTTGAAGCATGGTGGTGGCTGCATCATGTTATGGGTTACCGCTCTCCATATGTTGAAGCATGGTGGTGGCTGCATCATGTTATGGGTTACCGCTCTCCATATGTTGAAGCATGGTGGTGGCTGCATCATGTTATGGGTTACCGCTCTCCATATGTTGAAGCATGGTGGTGGCTGCATCATGTTATGGGTTACCGCTCTCCATATGTTGAAGCATGGTGGTGGCTGCATCATGTTATGGGTTACCGCTCTCCATATGTTGAAGCATGGTGGTGGCTGCATCATGTTATGGGTTACCGCTCTCCATATGTTGAAGCATGGTGGTGGCTGCATCATGTTATGGGTTACCGCTCTCCATATGTTGAAGCATGGTGGTGGCTGCATCATGTTATGGGTTACCGCTCTCCATATGTTGAAGCATGGTGGTGGCTGCATCATGTTATGGGTTACCGCTCTCCATATGTTGAAGCATGGTGGTGGCTGCATCATGTTATGGGTTACCGCTCTCCATATGTTGAAGCATGGTGGTGGCTGCATCATGTTATGGGTTACCGCTCTCCATATGTTGAAGCATGGTGGTGGCTGCATCATGTTATGGGTATGCTTGTCATCAGCAAGGACTGGGGAGTTTTTTAATTAACGGAATAGAGCTAGGCACAGGCAAAATCCTAGAGGAAACCCTGGTTCAGTCTGCTTTCCAACACACTGGGAGACAAATTCACATTTCAGCAGGACAATAACCTAAAACACAAGGCCAAAACTACACTGGAGTTACTTACCAAGATGACATTGAATGTTCCTGAGTGGCTGAGTTACAGTTTTGACTTAAAGTCGGCTTGATAATCTATGGCAAGACTTGAAAATGGCTGTCTAGCAATGATCAACAATCAACTTGACAACTTGAAAAATTTTAAAGGAGAATGTGAAAATATTGTACAATCCAGGTGTGCAAAGCTCTTAGAGACTTACCCAGAAAGTCTCCCAGCTGTAATCGCTGCCAAAGGTGATTCGAACATGTATTGACTCAGAGGTGGGGCGGCAGGTAGCTTAGTGGGTAAGAGCGTTGTGCCAGTAACCGAAAGGTCGCTGGTTCTAATCCCTGAGCCGACTAGGTGAAAAATCTGTCGATGTGCCCTTAAGCAAGGCACTTAACCCTAATTGCTCCTGTAAGTCGCTCTGGATAAGAGCGTCTGCTAAATGACTAAAAAAAAAAAAAAAAAAAAAAAAAAAAAAAAAAAAAAAAAGGTGTGAATAATTATGTAAATGAGATATTTCTGTATTTCATGTTCAACACATTTGCAAAAATGTCTAAAAACATGTTTTCAGTTTGTCATTATGGGGTATTGTGTGTAGATGGGTAAAAACAAATACAATTTATAACTTTTTTATTCAAGCTGTAAAACCAAAATGTGGAATAAGGCAAGGGGTGTGAACACCTTCTGAAACCACACCCTCCTCCAAGCTGAAACCACACCCTCCTCCAAGCTGAAACCACACCCTCCTCCAAGCTGAAACCACACCCTCCTCCAAACATTTGGAACATTGCCACTGATCTATTTTCTCCAATCAATAATCAATATTTGGGATGACGTGTCTCTAGTCACAGAGACTTGTTTGAGTGTTAGTAGCATGTTGTTTAAAGGTCTGAGTGACTTGACCTGTCAATGACCTATGGTTTCATTGTTCTAATTTATTCCATTGACGACCCCTGACTTGCTATTTTTGGAACTCCATTCCTCTCCATGATCTCTGATTTTGAATCAACTTCAGAAGGTTTTAAACTATACAGTGAGGGGAAAAAAGTATTGATTTGCATTTTGAATTAACTTTAGAAGGCTTTAAACTGTAACTTCTAGAATAGTAAGAACACATGATATTGATTTCTGCTTGAGTCCAAATTTTTTGTTGTTGTTGAAACCTGTAAAGGTAAAACATTGTGTAGATTGATTCTCTATTCAAAATGTCCTCCTGTTTTAATGGACAGGCTCATCTTCTCCACAGGCAGGTGCAGGTCTTTTCAGTAGTAACGAAGCCATGCCTCTACTGTCCCCTATTAAAGGGTCGTAGGTCGTAGGTCATACCCAGTGTAGTGGATGTAAATGCCGTTTACTAACCTTTTTTATTTTGTGCGTTTATCTTTTGCAGAAAAATGCAATGAAAGTATAGAGGGTTACTTTACTCATCATGAACAGCAATCAGTGTTTACCCACCTAGGCCTAGATTCACCCACCTAGGCCTAGATTCACCCACCTAGGGCTAGATTCACCCACCTAGGCCTAGATTCACCCACCTAGGCCTAGATTCACCCACCTAGGCCTAGATTCACCCACCTAGGCCTAGATTCACCCACCTAGGCCTAGATTCACCCACCTAGGCCTAGATTCACCCACCTAGGCCTAGATTCACCCACCTAGGCCTAGATTCACCCACCTAGGGCTAGATTCACCCACCTAGGCCTAGATTCACCCACCTAGGCCTAGATTCACCCACCTAGGGCTAGATTCAACCAGATCAAGCATTAACCGGCGATAGGCGACACACGCATAGCTGATGTTTTGGTGGTGTAACTTCCTGTCAAATCTCACACTCTCGTTAGAAGTTCAGAAGGAGGAAGTGTAGGCTATATAGAAATAATTACGCTCAAATTGAAAAATCATTAAACAAAATGAGGATTTCTAGCATCCTAATGGAGGTGTAGATTACGTCTCACATTACAGTGTTCCAACTGGTTAACAAGGCCGCATGGGATTTCTGTTAATGCGACTCCGTGCAGCCAATGGCAACGTCCGCTTTAGGTATAACGCCAGGAGCCGCTTGGGGATTGGACAGCTCTAAGGCAGTTCCACCTCCGACACCGTCAGAACATCAGCTATGTAGATTTCAGCTAAAGCGGATCATATTGAATAGAGCCCCTATTTGTTTTACCATTACATCACTG